TAGAATCAGATTTGTGTTGGAATTGTAAAGAAACGGAGGAAACCTTTTTTCATATGCGGTGAGCATGTAAAAAGGTTAAAGAGTATTGGGGAAAGAGTACTGGTCAAATGGAAAGTTTTATTTGTTTGTTTGTTTGGTTTTCCCCAACCCCAGTTAACTTATACACTACTTTTCAGCCAAAAGCCCCCCCCCCCCAGCAGTGAACTGCACAGCAAAGTGCCATAAACCAACCAGCAAGGTTAGCCTCCCTAAACAAAAGGATTAAATGTATTATTCGATGTAAATACGTAGTTAAATAGTTATCTATAATCAAGAGGTCACATAAGCACTGAGGTAAATTGCCTTTTTGATAAACAGTCGTCTGGCTTAATCCCAGTCACCCAGAGAATGTGGAATTATGTGGCCTGGTACCCACAAGTGCACTTGTTGGCTTCTGAAAATCCCAGGGGTGGCTATTTTGGCTAGTATGCTGCCTTTTAGGATAAGCCCTGTCTCTTATTACTAGAACCAAAGTGAGAAAACCAGGATAAACATTTTATTATTTTGCACTGATTCACATGGTATCCCCTCCCTCCCTCCCCCATCCCACCACCGCCATTAAAGATACTTCATATTGCCATGTTTTAAGGCCAAAGAGCTCACTCTGCATGTGAAGTCTGATCTTGGCATCTGTTTCAGTCAGAGAAAAGGGCATTAAGGCATTGCCATGAAATTTTCTGACAACCTCTGTCACCAGGGATTCCCAAACTGGTCTGTGGGCTACAAGCTTCATTCAGGTGGTCCTTGACATTTCTGTGGATTTGGGACTGAAGATGGGAGATGGTGGGATGGGAACTGGGAGCCACTGCCTAACTACTTAGCAGTTCAGGTTTAACAAAGTCTATTTTACTTAATTTACGAATGCTGAAGCTTTGGGCGGGAACTTTGCCTTGATCTAGCAGTTCAGATTTTAAAACCTTTGTTTTATTTTAAGGAGAGACTATTATACAACATGCTGGCTCTGCTTTGATCTAATTGCCAGGGACGCAGTTAACAGAACTCCAGGAAGAAATTAACATTTTGCAACACTTGAAGTGGAAACTAAACAGAAGGAAGGCAAAGTAAACAGATCCAATTTCAGGGACATGGGGAAGTAAATCAATCTTTAAAAAAACAAAAAAAACTCACTAATCCCCCACTCAAAGTGATCGTGTTGGTAGTTTTGGTACATTTAGAGAATGCTTGGCTGCAACTTCGTACCCATTAAAATTTCAAGATGCAGCCCAGAATCCACGCCTGTCCTGAAGCAGCAAGAGAGGGACGAAAGAGTCACTGTGCCATCCCAACGCTGTTCCTTCTTTATTACTGTTGTTCTCTCTTCTCTTACACTGTAGCAAGAGAACTCCAGGTTTACCCTCAAATCAATGGATGCCACACCTTTTGTAGTCTTTCATTTCTTCTTACTAGACATTCGTGAATATTACCTTGCCCCTCTTGCCTCTTCTATAACAGCATTTCAAAACTAAACATATCCATTTCCCTCAACCATTATTCATTTAACTTGTGCGCCAAACCTGGAGTTTATTCACTTATTTTTGCTCTTGATGCAGCTAGCCATTCACGGGCAGAATTCACTTAGCAAGTTCCATCAGCCAAAGCCCCTCTCCTCCCCCACCACCCTTCAAAATTGTCTCTGCTTTTCTCTACCTGTAGTTGACTTGATAGGGTCCTGATGACAAATGTATCACAGAGCTGCCAGCTAGAGGTTTAGCACCATTTGCCCCTCTTTATTTTCAGGACAGGGAGACTACAAAGGAAGAGCTGAAATAATTAGGTGGATTTGTTGGGTGAGAAGAAACCAATGGAACAGCAGAGGACTTTTGAGAGCCAGTTCAAACAAACATGCACATCACTGGCTGAGCGGCTGCTGAATGTGTCAACTGCTTGTTTCCATAGGTGAAACAAGCACTCTTCAGGTGGTGGAAAAGTTCTTCCATTGATGGCTGACCTGATGCAGCTGTTTCATACAAGCAAAACATCAACATGGATTCAGTTATTATGCCTGTGTGAAGTCGTGCAGGCTAGATAGAAGTGAAACAGCTGCATATCCTCCGCTGTTTGATAGTGGCATTGGTAATTTGCTTACGGTCATTTTGTATGTCCACGTTGCTGTTCGCCTTGCTCCCAGTTTGGGAAAAGAGTAAATCTGGGAGACCATGTAACTCACCATGTGATCTTGGGCCTGCTTCTCAGCCTCACCAACCTCGCAGGGGTGTTTTGGAGATTAAATGTGGAACTGGAGAGCCATGTGCATTGTGCAGCACCTTGAGCTCATTGGAGAAAAAGGTGGGATAGACATGCCGTAAATAATAAACAATAAATCTTTCCCATAGGAGCAGCCATGTGCTTTCCCCAAGAAATATATAGCCCAGCCTGCACATTCCTCGCTGGCCCTAATACTCAACAGATAGCAGAATCTGCCGTCAGGGTGATGCCCCCAAGGCATGTGGGATGTCAGGATAGTATTGACTGCATTAGTATAAAAGCAGCTTGCGAAGATTGGACTCACATAGGCCAGGGGAACTTGGTAAAACAGCATGTGCACTGATGCTCCTGTATCAATTATTTAGTCACTTTAGTGTTATGGTGAAGCAGTCAAGTAAGTCAGATTCTTCATCATCAGTTGAACACAAAGCACAGGAAGCTGCCTGATACTGACTCTGATCATTGGTCTATCCAGAGCAATTCTGTTGACACTGAGTGGCAGCAGCTCTCCAGAATTTCAGGCAGGTTTCTCTCCCAACCCTACCTGGAGATGCTGAGGATTGAAGCTGTGAGCTGCATCCCCAGTCTACTGATTTAACCTACTGGTGTGCCTGCTCCAAAGAATTTTTGTTAATTGTGTCTTATGACACATAAAGTACCATTTTAGATTTAGACTTAACCAACGTACTCACTTTAATTAGTACACATCTCACTCCCAAAATAAGTTTTGCACTTAAAATAGTTGTGTAGCAAAGAGGGGAGCATGGTGGCAGTCAGATAGGTACAGTTACAATGCATTTCCATGCATCTCTGCTCAGAAGAGAGCCCCATGGAGTTTGATGTAACTTACTCCCAGGCAAGTGGATGTAGGGTCACAGCCCTCTCCATCAGCTAGCTGGACAGCGGGAATAGGGGAGAGCCCAGCAATGAAAGAATGAGAAGGCTTCCACTTGTCCCATGCTTTCTAGGCACGAGTCCAAATTGTTTTCTGCTTGTCCCAGTGCTCTCCCAGGGAAAACCCGCTCTGTTAAATCAGAACAAACATCAATCTGCTGAAAACCCGATTGATGTTTGCTTTGATTCAGCACTAAAGAGTGAGTTTTCTTGGGAGAAGCATGTGGGATAAGCAGACGTCTGGGAGCCCTAGGAGACATCATTGGTGTTTGTGACTGATGAAAAGCATAATGGTGAAGAGTAAGAGAGAGTGATACTCTTTGGGAATCTGAAAGTGGAAAGTTCAAGAATTCTGTGGTGAAGACACTGGGGCGTCTAGCAGTTATTTGCACTCAGGCATCAGTTTTTATCTCTTTTTGCATTTTGAATGTTTGGTTTCTCTTGCATCTGGCTCCAGCAAGGAATCTGGTAGCAGAGCAAACTAGATTGTTTGAGCTGTGGCTTTGTCTGGGAACATTGCTCTCTGAAGCTTTCTGCTATGTTTCTGCAGTGGGAAGGAGCAAAGAGGGCAATGCCACCATGGATGGGCAAGTCTTCCCCTAAAGCATCCAGAGGAGAGGTGTGCATATGGGCACCTGGGTGGTTCCAGATACAATAGGCAAGCACCAACATGATCCATAGGCACTAAACACCAGAGCCAGTGCCCTCACTATATATGTAAGTTGAGCAATTAATGTGCATAACAACCAGACATTATGCACATTAACCAGGCCTCATGGAGAATATGCACTTAAGAGGCAACTGTGCACATTTACCAGTCAATATACATAATCTCCAACAGGCCTTAGGGAATGTCCATATCTCAGCCAAATGTTGTATATTCTCCAGACATTAGGAGATAATCTCCAACAGGCTATATCTTGACTTCATTTTGGATATTATCTGGGCAATATGCATAATCTCCAAGAACCTCCCCCCACACCATCTCTTGTTCAGAACTGCACAATCTGCACCCACCCACCCCTGTTACCTTTTGGCCCTCTTACCCCCCACAAAATACCCTCCCACTGTTCAGCTGAGGAACAGGAAGACGGGTGAGACCCCATATTATTAATGTTTTTTTCTGCAGTCTATTCCCCTTTTCACCACTCTCAGCGGTTCTCCAGTCAGCTGAGCAGCACAGGGAGCATCCCAGGAAGAGGAAAGTTTTAAATCCTGCCCCCCAGTGCTACTATCAAGCTTGTGGGAAAGCTTAATAGCAGCATGAGATCAATCATAATAAAATTCAAAGAGGAATTTTAACCAGATTGCCCTCTCCTATTCTCCTTTCTGCAGTCTTTTCAAGGCTTTAAGACAAGGGCATTGACAGCTCAGAAGCACATCACATATGCAGAATCCAAATTAGGGTGTGCACTTTCTCTGTCCAAAGAGAAAGAAGCTGACACACACAGGGTCACTTTAGACGTTAGCCAAAATCAAGTGGGAAAGCTTGTTCTGGATTGCGTGCTTTTCAGGTTGCAGCTGGGGGTGGGGTTTCATGTTTAAATCCACCTATCTAAAACTTTCTCTTCATCTAGAAAACTAACATACCATGGAGAATTGTTCAACCTCATATTTTCCCTGAAATGCTACCTTTCTATATCCGGGGAGGTTTTTTAAACATGAAACCTCCCACCTGCACCCTGAAATGGTACAATTCAGGGAAAGTTCTATCGCTTGGTTCTGTTAAATGCATCACAACCTCAGTCAGCAGCACGTCCTCTCCAGAACGAGAGCCATCTGCACATCTATTTTTACCACTGGGAGAGAGATTCCCCTCCCCCACCCTGCCCCAGGAAGACAGCAAAGATGTAGATTTGATACATTTTAAGATTCTTTAATTCAACAATAGAACATTACATTCTCAGGTGGGAAATGAATTTGGATTAGGCAGGATAAAAAAAATGATGATGATGAATACTTTTGTTTCAATAGGATCTATACAAAAACTTTTGTATTTCCCAGTTCGCTATTCTTTATTCAAGCAGAGTATTTGATTGCTAAAAGCCTCTTTTCAGTCTGCAGCACTTGCTAAAATTTTAAAAGGTCAGCAGAAATCCTATACAAAAAAGTTTAGGAAATTAAACATGAGTCGTTTTTAAAATAATCATTCAGATATAAAAAAATATAGCAAGTGAGAGATTAAATTATTATTATTATTATTTTGCAATTTTGTCCTAGGGTCTCTAGATTAATAAGAACAGAGAATGCATTTTTAAGGTCATTTCATACATAAACCTTTTGCCAACAGACAAATTCCTCAAGGCTTGTTCATAGGTTGCGGAGAGCACAGTTACAAGCTTTCTCTACACACTTGCAAATCTTTGTGCAAAAGAGTGTAACTATCTGATATGTACAGCTCCATTATATGTGTAGACAGGTACACAGACTGCACACTCCTTGAATGCAACATGTGAACACGCCTATAATAGTGTTCTGGAGCATTTTGCTGCATGGCTCAATATATTAAACTGGAGAATGAACACAAGGAAATTATCAGAAAGTTGCCATTTGGTCCCAACCCCCTTAAAAGGGAGCTCATATGCAATATTAACTGCATTTTGCCATTTCTGTTCATATTGCCTGCAAAAGGGGGTTCTGTACACATTCTGGGAGAAACCAGCTCCCAGTGAATTGTGGGGAAAGAGGGGGATTATACCATAAAAAAACTGAAAACACAAGAAGTCACTCCTGCTAAACCATCCATAACTGTGTGTGTGTGAGGAAGAGGAGATAGTTTTTCACACCTCACATCTTTCCTTCACATCTTGTGGCAGGAAATAAAGTGGGAGGGGGTGTTAAGGGACAGGAAAAGAGGGAGAAGAACAAAGGGAAGGGCAGTCTGGTATCTGTTCTCAGTGCATCTTATAAGGCACATTTCAACTACAGTGGTACCTCGGGTTAAGTACTTAATTCATTCCGGAGGTCTGTTCTTAACCTGAAACTGTTCTTAACCTGAAGGACCACTTTAGCTAATGTGGCCTCCTGCTGCCGCCACACTGCCGGAGCACAATTTCTGTTCTCATCCTGAAGCAAAATTCTTAACCCGAGGTAATATTTCTGGGTTAGCGGAGTCAGTAACCTGAACCTTATGTAACCTGAAGCATATGTAACCCGAGGTACCACTGTACAGGGAGCAGGCCAGAGACCTCTGTCCATGGTGCCAGTCCTAGTGCTGGATCTTAAAAAGGATACATTCCTTGAGCTGTAGTCATTTTGCTCCGGCAGAGGTCTAGAGCAACTCGGAGCTGTAATTCAATCACATCCCCAAGTGTTTCCTAACAAGAAGAATGAATTGGGTGGGTGGGGAAACTTCTGAGGCAGGGAATCCTGACCAGAGGCTGGCTCAGACAACAGCAGCAGCAAAAAAATAATAATAAAAAATAACAACAGCCAGCTACAGATAATAAGTTATTACTCCCAGGTTTGTTGTTATTTAGGGAGTGTGGGGCAGAATGAATTCTGACACTGCTGCATTGCAGGGGGTTGGACTAGATGACCCTTGGGGTCCCTTCCAACTCTACAATTTTATGGTTCTATAACCAGGGGAGGGTGGGATTCACCATAAGCTAAAAATCCTTACCCAAGGTTGCAATCCTATGCTGCTTACTTGAAAGTAAGCCCAGTGGAACCCAGTGGGACACACTGGATGATCCTGTCCTGATTTAATTGGAAATGAGTCCCGTTAATTTCATGCGCGTGGGATTGCTGCCTTTCTAGAATGCCCAGGATTTGCCTAGAAGTTATAGGCTGACTCCTCGGTGATCAAACCATCTGTGCAACCCGTTATGCCTGCTCAGAAGTCTGAGTTCAAGGGGACTCGTTCCCAACTATGTGTGCGTGGGATTGCAGACTTTGCTTGCCTCCTAAGACAGCTGGTCACCTCTTAAGGAATTCATCTCTGCTCCCTCTTTCCTGCTGCCGTGCTACTGGAAGGTCAAGTAGCACGAATAAGGCAGATTTATCTTTGCACCATATCCCCGTGCCAATAAAAAGCACAGATGTGCAGAGGGGGGGACAGAAGCAAAACTGTATTGAAAGTGCTATGGGGCAGGAGACAGAGCCAGTGCCTAGCAGAGTTATGTTTCAGCACCATGACCAGTATTTTTCGCTCCAAAACAGCTGGCAGAGCTCCTAATTGTTCCTTGGGAGCCTAGCTCAGCCCATCACTGCAGGATATTCCATCTTAAAAAGAGGTCAAGTGGCAAAGTTAAACATGGATGTTGGACCACATCACCCCTGACCTTTGGGTCATGATGGGAGGTGGAGTCCAGCAACAATTGAAGACCACCAATTTTTCTAGCTCGGTTTAGGGGACGAGGTGGTGGGCAGAGAAAGACAAAGAAAGGCAGATTGGGGTGTAAGTCAGAAGGGGTAAGGGAACCCTGAAAAAGATAATAGCATTAGAAAGGAAGGGCCCACAGAAGAGGGTGGAAAAGAGGAAAACAGAGCCCCTTATCTCCAAAGTCCTTTACATGTGTGTGTAGCGTAGTCCAGCTTTTATCCCCGGAGCAGAGTCTCCTGGCTGTCAGGGCACTGCTTCTCCCGCTGTGCATCTGCTCCTTTCCCCAGGTGGTTCTGGCTGTGGCCGGAGGAGTAGCTGGCTGACTTGTCCCCGCCAGATCCTGCCAAATGCCCTGGGCTGCAGCAGAGGACAGCGGCGCAGGCCTGTCGGAAGCGGGGGTCAAAGAAGGCGTAGAGGAAAGGATTGAGGCAGCTGTTGATGTAAGCCAAGCAGCTGCTGTATGGGTGGAGGTTGCTGAGGAAGGCGTGGAAGCCGCAAGACAAGGGCATCACCCCCCAGTCCATCAGCATGTAGATCGTCTTCACAAAGTGGAAGGGCAGCCAGCAGACAGCGAAGGTGGCCACCAGGACGATGATGATGGTCAGCAGGCGCTTCCGCTTCCTCAGCGCTTCGGTGCGCTCCTTTCGGAAGTGGCCAGCAATGGTGCGGGCAATGAAGAAGTAGCAGGTCAGCATGATGGCAAAGGGAAGCACAAAGCCTAGAAGGGTGGAAGACAAGCCCAGCCCTGCTTCCCAGACCTGCTCGGTCTCATCAGTGGCCACACTGGAGAAATTCATGTAGCACGTCACTTTGTCTGTCCCGTTGAAGACGGCTGTGCTCCGGAAGATCATGGCTGGCAAGGCTAGGAGGACTGCCATGGCCCAGAGGGTTAGGGTCACCAAAAGCCCACTGACCTTGGACCTCAGCTTGGCATTTGCGATGGGGCGGACGATGGCCAGGTAGCGGTCAAAGCTGAGCCCTGTGAGGCAGAAGACACTGGCGTACATGTTGACAAAGACCAGGTAGCTGCTGAGCTTGCAGGCAAAAGAGCCAAAGGGCCAGTCGTAGTCCAGGATGACGTAGGTAGCCCAAAGTGGCAAGGTGACCACAAAGGTGAGGTCGGCCACTGCCAGGTTGGCAATGAATGTGTCTGCAGACCGCCGTTTCTCCTGGCCTCCGCAGAAAATGGTCCATAGCACCAGGCCGTTGCCGGTGGTTCCTAGGAAGAAAACCAGCAAGTAGATGGAGGGAATCAGGATCCTGGATGAACTCCAGTCCTCGTAGTCACACTCCAGAATGCCTGGGTAGCTGTCGGTATCGTTGCTGGACTCCATGCCTGCTCAAGAAGGAGAAGGTGGAAGAGGCCTCTCTTCCAATCTTGTAGAATCCTTCACCAATCTGGATCCACTCTGTACAAGTCCCTTCCTTGTTGCAAGGAGGAAAAAGTCCCAGGGTCTCAGCTCATTTGCCTCTCCTGCACCTCCTTATCACAGCTTTAGGCAGATCTGGCCAGGGGCTTGCTCAGCCTGTGTGTCATCTCCTCCTCACTCTCACACACACACTCAGGAGGCTGCAGTTCCTTCCTTGGGATTTGTCTTAAAATCCAGGCGACCCAGCCCCCTTTCCCACCCCTCCCTTTGCTTTCACTCAACATCCTTATGTGAATTGGACGACTTGACCCCCTGCAGTGCTGGGCAGCTCCATCTGTCATTTGTATCCACCCACTTGCAAACAAACCATACACATCCTCTCATCCTAAACTCTCCAGAGCAAAAAAAAGAAGAAAGAAAGGGGGGGTGGAATGCAGCTGAAGTCCAACCAGAGATGCTGGTGGGTGCGGGTGGAAGGAAGGCTCACTGCCCCAGTTCACAAACGCTTTGCTAACCTGATCTAATTTGTCTGTCAGTTTCATCATGAGCCTCTCTTAGTTTTAAGAGCAGTGCAACATGGAACAAAAGAGTGCCCAAAGCAAAGGAAGCATCAACTTAAGTCAATCCTACTTAGATGCAGTAATGCTGTATTTATTTTGAGTGGCATTTGTTCATGCAAATAGGTTTGGTGGGGTCGAGGATAGTGTCACGAGTGAGCTTGGCGGATGCAAAACCAATCTGAATTTTAAATAGGTTCTGCTTGGTCCTTGGGAAGGATGGAGATAAGCTGGAGACAAAATGCAGATGCTGCTTATCCTTCCAGCAACATGCAGCTTATGTGATTGGTCCCAGAGATGAGAAAAAGAAGGCTTGGGGTGTGCAGAGTATACAAGATGCATTTCCAAGCTTTAAGGAGGGGTGGGATTTACAGGGGGCCCAAACATTTGAAGAGCGTCATTGATCTAGGAATTCTCTCCCCACAGTCTAGGGCAAGGATAGGGAACCTGTGCTGGCCCATGTTGTTGGACACAATCTCCCAACAACCCTTGCCAAAATGACCAGAGGTTGGCCGCCACTCCTCTGGACTAAACAGATTTACCTGTTCTGCACCTCTGAGATCAATGGCATCATTTTATTTATTTTTTTAAAAAAATCCAAATAGCTTTTTATTAAAAAACGTTGCTGCAATCTTGAATTAGAACTTTGAAATCCAGATCTTTTCTATTTTTCCAAACAAAATAATTTATCTGAAATTGGCTGTAACTGATGTGGGCAGCAATCCTTGCCATCTCCGGCACCAGTCATTTAATGCAGTAAAAGTTTTCCTGCAGCAACCACATCAGCTGTGAGTGGCATATGTATGTTGCGTGTGCTACTAAGGAATCCAAAATGAAGTTTGTTAACTAAATGGTACTCCAACCAGACACTACCCAGTAAGGTGATGCACAGGAGAAAGAATGATGGTCTCTATAGCCTGCTAACTCTCTTTCTAATATGAGGCTGCAGAGTAAAATATTTGTAGGACTGCAAGTCTCATAAAATGGCAATGTCCTCATACTTATAGGGACGCGGGTGGCACTGTGAGTTAAACCACAGAGCCTAGGACTTGCCGATCAGAAGGTCGGCGGTTCGAATCCCCGTGACGGGATGAGCTCCTGTTGCTCGGTGCCAGCTCCTGCCAACCTAGCAGTTCAAAAGCACGTAATAGTTCAAGTAGATAAATAGGTACCACTCCGGCGGGAAGGTAAACTGCGTTTCCGTGTGCTGCTCTGGTTCGCCAGAAGCAACTTAGTCATGCTGGCCACATGACCCGGAAGCTGTACGCCGGCTCCCTCAGCCAATAAAGCAAGATGAGCACTGCAACCCCAGAGTCGGCCACGACTGGACCTAATGGTCAGGGGTCCCTTTACCTTTTACCTCATACTTAGAGTAAAAACCAAAACAGAAATTCCATGTGTTGATTGGAAACAAACTGACTTACAAACCTTTGATTGAGATGAATACAAATATGGAGAATCTGGAAGAGCTTTGAGAAAGAGTTGCAGGAAACCCTATCAGACTCAGCCCATGAAATGGTACCTCTGACCTGACTTGCCAAAAGGTCATATAAAAAGTCTACTCTGAAGACTAATTTGAACCCAGGTCACAGGAGATCTCAGCACAAGACCAGACCCTCTTTGCTAATAGTCAACAGCAGCTACAATCAATTTCTTTGAAGTGTCTACAGTAGTGCCATTGCTTATTGGATTTTATCTGCATTCCCAAGAACATCTGGCTTATTGTACTAAAAAATGGCTTTTGTGCTGACCAGAATGCCATGCCTTATGGTCACGTATGGCTTTGGTGTTTGATCTCTCTCTGATCATTTTATCTGCTCTTTGTGTTTTGCTGGTCTGCCTGATAACTACTGATATCTGTCCTAGTCAGCTTCAGTTCTCTTATGTTTATAGTGCATGCGTTGTGATACCATCAGTATAACAAGACAGCCTCTATGCTGTTTAGGCTTAAGTTTTCCTCCCTGAAATGCTGGACTTCTCAATTGCTTAAGAAAACTAGGAAAGAAGTGTACTTTGATCTAGTTAAACAGACCCGGAATGCTTACACTATCTTGACTGTGATTTGCCTGCCTTCAGGGACTTCAGGGTGGTATACAAATCTTCTCCCCACCCACCTCCATTTTATTCTTACAACAATCCTGCAAGGTAGGGTATGGTGACCAGTCTAAGGTGAGCATCATAACTAAGTGGGGGATTTGAACTTTGGTCTTCCCAGTCTTCATCCAATCAATGCAACACACTGCCTCTCTCATTGTTTCACTCTGGAAGGATTAACAACAGATATCTGCTCAGGTCTACAGATGGGAAATTAAAAACAAGAAAGCACGTCTGGCTTAGTCAAGGGAGCAATTTCCCCAAATCATGCAAGCCATTTGTTGAAAAGTAGAAAATCATAGTGAGCCTGTGTGGTACTGATGTAGCAGGCCAGCTCTGATGATCATTAAATGATCAAATACCATTCTTGTTTTGGAAAACATTCAGTCTAGATCCTTTTGCCAATGGGTAGCCCATCTCATTCTCCTCTTCACATACCAGGGAATAAGCATGATGTCATGGTTAGTGGGAGATCCAAGTCTCCAACTGCAATAATATTTAAGAGTTATTTAGCACAACTGAATCATACACCTTTTTTCAGTAATTCCGAAGCATACAAGGTAGGTCAGAATCATTAGCCCTGTATGGCAGATGGCCAAGTGGCTGAGCCTATCAGTTTGCCTAAGGCTAACTAAGTAGTGAGTTCATAGCAAAAGGTGACATTTGAACCAGAGACTTCCTGGTTCACTGTTCACGGCCCCCTTCCAACATTATCAAAACCACTAGATGAACTTGGGTATCAGTATATTATGGTGTGATCCTATACTAGCATCAAAAGAAGCCTCACTAAGTGCAAAGAAGCTTATTCCCAGGTAAGTGGGCACAGTGACTGTAGATCACTAGGTAGCCCTTGGGAACATCATCATTTCTAGAAAACATATCCACTTCATGTGAGGAACTAGCCAAAAATGTCAAGCCTCTCTTTTGCCTCATTTGAAATGAGAACATGATTTAGAATAAACCTCGGTATGTGTGCTTCATGAGCCAAGATCTACAATTCTATGGCAGGTAAGCTATATATTGTGAAATACTTCTTCAGAAATGCTAAGCCATTAGGGGTTGTTTCACCCATGAATGAATTTCCATGGAGGACATTATGAAACTCTCACATGGAGTGGGTCACATGTGACAAACACATGGGCTTGCACATGTACACACATCCAAATTCATTGTGTAGGAAAGCCAGTTTAGGTGATAAAGCCCTCAATATAATGTTTTAAAACACACAGGCAACTAACTGAAAGCACTGTTTTCACTAGCCTTCCAAAAGTTTGGGACTACAACCACCAGCCCAGTCAGCATGAACATTTTGTTTTAAGTGGCACATAGATCACATCAGGGTAGCCTGTCTCTTGATGGAAAGGACATTGATCCCAGTGCTTCTGGGTCTATACTGCTTCCATATTGCATAAGAACATAGGTGCCTGCTGGTCAGACAGAGGGTTTATTTAATCCAGCATCCCATTTTCCACAGTGGCCAATCAAATGCTTCTGTGAAGCCCCCAAGCAAGACACGAGAGCAACAGCCATCTCCCATTCATGCCCACCATCTTAAGTTCAATAAGTATATTTTGACCTTGGAAGTTCTAAACGCGTTCTACATAAAGACTACAATCTGCTATGCTCCATCACCAGCCTCAAGGTTAAAAAAAAACTGAGAGATTTCATGTTCCAGCATTTCTCAGAGTCACTCCATACAATCTAATGGACTTTTATCTCCTGAAATTCAGAGGCTACTACTAGTCAGGGCATGTCTTGGGAGTCAAGGAGGCTGGAGGAAGAGCTGTGCAGGTGAAAACAATCCCATCCTATTTTAAAGAGGTTAAAGATGTGTCATAATCACGTCTGACGCTTGAGCTATTCAAAGAGACACGTGGAACAGACCTTGACTTCAGTTCCTGTACCAGAAACAGGATTATTCCGAGAATCTTACAAACAGCATTTTTTCACCTCTAAATTGCTATTTCAAGCCTGTGAGAAACAGGTAGGGTAGAACAGCAATTTGATCAGCAAAGAGCAGTTTTGTAAAGGTGCCAAAATTTCAGAAACCTCCTGAGTCATTACAACGTTACAGTCTAAATAGATTCCAGCAGATCTTTCTTTAACCCAATTGCTTAATTTTAAAAACACAAGAACTTCAGCTAAAAAAATAGAATATGACTGAATTATCAGTCATTTACATATATGCTATGTGAAAAATCCTCAAAACAGCTATTTAGGCCAGCGATGAGGAACCTATGGCCCTCCAGAATGTTGCTCGAATAAAATTCCCATCATTCCTGATCACTGATGGGAGATGGAATCTAAAAACATCTGGACAATCACTGGTTCCCCACCCCAGCAAGGGACATCTTTCTTTCCACCTCCAAGATTAAAAAGCATATTGGGGGTGATATTTTGAGCTGGGAAATTGCCAGAATAAAAATGGTTAAGCACCCTTCCATCTGTCTTTCTCACACCCCACCTTGTAGCCTGCCCAGACCAAGTTTGGCTTTTAAAAACAATAATGAATGGAGAGGACTAAAACTGTTGCTGCCACATCACGTGTAGTTTGGAGCTGAATGTTGGAAGACCCAGGACAGACAAAAGGAAAGACATCTTCACATATTGGATTCACTTCCACAAATAATGGTGGCTACCAACTTGGATGGCTTTAAAAGGCTAACAAGGGCTACTAGCCATGGTGGCAATGTTCTACCTCGACTAAAGGAGGCCACAAGTTTCTGAATACCAGTTGCTGGAAACCAGAGAGGATGCTCAGGTCCTGCTTGCAGGGTTCCCAAAGGCATCTGGTTGGCCACGTTGAGAACAGGATTCTAGACTGGATGGGCCACTGTGCCTGATTCTGCAGGGCTGGTCCACACTTCTGTTTGCCCCATGCTTTCAAGAGATTTTTCTTTTGTCCCACCACTTTCCCTGAGAAAACCTGCTGTTTACTGCTAAATCTGAACAAATATCCTTTTTTTTTTAAAAATGATATTTATTAAAGTTTCAAAGAATACAAGAATTACACAAAAACAAAAAATAAAAATACAAGAAAATACAAAATACAGAAAAAAGAATAAAGTTTTTAAGATATAACAAAAAAATGAAAAATAAAAAGAAACATACAAAATAAAAACAGTTAAAAACACGTTAATTTTCCAAAGCATATCTTCCTTACACTTATTTCCCCGGACCTCCTCGTACCTCCCTTTTTTGTATTCCAGTTCAGTTTGTTAGTTCAGCAAATCCTTACCATTAAGCTTTTACCCATTTGTAAACCTTTTTTCGTATCTCTTAAAGCATTACAGCTGGAAACCACTTAGTTTCTATCCAACATCCTTCTAAGATTCCTTAATTTTACAATATTTCTGTAAATAGTCTTTAAATTTCTTCCAGTCTTCTTTCACCGACTCTTCTCCCTGGTCTCGGATTCTGCCAGTAAATCTGAACAAATATCCATTGCATTTTCTGCAGATTGACATTTGTTTTGATTCAATAGCAAAGATTGGGTTTTCCAGGGGAAAGCAGCAAGGCAAAAGAAAAACCTCTCAGACCCATGGCTAGAAATCATGGGACAAATGAAAGGGGGGAAAATGGAAGTGTGGAGAGAGCCAGGGGCTTGATTAAGGTCACCTAGAGAGCTTGTGGCAGAGTGCAAGATTGGTCCTGGTTCATCTAGCTCAATCTCATAGTACTGCACGTACTCCCAGACTCTGAAATATCTTTTAAATTAAGTCGATGGATGAGAGTAGGAGCTTTTCTAGGAAAACAAAAGGTGTGCATGATGTGACTTTATCATTACTATTTAATATGGGTCTGGTATTGACACGATGTCAGATGTTAGACAGCTTTGGGAAAAGCAACTCGTATTTTAAATTGCAAATTCCAGCCAGGTCTAGTCTAGAAACTGGCGTTACAAATCAAGCTCAGAGAGGAAGGATTGTGAATTTGAGAGTGGCCCAGATGAAAGAGTGAGGAACAGACACAGCAAAAGGGGGTTAGACGTGACTATGCGATAAATAAACTCAGACAGCAGCATCTCCAGTCTCTGGTGCTCCCTTTGATTCCATGCTGCCCAATCTCCCCCGCCATGCCCTGGTCAATTACCTTATTATTACATACAAGCAAGTACAACCAAGTAACTGCCCTCAGCTTTCCTCAGAAGGGAGGGAGGCTAGAAATACCTGGGGGTATCATATTTGAAAACTTCACCTGTTTAAAGCAGCCTTCTCCAACATGATGCCCCCAGGCATTTTGGATCACAGCTGTTAGCAGCAGCCTGCATGGCCAATGTTGAGGGATAATGGGAACAAGTGTTTGGTTCAACAACATCAAAAGAGGGTGGTACCTGGTTGGGGGAAGGCTGGTCCATAATAAATGCAAAGGAAGATTCAACTTCTAAGAGACTTGGCCTTTTGTAAAAACAACTCTCCTACGCTCTCTTCCATCTTTGTTGGGTACACAGCTACAGTCCTACCCTCATACCATACATTTAAAGCACCAAGACTCCTGGAAACTCAAATTTACTCCTCGTAGGGCTACAGCTCCCAGCACCCTTAGTAAAATATAGTTCCCAGGATTCTATGGGGGAAGCCATTGGGCTTTAAATGACAGCCAGTGTGATGTAGCGGTTCAAGTCCCCACTCAGCCATGAAGCTATTTGGGGAGCCTGGGGCCAGTCACCCCAGTCTCACCTACCACCTATCCACTACCTTGAACTCCTTGAAATAAATAGAAATGTATGTTGTGTCAAGAAATATCTTTCTTCGATTGCTGTGAGTGTTTTGATGCGCTGGGCTAGGCTAGTGAGCCAACAAGCATGTGCTACTGGCACAGAGGTACAATGCCAACCAGTTTAGCTGGAATGCTCCCTTCTCTGCAGTCAGGCCTGGAAACGTCAGCCAGGCTCCTTTCGATCGACTGAGATGTGTAGCAACAGCTGCAGGGGCCTCCCTCCAAAGCGCCGGCTGCCACTCGCCTGTCTATTTCCGTCACTTTTCCCTCAGTGCTGCAAGTGTGCCTGGATGTTGGAGAAGATGCCTGGCTGAGATTGGGAGGGGGGGCAGGAAATGGAAGGGAGACAGGAAGGAAAGGACAGGAGAGCCGGGGCCAGCATACAGTAAGCAAAGTATTTATAGCGTGTCTCACTGTAACAATGAGGGGATGTGAGCAGTGGAGAATCTCTGCTTGGATGCAGATCAGCTTAAGGAGATAACAGAACTCTTTCCTCCCATCCAGAGCTGAATGACTATCCACTGTAGGCATTGCAGCACAAGTAAATCAGGCCCCAAGCCCATTATCCTTGGAGTGCCATAGACCTTCTCGGCACAACAGATAGAATAACAGAATTTCATAGATTCATAGGGTCATCCAGTCCAGCCCCCTGCAATGCAGGAATCTCAGCCGAAGCATCCAGGACAGAATGGGAAGTGAAATTCCAAAGGTATGTAGTATTGCTATTGTGAGGGGAGGCAGCACTTGATGCTTTGCACTCCCAAGCACAGGTGAGGATTTGTGCACAGCCCTCAAAAACTGAGATACATCACTCTTCCCTATTTTGCCAGTTTACGTTCTCCACTAGATTGCTATAGTGTAGTCTCTAAATAATTTTGAAAGCTAAATGAAAAGGGTCTCAGCTTAGCATACGCAAGGGAAGCTTGCTGCTTCTCATCAGCCATTTTGCACACAAAAATCATTAGAGTTATGACTCTGGTGCAACAGTCATTGTCCAACAGGAATGAGGAACCATTGACCCTCCGGATGTTGTTGGACTGCAGTTCCCATCATCCCATCCCATTGGCTGTGCTGGCTGAGGCTGATGGGAGCTGGAGTCCAACAACAGTGTAAGATTATCTACACCACAATCATAATATAAATGAATGTGCTAAGTGTTCTTTAGTGTAGCGTAGCCTTGTGGGCAGGAAAGGAAAAAAATCATCTCAACATGAAATTCTAAGCTTTTCCTCCCTGCCAGTTTAACAAACATGTTTTTAATTTGCACCAAAACAAATTTATGCACAATTGTATGCTTATGTCCATATGAAGCGGGAGGGGAGAATGAAACACGATGAAATGACGCTGATTGGAAACTTGGTTTTTTAATTGTTTGTTTTTATTAGCACAGACATAGTTTTCCGTTTAAGCGCTCTTCTGCAAATATTTCAGTAATTAAATATAATAGCCAAAAAAAGAGTTTTAGAAATGCAGCTAACACAGTGCTGACCAGAAACATAATAGTGACAATGTGTGGGGATATATATGTGTGGTCTTGAGCTTGCACATTTCATATGACACTGCACGTATAAAAATTGAGCTCTTAACACAGTTTTGTTCCATTCTTTCAACAAAAAAGCCAGATTTTCTGCTGTTGGGCAGGGGGAGGGGAGAACATGGAGAGGAGGGAACACAGGACTATGATTTAATGGCATTGTATAAATACCCTGTAAAGAGTGGGTGAGTAGTGTGACAATTGCAAAGCAACAGTGGGCTTGGCAGCATCCAAGTCACAAATCCACACTGAAATGAGACAAACACCATGACATCACATCACGTCTCTCTCCTCTTCACCCCCCACTCCCTGCCAAACACATAACACATACTTTACATAGAACAAATACTGAAAATGTGGAATGTTTGTGCAAGCTGAAAGATTTAGGAGCATCTGCAACATCTCTAGTGATGGGGAAAGCAGGGGAACATTCTCAGGCATTTTCATGCTTACCCAGGTCTGTTCAAAAGATGGCAAGGGGGAAGAAAGTGAAGTATTTAAAATATTTTTCAAGCTTTATTAAGGCAATAACATTCATTTAAAAATACGGCAATTTAAGACTTAACACTCTCGTTTTTCTGAAACCCTTGCAACTAACCATATCCATAAGCAAGAATACTGGAAACTTATATAAATTTGAATTTTTGCAAACATCGCTTGTGCTTTCCCCCCAAATGCTTCAATAAAAATGATGTAGATTTCGAAGTGACCAAACATCTCATTCTCTTCAGCCATAAATCTTGTAGAGGCCAAGAGAACCCAATCTTACTGTTTTCCTTACTGGCACTTCAGTACTGTAATTCTTCTTTTTCCACTTTGGTTTCCAATGCAAGTTATCGTGTTTTGACCATATTCAAGTGTGCACATGGATAGAGCTTGACCACTCTGCATACAGATGGAATTATGTTGGTAGCCACACTCAATTTTAACCCAGTTCAGGATGCATGTGGTGAGATTATATTTGTCCATCTGTGGCAGAACTGCTATTACTCTCTTGCTGTTTCTTACTGCCTTCGCTTCTCCTGTCCATCTGTAGCAACTGAATGCACAAAGCAACAAGACATGTCTGCTGCCAGTTTACAAGGTGCCACAGTGCCCTCTGGTGGGTGCAAGGCACAATAGTTTTAGGCAAATCCCGCATGTGAAATGGCATGTTTGAAAAACAAAATAATAATAATTACACTATAACATTTGAAAATGGGATCAAGTTAAAGGCACTTCGAGACTGTGCTGTAGTTAAATCGAGGTGTATAAAATCAAAAGTGTGCCTCCCTGGTAAACCTGTGTCCAAGAATGAATAAATCCTCTTTTCAGAAAATATTGTAGCTAAGCTGCTCATCTACTGTGGGCTCAAGTTCAATACTCTGTTCCACTAGTAAAGCTGGTTGATTTGCAGGCCATAGTGAGCAATGGTGCAACAGCCAGACCAGAAGAAAACTATAGGACCCCTGCTTCAAGAATGGCTTCTGTCATTCTCACCTCGTTGCTTGCAGATCCCACGGGGGGGGGGGGACACACAAGAGTTCTGAGAAGGGGGGTACCAATTTAAATTTGAAGACTGGCTGTATGCACACCTGCATAGCTGTCATCTAGGAGGAAGAGGAGGATGTTTGCACAACTACATGTTAAGGCCAGCTAGTATGTGTCCAAAAGGAACCCCAGACTCATTTAAGATTGAGAAATACTTGTCTTGCATAACTGAGGCTACTATGAAAGTGGAGAGTGGCCAATCCACTTCTGGCACAGGCAACATGTGAAAAGTCTCTGTGTGACAGTGCCAGGTGTAAAATGGGGTTGTTGTACTTCCTAATGAAATTAACTGCATTAAATACCCCATGCTGTATCGTGACTGTGACCTGACTTATACCTGTTCTGAATCAGGGCTGGGGAACCACTTTTGGCTCAAGGGTCAAATTTGTTGTTCCAAAGGTGGAAGTGGGCAAGCCACACCCACCTGCCCATCACCAGACATCAGGCAGAGGAAAGGTAAAGCCACGCCTGCAAAAGAACAATTAGGAGAATACTGTAAGCCTTCGAGCGAGTTCTCAATTGTGCCTTTGCAGCTGTGGCTTGAATTTGGTGATGTCTGAACACGGCATATTTCCCCATAGCGCTACTTTCATCATGGCTCTGATATAGCTGCAGTGAGCAAGTGCTTTCAACCTCTACCATAAGTAGCAAAACAGGTGAAAGACACCTAATTGAGATGGTGTTGAATTCAAGCTGTGGCTGCAAAGGAACAATGGTGTCAGGAGTTGGACAGGTGGGAGAGGATTACCTAAAACAACCTCACAGGCCTACTCACAGGTTGGAGATTCCCTCCACCCCAACTGCTCTTTGGGGAGGTACAAGAGAAAGCCAGTTAAAGAGGAGTGAGGATGTGTGCTGATGTATATAAAAGAGGGAGTTGGGAAGATCTGGTGTAAGCTTTTCCCCCTGCAGAGCAAACCTGGATTCATCTCCCCCTACAGTGCCATCAGCACACATACTTACTAGGGATTACATGACTGAATCAGCCACAGATCTTGCCCCTCCTGCCGTGGGTAATGTAAGCTATCTGACTTTTTAAAAAAAATATATTTTTAAAACCGTCACTTGTACATCTAAGCACTCCAAGAGTTTATTTGCTACCTCAGTCCTGGAGAGGATTACGTATGTACAAGTAGGACTTGCAACAAAAAAGTTGCATTGTGGATGGAGTGCTCCTGCTCAGGGGTCCAGCTCAGCCTGCGTTGCCCTCTTAAAATGTACTCCATTCCATCTCCCTTTCTGGTTTTCCTCCCCACACCCACCCACTAACCAGCATCCTGAGCACACTGAAGATGCTCAGTTCTAACTGGACTATTTTGGGACTTGCACTCTGAGTTTTTTTCTAAGGGTTTTTTGTGCTTGTGGTTCCCGTATATGTGTGGTGTAGTTTAGATACACAATGATCAATACACCAAGAATGAGCTCACTACTCGTACATAGGACAGGACAAGAAGACTGGTGAATGTACTTTGAGAGCTCAGAATCTTTTCGTGCACATCTTCAGCCTTAAGATACCCACCAAGAGGTATGGTTGGGTTTCTCCCCAGAACTAAAATTCTCCACATTGATTCATATTGAAACTAGCTAATGAACCAAGTTTCATATTCTAATATTTACACTCATCCTACAATTCCCAACAGGACTAAGCCAATGAGTAGTAAAAACTGAAAATCAATTTTAAAAAAAGGTAAAACTATATTGAACAAGCGCCCTGTTTTTATCCACTAAAAAGCAAAACATTATTTCACCACCAGCATTTTATTATAACCCCTGCTTGTCTGCCCCTCTCAAAGAATAGCTTGCCAAGTAACAAGGCTGGCTCAGGATACAGCTCAGAGGATCACACACAAGCACGCGGGAACCACAGTGCCTCCTTAACCATAAAACCTTTATTTGTTTCAAGTGGCCAAAGGGGGAGAAATCCATTCTTCTTTTGTCTGAAATGCATTATATGGCAGCCGAGAAAGCAGAAGCCTCACCTCTTTGTCTTCCCTCCCTACCTTGGGGTGAAAGAAAAGGGGGCCAGCACAAAGCTCCTTGACTGGTTACAAAAAAAGAATAAAGATACTTTATAAAAATGTATGTGGTATAAGAAGGAGGGAAAAAAGGAGAAAACAGCCAGGACAGCGGCAGAGAGCATCTGACCGCCATATGCATGAGTGACTGAATGTGATACAAAGTGCATAAATGTGCCTCGTCCTCCCTCTCCCCTCCCCACCTCCCACCTCCCCCCACCCCACCCCAATCCCTCTAAGTTGTTAGGTGGGGATTCTGGCTCCAGACCCAACATGCTGCCTCCCACCCGTGAACAGCTCACTGGAACTTCAGCTGTCAGGGCCCCAGTAGCAGGAGAGCAACACCTGCAACAAAAAGAATATGACAGGAATTACAAAGCTTGGCAGGCTTATTTGCTATAGTGCAGGAATCCCACCTACAGATTTATGCATCACCGCCCAACTTTGGCTCATGGGCAAAACATGTTAAAGGCTTAGTCTCCCACACAAGCCTACACACCCTTTGGAGCAGCACGTTCAAATCAAGGTGACCTTTTGTAACTGCAGTGTTATTTAGTATGCCAAATTCCCTCTTCAGTTCTCTTTCAGTTAGAATTCCCAAGGAACCAATCTTCCATTTCCCCAACCAAAATAAATGGAAAGTCATGTGCGGCATTGCCCACTAGGTGGCAAAAAGTTCCTAGAATAACCTGCAAGTTGCAGACACAGGATGTTTCCCACCACCTGCGGTTCCAGCTGCTAGAATGCTACTCTAGTCCCTGGAATAATGGTAGTCTGGTGCAGCAAAGACAGCCCAAAGAGTAACAAATGTATTATGACCTAAACTTTTGTAGACTAGCATTCATTCTGTGCTATGACACGACCTGTACTTTTTGCATTTCATTTGCTTCTATCCTCATACACCCACACAGCCCAAAAGCACACATGTGCATATATTGCGTGCATGCACCTACTCAGGACAATATGTCATGCATCTGACGAAATGGAGTCTAGTCTACAAATGTTTGTGCCTTGATAAACATGTAAGTCTTGAAGGTGACGGAAGACTGTTGTTTTTGCAACAATTCCCAGGTCAACTAGTGCAGCACTCATTGGGAATTGCTCTATACCAGTCACACTTCTTCAGCCTGGCAGCTAGTTTCCTCACCTACAATATGCACATACCATTTACACAGGAATCAAAGCACATGAATCATTCTGTGATGGTCATGTCACTTTACATTAACTGCAATGGACCTCTGACAGACGGCAAATGTTTTAGGCTCCTTTACTGCAGCTGGCTTTGGGATTACAAACAGCTAGGCAAGAGCATGATTATCATGAACATGCATGATAATTCACATATGTAGGATTCCAGAGTGCCAATTACCACAATGCAAGCACAGGTAATCCACTAGTGCAGCCTTCTGGGCTCATGCAGTTCTACTAACTATAGCTTTGTCCTTATAGTACCAGGATTAACCCAGTATACATTACCAGAGTGGTAAATGGAAAGGTCAAAAAGGACAGGAGGATTCCCCCAAGCTCCCTATCCCCACCCACACAAACACAACAAAAATAAATGTGTACTGAAAAGCATTGTATTTGAAATCACACTTATGTGCTAACACAAGCAGCCTGAAGCTGCTGAGTGCAATCTGGACAAGACTTCAGTGAGAGCTCACGGAAGAGAATTTGGGGTATATGGATACTAGCAGGGAAGAGATTTAATGGCCACTCTTATAACTCTGTCCAACTGACATCTACTATGAAGAGTGCTTCAACTTCCAGGAGGCCTAAATGCCTCATCCTCTTCTCTCAGATAACAATTCAGAGGTCTTAATGCTTGATGTACAACAGCCACAGACATTTTTCTGTGAGCATGCTTGACAAACTGCCAAAATTCCAACAAACTTTTCTTGCAGCTGCAGAACAAAAATGGCCAGCTGTGCTGAATGTAGTGCACTTGGAAAGCAATGATAATCCCACTTGCACAAATATTAGGGATCAGATGCCCATTTGGAAAGCTAGACTTAAGCCCTGCATCTGAGAAGAGAAACTTGCCTGAATGTTTTTATTTCAAGACTTCTTCTTTTTCAACTTCAGGACTTGCAGCCAATTGGGTGAGGATGTTTCTGACCTAGGGGAGTCAGGAAATGGTTAAAAGCAAAAGGTGGAACTACGATAGGGGGAAAAAATGGGTTACCCACATTCCAGAGGCAAAATGATGGACTTGGATGCTAAGAAATAGTTTGAATACCAACGCTCAGCATGCAGCCACACAGACATGCCACTGTATACAATTTTCCAACCCCTCCAACACTACGCAGGCAAGGAGGCAGAGTGCAGAGAACAGGATCTAAGAGCCCTGCACCACTAATCCCCCCCCCAATCTAATATGTCTCATGAGTTGTGGGCAGGAAGCCTGAAGGAGCAGGTAGCACTGTGACCGATGGCAGAACCCAAAATCACAACACTAAGTAACAAAGTTTGCCCCAAAATTATATATTTATTATGTTTCTTATTTATTTCAGTTACTTCTACCTGCCTTTGCTCACAGAAGTGGACTAAGGCAGCTTACAACAAGACCACGGCTACAGTCATAAAATACAAATCATAAATACAAACCAGTAAGACAACAGTTGAAAACAACAATTAAAACATCATGGAGAGAGGCCAGGTTAAGTGAGCACCTGCTGGAATAAGATGTTCTTCACTGCTTGCTGAAGGGCAAGCAATGAGGAAGTCAAGTGCATCTCCCTAGGCAGGCTGTTCCTTAATGTGGACACCACAACAGAGAAGGCTTTCTCTCTCTCGCTCTTTCTGTCTCTCTCTCTCTCTCTCTCTCTCTCTCTCTCTCTCACACACACACACACACACACACACACACACACACACACACACACAGATCAGCCCGTTAGTTGTATCTCTAACAGCAAGTGAATATAGTAGAGGGCCTCTGTAGCGGAACAGCATTCCTGCGCAGGTTCTCATGGGAGAAGGCAATTCCAAAAGTAAGAGTACATCCAGTTTCAAACTTTTTGTAACATTAGTTTTTGAATGCTCAAAGAGGGAGCAGACAACTGCAAAGTTTACTTTAAAAATGAGAAAATCCCATGAGGTCATTTGCTGGGAACACATAACTGAACTACAAAATCTGTTTTAGGACAATACTTTTATTAGGCCAACCAAAAATGTCACAAAACAGCAGACAAGCTTTCAAGTTGCCCAGAACTCTTTATCAGGCTGGATGTTCAAAAAGCAACAGTGGGGAGAGAGAGAAGAGGAGGGAAAGGCCATGAGTCTGCAGCAGGTAAGAGTCTTAACCCAAAATGCCTTTGTCCCTTCCCCTCTAGCTGAATGCCAACCACTAAGAGGTCTTGACTAGTTTACATGCCAGAGTCTCATTCGATGCCAGCACTAAAAAGACAAAACATTCCACCAACTAAGAATGACTATGCATTGTTCAGAGCAGAGAAGGTGGGGCAGGGGAGTAGAACTTGTGGTCTTCCAGATGTGGATGGACTGCAACTCTCCTCAGCCCCAGCCAGCATGACCAGTGGTCAGGGACAATGGGAGTTTCAGTCTGGTAACATACAGAGGACCATAATTGCCCACCCATGACTTAGAGGGGCACATGGTATACAGACACCTGTAACTGACCAACAATAGGCCAGCAAAGTCCATAAGATTGAACAAATGCCCTTCATTTGGGATTCTTCCCCATCCCTGGTTTTCCCTAGTCAAGGAACATTCTGTACTCATTAAGCACACTTAGTTCTCAATGGGATGTTTTTTGGGGAAGGAGGCATTCCCCTCAAAAAGGTTTCTTCCTTCATGATTTTTTGTGCTTCTGCAAACCTGGGGTGCTGCCTCTTGTGCATGGGTGGTGATGTTCTGACTACATAAGCAATGGCACTTGGAGAATTGAGAACACTGATAGTATATATGATTTTATCCTAATTTCCTGTGTATTGTTGGCTGCTGCCTTTCTTCTGCTATAGTTGCCAGAAAGAGCTGCAGCACACTCGCATTCTGCAGCAAGCAGGATAACCACCACCAACATACCAACACATGTTATTTTCCACCACCACACACCTACCCTGAGGATTTCTCTGGTTTGGGTGGCAGCACCAGAGGCTTCCCAGTGATGTTGGCAATCTTGCACGATTTAGAGCGCTGAACATGGGTTTCCTTGGCCTCACTTTGTGGATCCCCTTCCTCAGCAGAACGGTTTCGGCCTCGCAACTTGGCCTAGGATTGAGGACAACAGATTTACAAAAACAGGCATTTAGCAAAACACCTAACATTTGCTTAGAGTTGTCCTACTCCCTGATCTTTCATTGGCAATTTTCTGCTTTTTCTCATAACTGCCCCCTGCACTTCCTTTACCATCAGGGGCTGGAGGTTAGATAGTAATCTCCTCTGACAAAGCAAAGACCTATCTCAACTGTGTGGAAGTTTTTGGCTCCATGGGCCAGGATTGCCTTACAAGCCAAACTGGACACAACTAACCCTGTGGGCCAAAACAAGCCTTGCAAGGCCACCCATTTGTCAATCACCTCACTAAAACAGTGAAAAACGTTTTGTTTTAGCAGGGCTTTCAATGCCAACACCTTTTTATAACAGGAGATTTGCACTGAACCTACTGCTAAAGCAAAGGTTTTTCGTCCTTTCATTTTAGCAGGGGTTTCAATGCATACACTTCCCTTCCTTATGGGTTCACATTGAAACTCCTGCTAAAACAATTCCCCCCCCCCCCCCATTTTAGTAGGATTTCAATGCAAACCCCTTCCTGAACCCCTGAAACCCCTGGCCGCCTATAGGCCAGAGGTTTATCAGCTATTTAGTCCAGCATCCTGGTTCGTCATAGTAGCTAACCAGATGCCTATGAGTGCAATAGCATTCTACCATTGGTGATCCTCAGCAAATGATGTTCAGTGGCACGATGGAAGTAATGTTTATCCACCATGACTTGGAAGCATTGACTGTCTCATTCTCCATGAGTTTTTCTCCCCCCTCCTTTCATTCAGTACTTTGATTTCAGCTTGGAATTCTAACATAGAACATTCCACTATCTGATAGCAAAGGCCACTCAGTTTCTAAGAGCCAACCCATATTTGTTAACATTGTGTCATTCTTTATCCTGTCCCCAACCCCTTTCCAGGTACTACCTTCAATGCCGATGGGTTCAGCCCTGGGAAGAGAGGGACCTTTACCCCCTTTGACAGTGGAGATGTTCGTGACTTCCTGCTCCTTGGTTCCTCTGGGGCTTCTTCATCAGAGACCGCAGAAACTATTCGAGGCTCTAAACAGGGAAGAAAATGGCAATACCATAATGCAGAAGAACCCATGCTGACACCATGTGACGCATTTTAATCCATGCCCCAACAGGAGGAAAAAAATGACATAATCTAAAGTGCAGTGCCTAGAAAGCAGCAATGACAGGCAACCTAGGACACTCCTGTTGGAAACCTTTGTCACACCAAGTCATGCTGTATGTGGCACATCTGCTAAGCCTATTAACAAAGCCTAAGCACATGTAACTGAAGCAACCACATACTGCTGCTTTGGTTATCCCCTCTTCGCTCTGTCAAATTCTGGACTGCAAGCTCTAGATTGTAGCATAATACAAACTACCTTAAGATGGCCTAACCCTAATCAGTGCCTCTGTAGTGAACGCTGCCTGGGAATCATATGCAAGCTGCCTAGAGCTTTTTGTGAAGAAAGGCAAGAATGTAAGTTAACAAAATAAGCCACGCACAAAATGACATAACCAAGAAAGACACAAAGAGATAACACATCCAAAATCGCTTCAGTAACAGGTGTTGGGAATACACCAATGAAGGCTACATGCCAGGCCCAGCATGCAACGCTCCATGCTACCTGTGGAATCTCTGAACATCCAATTGTCTCCGTCGTTCTCGGAAAGAGCCCCTCCAGACCGGGTGGCTGGTGCACGATGACCTCGCTTACGGCCCAAATTAACACGGTCGCGATACACAGTGTTGTCAAGAACCTCTGTATCCTAAAAGCATACAGAAGAGGAGAACAAAGGGATCAGAGAAACACATTTCTCCCTCAATGAATGCACAGCAACACCCAGAGTGTCCCCATAGATCCTTCTCAGCTTCAGTTCCTCCAAGGAGCAGAAACTGAAGAGTACTTCATACACTTTCCAGCGACATGCACAGCTTGCAGGACCACAGCTAGCAAAGCATCCACATATTCCCACAAAGCCTGAGCTCAACCATTAACAACTTGTTCTTTCATTAAAAGGGACACGGGTAGCGCTATGGGTAAAACCTCAGCACCTAGGACTTGCCGATCGCATGGTTGGCGGTTCGAATCCCCGCGGCGGGGTGAGCTCCCGTTGTTCAGTCCCAGCTCCTGCCCACCTAGCAGTTCGAAAGCACCCTTAAGTGCAAGTAGATAAATAGGTACCGCTTTATAGCGGGAAGGTAAACGGCGTTTCCGTGTGCTGCTCTGGTGCCGTGCAGGTTCGCCAGAGCAGCTTCGTCACGCTGGCCACGTGACCCGGAAGTGTCTGCGGACAGCGATGGCTCCCGGCCTCTAGAGTGAGATGAGCGCACAACCCTAGAGTCTGGCAAGACTGGCCTGTACGGGCAGGGGTACCTTTACCTTTACTACCTCTTTCATTAAAAACTGTTAATATGTGTCAGTTTTCTTCTATTTCCTGACCCAAATACTCTTCCATGGTTGGCTCACCTTCTAAATTTTAGGTGAACGACTAACAGCTATGAGTAGAGGAAGGCAGGGAGAACAGCTTATGAATTTTTCCAACCAGATTGCACTGCATCAGGCTGCTTACATTGTCCTGGGATGTCACTCAAGTCTAAAGTGCGGGATGAGGCTGCTTACCAAAAGCCTGGACACACTAGCTCTGTCCATGTAGCACAACACAAGGGCATCACCAGGCTGTGTGGGAAGGCTTCTGGGCAGACTGGCATGGGTGGTTGGCTGAAACCTTTCCTACAAATGATTTACAGCTTGCATGAAAATCAAGGGACAAAAATAACTTTGGTTCAAGGTTGCCCAACTGAAATGGCAATATTAGAAAAAGGATTTAGATTTCTCTTCTCACTCTCTAGTCTTCCAGCTTATTTCTACTTCAGCAGCAAGACATAAGCTGTTTGTTGGAGGACTCATGACTCATGAGTCAACTTGTGAAGCCTGAAATATTATCTGGAGTCAGCCACCAAAATACAGCCAAAAAAGGCAAGGTTATGAGATATTCTTTATACATAGAATCACAGAATCATGGAATTGTCATTGGAGGGTCATCTAGTCCAACCCCCTGCAATGCAACATGTTTTGCCCAACGTGGGGCTCAAACCCATGGCCCTGAGATAAACAGCCTCACGCTCTACTGACTTAGCGATCCCTCTCAATCCAGAAGCAATTATAGAAGATGACAAAACCCTTTGTAAAGCAGGTCTGAAATGGAGCATTTGCCTGAAAGAAAGCATTAGGAACCCATGTTTCTATATCAGCTACGCATTTAAATGTAATGTAAAAGCCCCTCAAACCTTAGAATTGCTGTGCAGAGAAGGCTCAGGGGTCAAGCAGGTACCTCAGAAACATCTTAAGTACTACTTACCTCTAAGAAGATGAAGTTCTCCCCTTCAGGAGCAATAGCTCCCTCTGAAGCAGGAGCCTTCTGTGATATGGGCTGTGCAGCTTGACTTCCATTTTGCTCTGGATGATTCAACACTCTCAGGTCCACGGGTAGCTGACTCCCATTTCCACTGTCTAACTGGCTGTCCCCACCATCTGCAGCAGACAAAGCTTTTCCATCCTCCTTTGCTGAGAAAGGCAGTCCTTCAGCCCTTTCAGCAAGAGCCCCCTGGTTATTACGCAGGCTGCGCAGTATCCTCTCTTCTTCTGAATGGCAGCTGTGGAAGGAGGCAGGTCTCTTCTGCTGGGCCACCTCTTTGACAGCACTATTGGAAACCATGTCTTCCTGCAGGCAGCTGGGGCTGGAGAGTCGCTCACTACGGAATTTTCTGCTTGGATGTCAGATAATGAACGTTAGGGTAAGGTTCTTCTTAATTCTTATCAACAGGGCTCTCACTATCCTAGCAAAATTCCCCCTCCCCAACTCCAAGCATCCCCATATCTCCTAATCATCCCAAAGCCGTTTTTCTCCTCACTGTACAAAAGAAATGATGGTATGTGAAGGTCAGGACTCGACAGCCAAAGGGAGAATGAATACCTTACAAACATGATGCAGGCCTATGCAGGCCTAAGGAGGCATCAGAGATGGACAAACCCACAACAGAGGATTCAAACCTACAATTGCCAATGGTCAAAGAGTACAAATACCTCAAAGAGAACTCAAATCATGACCCTACGCTTAAGCCACATGGTACAATCATCGTAGGGATATCCACTTCACAACGCAGGTGGAAGCTCATGTGATCCAAGGCAGCAACAGTTTGCATTAGAGAAGACAGGAGGAAAGATAAACCTGCACATTTCCCGACTGCCAAAATAAATACAGGCTATACTATATGACCATTTCAAAAGGCTGGACTGTAATGAGGAGTGTGGGATATGTAACTGCAGCTACCCCACAGACTACAGATTCCTCAGGCCAAAGGCTGCTGTTATGACATGTCTGCCCAATTTACAACCCACAGCCTGCAAAAACCCTGGCTTGACAACCTCCCTGGTTTTACATTCCCTTAAGGGCAACTCTAAAAGAACAATCCTATGCATGCTTACTGAGAATTAAGTCCCATTCTGTTCAATGAGGCTTACTCTCACATAACACACATAGTCCTGGTTAGCATGTAATGGTAAACCATAGCCTAAAATTATGGTTTACCATGACCCCATGTTTTTGGAGCGTTTTCAAACAAACCATGAGTAAGAAATCAAGGTTTGTCTTTGGTTTGCCACTTGTGGTTTGTTTAGTGGGAAACAAACCATGAGTGCCGGTTTGCATGCAATGCTAAGCCAGCAATGATTTGCTTCTGAAAAAGGACAAACACAGAGGTCACAATCCGACCACCATGTACAAGTATACTGCTTGTTTAAGATAAGCTATAGTTCATTTCAGAGCATGGCTGCTACATGCAAACTGGACAATAGGATTATAGCCTTAATCAACTTCAGTGAGCTGCTAGGCACCGCTGCATTCTGTTCCCTCTGTGGCCTGAAGAATGTAAGTATGAAGAGGGGAGTACCCAAGACACGACACATTAATTAATTTTCATTCAATTTACACTGGTTTGGATGGTGATACTTCCTGGTTTCTCATTTTGAGTTGCAGGGATTAGCAGAGAGATTCAATCACTCCATGCATGGCTTAAGGGTGTCAAGTGTACAAAATTACCCAATATACAAGAAAGCCTTTGTTTGGAAGTTACGCAGCAACCAAAACAGGCAGAGGCAGCTTCAAAACAAAGAGTATGACTAGGCATGCACATGAGAAGGATTCCACATCAGAGAAAGGCAGCATGCTAGGCTTGGACTAGGGAGCCCCAAATTAATATCCATGCTCAGCCACGATGTTCACTGGGTGACCTTGGCTGTACCGTCTATTCTCTCCATCCCCCATTTTAGCCAAATCAGAAGGCACATCATTTAGCTAAGAAGAGTCCTTGAGTGAAACCTGCACCTTTTTAAATGGCTGTGTGCATGACATTGAAAGTCACACCTTGTTGTTCTCCTTGAATTCTCTCTACAGTTGCCAAGGCCGTCTCTATAACTATCCATTTTCATTAGGTTACAAGGACGAGATGATGGCAATCAGTTATTTGAGATTAAAACTGACCCAATTCTTCCCAATTTCTACACATATATGGAGGGCACGATGAGAAGACTTCAGTTCTTTCCCCAGGCCTTTCAACATTTTCAACATATGTTACCAATCAGTGCTTTTAACATTATTTTGTTTTGTTTTGATAAACTTGATGACAATGAGGCTTAAGCTCAAGAGGAGTTTAGCATTTAGACTGTTCGTTTGCTATGGTTCATTTTTGCTGCTGTACTTGATTAAATTTAATATATTTAATTTTCACTGTTGGCCACTTGGGGCTCCAGCATAATGGTGACTAATAAATAATAGTTTGCCCCTGTTTCATGGTTAGCTTAAAAAGTGCAGCACTGCAAACTATCTTTCTTGTCCCTTTTGCTTTCCATAATCACAATCCAATTTGATGACTTCGCATTTAAAAGAGCTCACAATCTGGAAGTCTTATTCCAAGCAGTGACATGAGTTCCTCAAATGATAGAACAGAAAGATGCTGGTTATAACCCACAGAAAGTGATAGAAACATGACAACAGCATTAGCTGTATAAAAATAAAATTGTTTCACATTTAGGAAAATGGGAGAAAGGCGACAGGGGTTTGTGCGGTCTGCTACTCCTACTCTGTTTTGCATTTCAAAAAAGCTGGACAGTCATCAAAAATGTTATTTCCCCAATGAAAGCAATACAGGTATGGATCCTGTATTTGAGGGCTGGGGGGGGGGGGAGAGAATAGCTACCACTTCATTCCAGGAAGAGACCACAAGGGCCTGGTCCAACCCCTTCTGACCTACTTCAGTTATGGGACCTGTTCCTACCTCTGAAATAGTGTGCCACTTCCACATCAGCACAATCCTTAAGCCATACTTTCTGCTGGTCTCTCAAGTACCTAGTTGTGGAGAATGTATTGCCAAAAAAGAGGTGCTCAAAAGCACATGTTCAAAGGAGGGAGCAATGCCACCTCACATCCTGACAAAGCACTCCTACTCCAGTCTAGAGCAGTGTTTCACAACCAGGGGCCATATGCTGGGGCCCAGGATATTCCAAGGGGGCCACAGGAGAAAACTGCGTAAATGAGGGACCACAGCAAGAGGCATGGGGGGGACAGAGGGAAGTGAAACATTTTTTTAAAAATACTAGTCAGCAAATCCAAGGCTGAAGAGAAACAAGTGATGACGAAGAGAGATGTTTACAGAATACAATATAGGAAAGAGAATTATAGATACTGTCACTCATTTTCACCCATAACAAAGAGGTTGTGACTTCAGAGCATACTGAATGAGAGTGCTAATTATGTGCATAAGACATGGGACCTGCTGGTACAGGATGTTGCTGAAGCAAGACAGCTAATTGAAAGCCAAACACTAGAAGCAATTCATAAAAGAATCCGTCCTCTTCTCCTCATTCCTGCTGAACATGGCACCAACCCAAGACAAGACAGTGGAACTGATCATACGACAGCAAAGGTGACAGCTCTTGCAGAACAGCAGCTCTATCATTAGGCATTTGCCTGGTCAGCTAAGGAGAGTAAAAATATACCTCCAGGTAACCTGCTGCAGCCCCCCCCCCCACCTGCCTGATTTCATTCTGCAACAGCCACAGTACTCTACCGTGTTTCCACAGTTAGGAAAACAAAACAGTGCACATCATGGCTACTGGGTGTGCAGTTGCTGTCATGACCAGATGGAGGGTAGCAGTGGAGCATCACTGGATTTTCTCACCAAAGAAACAAGAGTTACACACTATGATTGTTGCTTCTAAACCTCAGGGCCATATTCAACTAATATGTTGAGCTAAAGTTCCATCACCACGAGGATTTTATTTGTTGGATGGAACCTTCTCCCTCTCTTCTTCCCTCTCCCACACCACCAAATGTGACCCATGCCATCCCCAAATCTGCTATGGAGAACTGGGGGGAAACCCATAGTAGATTTAGGGGCCACACAAGGAGTGAGGGAAAGAAGTTCCATTGCCTGAGCAGTGTTTCTACATTGCAGCGCCGTAGAAGTTGCCTATCCTGGTTCCCACAAAGGTTTCTGGCTTCAAGAGGTAGCTGTAAGGCCTACCTCAGCAGCTGTGCACTATAGACACAAAGTAATATGTGGTACTGGCTGTACTAACAATGGGTAACATGGAGGGATGAAAGGGAATGGTTGCAAACCGATTAAAAGTGTGCAACTGTGCTTTTGACTTTACAAAAGGAATTTACAAAAGGAAATGAATACAAAAACAAAATCAGTACTTCAATTCCATTGTCCACTTGTATTCATTTAGCCTTCCACTTCCATTCTAACTTTCTTAAGAGACATGGGGCTGTGCCATCACTTGCTTCACTCACCAAACCCCCCCCCCCCCTTCTGACCCACATTAATGATGCGGTATAAGCCTCAGTGGTACAAAGCAAGAAGGAGGGGAAGCATAGAGCACAACAGATGCTGGGGAGCTGCTCAAGGGGTCCCGACTGTTCCTCTATGACTCACTTGGGCAGGTCACCTGCTTCACTTCCCTTGTTGTCTGACACTGCTGAGGCTGAAATGGCATCACTGGTGTGAGGTGAATAGCAATGGATGTGGCGGCAGCAGCAGCAGGACAGCTGCTGGGAAGATGTCCTGGCAATTCCTCTGTGGATCGCCTGGGCAACCTACCCACCTGCCTTCATCTCCTCCTCCTCCTCCAATACCACTGTGATAGCTCTCATAGGTCTGTTGTCACACTGCACCGCACTGCACAGCATCACCTGTTGGAGGCCAAGTGAACTGAAGCATGTAAACATCTGAACCTTTTTATAATACATTAGGATACAGCCTTTACCTTTCTCCAGAGACTCCAGCTGCTCTTGGATGCTCCATCTCATCACCATCCAAAGGTGTCGCTCCAAACTGATAGCTGCTGTCCTTATGCTTTATCCCAGTTGCGCCAGTCCAGTCCATCTGTATTAGATCTACTTCCTCAGCCCCATCCAAAGCCTTGGGCCTCAAATCAGACACTTCCATGCTTTCAGTGCCAGATCTGTAGGCCAAATCTGCTTGTCCCACACCAGGTTCTCTGGTCTCCTCTGGATTCACAGTCCTTACATCTGATGAAGCAGACAAGGTTTCCAGACCCAAGGAAGGAAACCAATGAAGCTGCTTCTCTGTAGGTTTTTCAGATGCATCTGGGCTCCCAACTTTCAAGTCTTTTGAGAGATCCATGCCTCTGAGGCCAAGATCTTGAGTCCACTCAGGCTGCCCCTCTCCAACTCCTCTAGGCTCATCCATAGCAACTGCTATTAAGTCTCTAGACTGACCTACCAGGCTGCCAGCTGTCTCCTCTAAATCCACGGTCACACTTAGACTTGGTAACTCTATTGGACCAAAACTACCAGCTCGGTCCTTCCCTACAGCACCTAACTGGTTATTTTGTTTAGTTGCCGAGACATCAGTGTCTCTGACCCATTCTCTTGTGGCAATGGGGAAATCACTATCTTGTAGATCAGATTCCCTAAGGTTGTAATCATCAGCCCAGACTGGCTTCCGGGCACAGTACTCCACATCACCAGCCTCAAATTCAGTGGTGCTGCTTCTGCTTGCAATACTGAGTTCTCTTTCCCAGCGTGTTTGATTATCATCATTTTCACTGGCTCCATCTGGTTTTTCAGCACTGAACACACCATCACGGCTTTGGGGAATACCCATGACATATCTGCTGGGCCAATCAGACTGTTTGACACTCACTTCAGACTCCTGACAGCTGCCATCATCAAAGCCATATGTATTGGGTCGTAGTCGCTGTTGGATGCTAACCTGGGATTCTGGATGATTGGCACTATATTTACTAGGTTGCTCCACCTGGTTGGCATGGGACTCTGACTGCACTGGGCTAGCCCTGCTGTCAACATTGGAATCACTAGGCCAGCATGACTGGCTGGCACTGGATGTGGCATCCTGAGAGCCAACACTGACAGCACTGTGATCACTGGGCCCCTCTAAATGCCTGGCACTGAGCTCTGCATCCTGGTGGCTGTGAGTACCATATTTGCTAAACGCATCTGATGATTTTGTGTTAACCTCCAATTCTGGACAGCTATCCTTTTCTTCACTGTATTTATTCGGCCAGTCAGTTCTTTCAGTAGCACCAACATGATAGGGGCTGCTCCAACCCATTTTCTCAGCAGCAGACCTGCTGCTCTCCTGATCATCTTCATTACTGCAGAGTCTGGGCCAGCCTGGTTTTCTCACGTATGGCTCTCGGTCCTGACACTCAGCAGTGCTGATGCTATATGTGCTGCTCCAATCTGGCTCCTCAATCTTCTGGTCACCACAGCTGCTGCCATAGGCAGTGATCCAATCTTCTTGCCCTGGATTAGAACTGTCCTGCAATGGTGTTCCTCTGGTCCAGACTTTTTGGCTGGAACCAAATTCCATATCCTGCCTTTTGGCATCACTGTACGAGCTCAGCCACTCCTGTGGGCCAGTGCCAAATTCTCGATCCTGCTCTGTCTCACCAGGCCAAACTACCTTGCCAACACCAGCAGCCCAACCCATGCCAAAGGTAGCAGACCGATCAACTTCTACAAAGCCAAACTCGCTGTGAAGATCCTTCCTTGACCATCCCAGAAGATCCTAACAAAGAAAGGCAAGGAAAATAAAGCAACATTAGAAAGGCATGGGACAGTGAGCCAAATTTAGTGGGGATCTGATCTAGTAAAGATGTCCCTTCTCCCAACAGTCCAATATGAGAAATACATTAAGGAGACAGAAACTGAAAACGTAAATTCACTAAACCCTTCCTGTATTTTTTTTTAAACCAGTTTGAATATATTTCACTTAACATGCACAATTTAGGAAAGGGCCATTACTGAGTAGCAGCACGTTTTGCATGTAAAAGTGCCAGGTTCAATCCCTGCCATCCACAGACTGGGTTGGTAAAGATCCCTGTCCAAAACCTTGGAGAGCAGCTGGTCAGTGCAAACCATTATATCTTCAAAAATGGGCCAGATCTAATACCAGATCAACATGACTTAAGGTGGGCACAACAACTACATCACAACCTTATAAATATGTGGTAAAAAATTAAGATGCTTATGCCCAAAAGCATGTTTGAACTAAAAATGGGTCCCGGGTCTAAACTAGACATGAACTAGAGGGATCAATGGTCTTGGTTCAGTCTAAGGCAGATTCGTATGTTCCTAACACTGCAATTTTCTATTTAGAAAGTTCCTCCAAATGGAAAAATATATCAAACCCACATGTATGATTTTAGAGGAAAGTTTTCCTTTTATTCTCTGTCATCCATTATAAAGGCCTTTGGCTATATACAATAAAAAAAAATGACCATACATAGAGTGATAAGCCTGCACTTGGTAATCATCCACTCATGTGTAGATGCAGCAAGTTACATGCATTTAGCATAGAAACAATTATTTACGTAAATGTGTATGGAGGGGGACCTGGTGGCAATTCTTTCTTTGGTCTTTCATGCTTGCTCATTTTCCTACATAGAAGTGTTTTCTATGTAAGGAAATGATAGCTTGAAACGTGCCTGTTAAAAATTAGTTTTCAAAAATAATTTGGAATTTTGGCAAGTTCCATATTGGTAGAGTGCAAGGAAGATTAAAGAGGTACTTATATGGCCAGGAAAATAAACTAGTAGCCACTGGTACTGAATTGTTCACTGGCAAAGAAACCCCTTGCAAGCCTCATCAGACTGTGAGACTTTTGGGCTTTCAGAAGCACCCCCTATTATAACCACCTAATGAACAGTTAATTCTTGTTCGCTAGATCATGTGAGCCTACCAAGGTATGCACATTAGTTTTGGTATACAACCCAGTACATTAAGTGATGTGCCTTGTAGTTACATAGCTATGGAGCCTTACCAAACTAAGGAGCACCAATTCATTCTTAGGCTGAGTCTGCTGGAGCTCAAGGCACAATTTCTTGGTGGCGAAGAGGGCCAATCAAACAGACAAAAGTAACTTTGATGTGTAGGGGCAGGCTGGATTCAGGGAGGTGAGGGAAGCTGCTCCACCCAGGATGAATGGAGGATTACCCACGCAGCAGCACCTTTTGGCTCAGCCTCCTCTTTTGCACGCTCTGCAGCCATCTAACCTGTTCAGCCACTTTTGCGGCTTACTTAAAAACCAGACCCGCCCTTCCCAAAGACAAGTTCAGTCTCTGTTATTTAACTGGGCAGGAATGCACATTCACCTAGCCATGCTTGTGCCCATTTAATGCCTTCTTACCAGGTTCTAAAAGCACTAGAAATAGGAAGCCAGTAGAACTGTCTCCTTGCAACCCGTTTTGTGGTCTTCAGCCATCCACCCATCCCCGCACTAAATACAGTTCCTTTACCTCCGGTCCTGTAGGGTCTTCTGACTTGGGCGTACTTCTCTTCTTTATGTCATCAGCACTAGGTGGAGGAGATGCCAGCAGTTCATCAAGCCAGTGTGAGCCTGGATCAGGGTCAGCCCTCCTTTCGGGGTCAGCAACCCCCAACTTGCCTTCACGTGCCAGACCTACAGCACCATCATCTTCTTGGCAGGAAGCAGCTGTCCGCACCTGGACATCTTCAGAGAATAAGATGCAAGGCTCTGCAGGAGGGGCAGCCTGCTCTACACTTGGCAATGGCTCCATTGCCCTTAAAGCCCCTTCCTCAGGGGTTGGGACAAAGGGTAAGAAACCATCATGCTTCTCTTGACAACCAACCTCTGCTGCTGCTATAGGGCCCTTGAGCTTGGGGCTAATAGGCTCCCTCAGAGTTGAGGGACCTCCAGGTGCTGATATCTCAAGGGCTGAAGTGGACTCCAGCTGGTCCTCAGCCTTTCTCCTGATCCCTGGGGAACTCCTGGAATTGCTGTGGCAGAACAAGCTCCCATAAGCCTCAGTCTCCTCTCCTCTCTGGCCCTCTGAACCTCTTTCCTTATAAGAGCCTTTGGGGCTGAGGCTCTCTCTATCCAATTCTGCCTCCAAGAGACCAGTATCATCAGCCTCCTCAATGGGAGACCTTGGAGGAGACCCCCGTCTCCTTCCACCAAACTCAAGAGCCCGGTTAGGGAATGACCATTCAAAGGACTGTGACAAGCTCCAGTTGGACTCTCCCCCTGCAGCCTGCTCTAAAGCTGGGTCCCCTCCTCTTGGCAAGACAGCCAAAGACCCTCCCAGCTCCTCCTTGTCCATTTTTTTACCCCGTGGTTGCAACACCCCTTCTGAGGCACGCCGTAGAACCAGTTGAGATAATTGGGGGTCTTTACCCTCAAATGGTAATGTTGGTGCTTGATTGTCGAGGGAATCCTTATCCCTGGAGAGTAAGGGGGAGGCTTGTGCATGAGAGGGAGAGCCAGGAGGTTTATCAGAACTAGCAAGGTACTCAGAAGGAGTGCTTGGGGAGCCAGGGGACTCCGACACTCCATGGAGACCACAGGGGGGTGCCAGGCTGTGCTCAGCAGGAGGATGAGTCAAACTGGCTGATGGCCCAGCACATCTTGCAGAAAGGTCCCCAAGACCTGAAGACAAGGAGTGTCCTAGGAAACCACTGGGGGATCCTGGGGGGCAGGGATCAGATAGGGCAACAGGGGAACCTGGAGCCTGGGCATGACCAAGGGAGACCTTAACAGGAGATCTGAGGGGTTCAGTAGGTGCATCAGGAGAGCCTGGGGGAAGCTGAGCTTCAGCACTTGGGACATCTGCTGGAAAATGTGGGCTCTCTGGGGACTGGGCTGATTCAGCAGGGGCATCAGGGGACCCAGGAGTGACTCGAGAAGAAAGCTTCGTGAGGAGTTGATAGGTCTTGGGGAGAGAGACCTGGAGAGAAACAAGGGAAGAATGGGTTTTAAAAATATGATTCCTCCCTCCCTGGAACCTTCCCGAGCATCCTAATCTGTCCCCTCCAGCCCCAAAGAATACAGGATGTCTCCTCCAGTCCTAACCTCTTCCCTCTTTTTCTAGACCTTAGAGATTGTCCTTCATGTCTTGGAAGTTCTGGTTTCACTACAAGACCCCACGAGACCCTCCCCAACAATATTTCTGCCCGAAGGAAGCCAGAAGGAAAGGAAATTCAAAGAATGGAGGAAGGGGAAAAGAGAGGCTGAAGAAATCGTTCAAAGTGTTGCAGTAACAAGGCTGTATGCCCCACCCCAGGACCTTGCCTCCTCTCCAACTAGGCCTTAAGAAAAGTGAAGAACTAAGCTAAGTAGATCACACAATAGGCTGATGACCTTCCTTTCCCCCCCCCCTCCTCCTCCTCCTCTGGGAGAGGCAAAAGGAGTTAATCATTACCATCACCCATCCCTGAACAAGCAGCAAGAGGTTATAGTGCTTTCACTGCTAGATTATTTGGCCACAGGCCCAGCTGCTGGGATCTGCTTCATACATACCTTGTAGGTCACCAAATTGTATTCACTGAGTCACAGCTGCTCCCTTCCCTCCAGCTAAGGGCCTGGTATTCTGCATTAGGTTTCCACACTTTGCCTGGGCTAGGCTCAGGCTAGCTAGCCTAGGCCAGAGTTTGCTCTCTAAAGAGCTGAAGGGTCACAGATCCATTTTTCTCATTTATTTTCTAACTCTTCTAAAAACATAAGGCAGTATTGGGACTGTTAGTGGGAGCGCTATGTGCTATACCAAATGCCAAGATTATGCTCTGGATTTTTCAAAACTGTACCATGCAAGGTAGAAAAATGATGTCCTCAGAGTCGATGTCACCATGTCTTGCACATGAGGTTAGGGGCTGAATCTTTCAAACTGCAGGCACCTACGTAAGCCAGCCCATGGGATTTTGACAAGGACATACCCAGTTACTGAAAAGCAACAAATATGGCCTGGGAAACCCCATAGCAGTGCAAGATAGTGCATTGTTTGCTTGGGCTACCAATCTCTTCTTGAAGAGAAGCATTAGTAGAGAAAGGAGACACGCACCCTACAGAGAGGGAGCCCGGAAGGAGAGAGGTGGCAGATACCCCTGAGACAGAGGAGAGCCAGGAAGGAGAGAGCCCAGCGGAGGAATTGCCGTGCTGCAGATAACTCACGCCAGGAGGAGACAGTAGACTGCTATATCCAGGTAGGCCTCCATCACAGCTCATGCTAGGTTGACTGGAGCTGCTGAGAGAAAGATTGCATCACCATCAGGAAACAAGCCTGATTACTGATGGGAAAAAATGTATTTCTAAGGCAAGGATGGAAAACCTGTGGCCCTCCAGATGTTGCTGGGCTACAAATCCTATAATATCCAACCATTAGCCACGTTAGCTAGTTGTTGATTGGAGCTGCAAGTCCAACAACATCTGAAGATCCAGTTTCCCCAAAGCCTGCTCAACAGAATTGTGCGCTACTTTTGTCACAAAAGGGTTTTCTGCCTGACACTAGGTATCACATAACGAACGGGAGATGGGGAACCCCAAGGATCATCTAATCCAACCCCCACAATGTAGAAATGCTCCAAGCATCATCAGAGTTCTTTTAAAATCAGTTACCTGTGCCTGATCAACCGCTCACCTACAAATAAATCCCAAGAGTTGCTACCACTCATGACATCATCGTAGGATTTAAGATTACTGAGATTTCACAGAAACTATAGTTGGGAGAAGCATGCCCAATTCTAGCCATTGAATTCAAGTTGTGATTAATTCAATGGTATTTATTGCCATGTATGTAATGCCCAGGAATGTAGCCTTCAGTTGTGCCAACCCTCAGTTTTCATTCTTAAATCACAAGAATAATTTACCTCTGCTAGAGCCAAATGTGAAAGAACAAAGAAAGAACTGCCAGCAGGTCACCTTCTAGACCCATTTACTGTATTGCTTTCATTTTCCTAGCACTGTTCTATAGTTGCTGACCTGCATCCCACCTCAGTCCTTGACAGAGGGCACTCTGTGATGTATTGCAAAGCTGATCTTCTAAGATTATGTGGAATGAATCTGAACCTCACCTGTCCTTAGAGAGTAAATCTAAGTTTCTCTCCGTTGCTCTTGCTGGTAGCTCAGATTCAGGCAGATGCTGACCATTTGAGCTTGTGATTTCCTCCTTGTTCCTTGACAATATGCTGTCCTCAGCTTCACAAGAGGCTCTGCAAGCAGGACCCTCCGACTCTGTTTCACCCCCTTCTCCACTGGAACATCTCCGGAATGCAGCATAACCCTTAGGCCCCAGGTGGACAGCTGTGCTACCATCCTGGCTGAAGAAGGAGCGTACCAGCCGAGGCCTGTCAGGGCTGCTTGCCCCTTCTTTGTTGGGCTTCTCCATCTTGGCCAAAATCTCCTCCACTGTGGTCCCAGGAAAACGCTCTGGTTTGGCTGCTACTGGCACCGGTATTACTTTGAAGGGAGCAGCACCCTTGCGAACACTGGGGGACTCTCCACACTCCTCTCCGGATGCTCCCTCCACAGCACTTGATTTATTTGAAGGCCCAGTTCCTTCTCCATCTCCAGCTGGTTTGGCTGTGGTGGAAAATGGATACAAAACCTCCTTCCCATTGGTAGCTTCTCTTGGAGAGGTCTTTAGACCAAAAGAAAGACGCTTAACAGCATTGCCAGCCCCACCACTATATGGCTTGGGCCCAGCCAACAAGTTGATCTTTTCAGCAGAGGGCACCTCAGAGAGAGCCTGACGCTGTCCAGGAACAGGCTTCACTGGCATGGCTGGCTTTGGCAACACACAGGGCTTGGGTTTCACGGGTGGCTTTGGACGGGCATCCCCTGAGGAAAAAAGGATGTCGGGAAAGATGCATTTTATACAGAGCTCAACCAGAACACAGGGCAACTAAATTATATGGATCAAAATGATAATCCATTGCCTAAGTACACAAAAAATAAAAATAAAATGAGCTCTACTAATAATCCTTGCTAAATTTCCAAACTATTTTGCAGGAAACAGAGAAGCTACTAAAACTGCATGCAGCTTTGGACAAAGGTCAGGCTAGAGGATCTTCTAGTCCATTAAACCAGAAATAGTGGTAATAAAGATTACCAGCAGAAGCCATGAAAATGCTTTTAGAATGCATTTAAATTGCAAATGGTAGTATTCAGAGTAGACCCACTGAAAGTAATAACATTACTAAGTTAACTCTATTACTTTCAATAGCCCTGCTCTTAGTTGCATACCACCTGTTGTTCTCAGGTCAGGCAATGGGATCAGAGCCTTTATGTGATTAGAAGAACCGTGTGGTGCAACTTTTAGGGATGACACCACTTCAATTATAGGTGCAGGGCTGCCTCCTGGGGCAAAGAGGAATCCCCCATGCACACAGAAAACAAGCATGTCAGGAAAAAAGGTTCTAGGTTAGCCTTCTCCTACACACAATAGCTTCCATGTTTTGTTTTTCACACATTCAAATATGTCGTCCCCTACTTTCAGAATGAAGAGCTACAATCCCTCAAGAGCTGCATTAAGTGATTCTTCTGCTTGCTATTTAACTCCGTTCTCCATTCTCTGGTGCACCACCACCCAACATAAACAGAAAATTTTTAATACCTAGCAACTTGGCACACCATCTCCCATATTTAGCTCTCTCAAACAATCAACTCAGTTCTGCTGAGCTGAAGGCTCACAATGCAAGGCATACCTATCTCCGGACTGCTTGCTAGTTGTTTGGGTCCTCTCCGGCCATTAGCAGCAGTACAGGGAAATGGGGAGCACAGCGACTGAGGATTAGAGTCCATCACATCACCGGGCTGGGACTCTGAACTCAGCATAAATGTCAGCCCCTAGGATACAGAAAAAGGAGTTTAGGCAATCTGCAAAACTTGTAAAGATAGCAAAGACCTTCAATGCAACATCAGACCATAGATGCTTCCTCCCAGAATGCAAGTTTTCCAATATCCTCCTTTGTTCCTTTGAGAGAGGAATTTCTCTCTCTCTCTCTCTCTCTCTCTCTCACACACACACACACACACACACACACACACACACACAGAAAGAGAGAATGTATCATGTTATGCCACTCCCAGGGCAGGCTGGAACAAGGGTGAAGGAAGCAAGTCTCCCACAAATATCCAGGCCATGAGTCACGCTAAAGGATGGGAATCTCAAACTTATAAAACTTTGGCTTTCTAGCTGACTTGCTCCACTCTCCACAGGGCCACCCCTGCTCCACCTTTCTGCCACGCCCTGTCCTTCCCAGCCAACTCGCTATCACTCCTTCCCTGCCTTTCTCTTGCCAGGTCCAGTCACTTTGCCAGAACATTTGGCTGCTTTTCCAGTCAGAATCTCCCTTTCTCTTCCCAAGTCCCTTTCTGCTCCCACCCCTTCGCAGCAAAGCCGGGTTTCTGCTCAACCCAATCCCAGCTGTATACACTCCCAACCCGGATATACTGAGCAGGGAGCAAACATCTGGAGTACTTCCCCCTCCCACCCCCCTCTCCAGATTTCTCAATCGTTTGGCACAGCCCCTGGAATTCAATGAGGTAAAGCTGGGGCCTGCTCCTGTCACTACGGCAACGGCCTCCCGCTAGATTTCAGGAGAGGGCCAAACCCCGGCTAAAAAAGAAAAGCAAAGCCAGCATCTTGGTTACAAGGAGTGTGTGCCTCAAGAGATTGTTCTAACAGAAACTGATCCCCATAATGAGGCAGGAGGAGGAGGGGGCCTACCAATAACTCCCCCCTCCCTCAGTATGACAGAAAGAGCTGGAACAACAGGCAGATAGCTGAATTTAAGGCATAGCCACAAGATTGTAAACAGCCTCCTCCTCAGCCTCCATCTATACATTATGCCAAAATAGGACCATCAAGCCTCTCCTTCCAAAGCAAGGGTGATTTAAAGGCACAGTGCCTCAGATGAGGGAAGGCAGTTCAGCCGCCTCTGCTCTTTCTGCTTAGGCCCCTCCTTTGACTAGTTTAATCTTGATTTATAAAAGATGTTTTTAACATCATTTTTCAGCCCTAACAAGGGCCGCCGGGGCAGTTTACATAAAAGAACATGCCAAACAAAACCCGAAAACTTAAAAGGAACAGAGCTAAAAGCTTCAATCATTTACTGAAGACCATTAAAAGCCATGCAGAATAAGAATGTTTCCCCTGCCTGTCGAAATGTCGTCAGAATGGGACTAGTCTCTCTACATACAGGCTGCTGCCACAAAAAGGCCTTGTCTCATTTCTACAAGGATACAGCGCCTTAGTCCCATCCCCTACTTCTAGCCTGGTAGCACCTAAGCCCAACGTCTGCAAAGCCCCAGACCTTATTTTTGCCTAAGCTACTTGTTCATCTAACCTCTCTCCCCTCATATTCATTTGCCTTAACTTAAATCTTTATTGCAGCTGTGCACACCCCTGTGTCTGAGGTACCATTCTGTTTATCCTACTCAGCAAGAACTTCCTGAGTGAACTATGGCTTCTGAATACAGAATCCCCTGCAAGGGGGAAAGTTTCATTTAGTGGAGAAGATAGCTGAAGGAGAGCCGATGAAACCTGAGTGGACATTGAAAACCAGCAACACATTAAGGTACCCTGAACCACATCCAAAATCTATTAAGGCAGTGAATACCTGACACACAACAAAATATGCAAGACAAGATGAGACTCTCTCCAAATTCAGAGCTAGTAAAACTAAATAAAGGTAGAATTTAAAAAAGGCAGAGAAACAGTCCAATCCTATTTCCTCAGCTCTCTTACTTTTCTTCATAGATGAACTATGGTTTTTAACCTGTCAGGCAAAGAGGCTCCTGAAACTGACAAGTCCTTTCTACAAAATACAAGGAAGTACACAAACTATATTTAATCAAGCAATTAAAACTGCCCAACATGTTGTTTTGTTATCTACGCAAACATTTCTATGTGGGAAAATGAATGCATGGCCATTTTGCCATGGGTACATATAAAGAAACATTTGTCAGATTAGATGGCATATGCTTATTCCTGTACTAAAAAAACAACAATGTCAATGCAGGAAAATCATCAAGAGTAAAGCAGCCTTCAAAGAGGAAGTGCCTTGGTAAAACACATATGCATACACACAATAAGCTAGTAAACAAAAAACAAAAAGAAAGATAAGCGAGGGTGGTTACTTTTGGCTTCTAAAGTGGGGGGGGGAGGAATATAATGAAAAAACTGTTTTATATTTAGACACTGACTGACAACCCATCCTATATACATGTCTACTCAGAAGCAACTCCTAGAGTTGAATGGGGCTCACTCTCAGGTAAACAGGTATAAGATTGCAGCCTCAGTCTTGAAATGGAAATTATCACAGTACAATTTCTATTTTCCGAAGAGTGTATCTCATGTTATGAGAGACTCCTGAGGAGAGAATTCTTTCACACTTGATTAAAAAAAATTAACTTGCAAGACCCGTAAGATAAAGTGGCATTCCATTTATGATCTTTCCAGATAGTTGCAAAATCTAGTTTCAGTGCCTGGACTTTCTACTCAGCCAGATGGGTGGGGTATAAATAATAATTTTATTATTATTTTTATTATTATTATTATTACCACTACTACTACTGCTACTACTACCACTAACAGAAAGGGGCATATATACCCAAATGGTACTTTCTGCCCCAGCTGCAACAAAACATATCTCTTCCACATGGGTCTCCACAGCCACAGCAGGCAATGCAACCTTCCAACAACTTGATCTCACCCCCAGAGATACACTCCTCCATTGTTTCCTGAGACAGACGGATGCCAACCAGACTTTAACTTTAATAGTGATGCATTATTAAAGACAATCCATAATTGTTTCAAGAAAGGAACAGAGAGATCAGAATTAGAAACCGCTTAGGAAGAAGGAAGCACATAATATTACAGCTGAGCTTTGGGCTACCATGATGAAATAGAGGTATGCAGAAAGGCAATTCTTAAAAATCAGGAGTGAGGCAATAGAAGGCAGAGAAGACAGGCAAGTTCAGAGTGCAAAGAATAGAAACGAATATCTAAAGCAAAATAGTTGTTTTTGTCATGTATATAGTTGCACCTCCACAGCTCTATGACATAGGATGAAGAAGGCACAGACTTCTAAATGCGTACAAGCAGGCTTGCAACAGAATCCACTCCTGCTGGAACCCAGAGATTTTCAACTGGAAGGAAACCACTCAGAAAGACTATAATAGGGATTTGGTTAAGGTAAAACCAGGGGATGAACAAACAGCAGATACAATGTGGGAGAAAAAGATCTTAGAATCGAAGGCCTCAATAGGTGCAGGTAAAAAGAAGAAAATACAAAAGCTGAGCCAAGAAAGTAGAACTGAGAAAATACCTAAAGGGGATGGCTTGATATCTACAGAGGCTCTTCTTGTGAAGCATTTATACCTCCAAAACATTATACAAAACTTTTCCAGCAGAAGGTATATGAAGAAGAGGAAACTATACAACTCACACCATGGCTGCAATGTTCAAAACTCCCATTGTTCTAGGCGCCTTTTGCAACAGGGAATTTCATTAGGGCGAGCGGTTTCTGAGTTCTGGGCACAGTACTGTGCCTAAGATTTCACATTAAAACTGCAGAGTGGAAGGAAAGGAGGACCTTTTTCTGCCTCCCCACTTCCAGCTACTCTCTGAAGACTGGATAAGAGACCCTCTTAAGAATATTAGGGGGGTGGGCAGAGGAAGGACTAGACCATGTGAAAAATGAACATAATATTTTAGCTGCAGTTCATTCATTTTCAGCTTTGTATTCTTGTTATAAAAAAGCGTGCCTAGACATTCCGTTGTTGCACCCATAACCTAGGTTTAAGGTGCCATTTAGCTCCTAACTTTCATATCTCAGTTTCTAACACTGCATGGCTGGACTACGCATCAATGACTACTCTCCCAACATACTATGAATTCAAAATCAAGTTGGGCTATAACTTTGTTCCTCTAGAACTGTGCATCATGAACAAAAGAGTCTCTAATGCCACAGGTGGATTTAGATCTGGGACCTCAATAAGATTCTTCTCTACATTAGCCCCTCTACCCAGTATAAATACAAGTTGCTTACTCATTTGTTCTTTAGAATCCAGACAGCAAGTCTCCCAAATGGCTGCATTCCCATTCCCAGCCCATGCCAGGATCATACTTTCTTAAAATGCTGGTTTGTAGTCATTTTTTAAAGCTTCAACAACTTCAACTGTAAGCACAAATATTTCATGTTTCAGTTGAAGTAGCACTATTTCCTCATATGGATAACCAGATTCCCAGCACTTATGCAATAGGACTGCGGAGGTGAAGATGGTGAAGCCTTTGAATTGCATTTACAAGAAGGTGAAACTTGGCAACAACAACAAAAATCAGTTAAACTGCTTTCTTCCGCTATAGAACATCAGAAACAATGGTGTCAAGGGAGCTCTTATGGGAAATAAGCTGAGCAAGTAAAGGTATCTAAGAAGCAATGGTAGGTGCTCTAGTGGGGGTGGAGAGTAATATGGGTGCAACTTTCCCCACCCGCGCTCTCTTCTGAAGGTGCTTCATTGTGCAGGGACTACCTATTATGCAATTAGCACTGAATCAGACTACTACTTGCACAGCTTTTCATCAGCACTTGCATTCTGATAGTTTGCAGTCAAAGGAATGAATAAGTAAAGTAAAAAGACAGCACACGCTTACTAGTGTAATTCAAGGGATCCCAGCTGCCATAGTGATCTACTAAATGCATCCAGACAAATCCCTTCCCATCTTTGGGCTATTGTTTCCCATGCCACCCTGCCTTTTCTGCCTGTAAGACCCTTGCAGCAATCATTGTCTGCCACTTTATGTCTGCACAGTCCACATATGAAGGGGACATTAATCTCAGCATGTCCATAGAATGCACACATACCATGTTAATTAAAAATAATGGATAGGAAACAAACAAAACTGGCTTATTACAAGGCACAGATTATGAATTTATTCTAAAAATGTATTGCTTCCTATTTCCAAACAGAGAAGATCAAAGAAAGAATCCTAAATAGAAACCAGGGCAGATAGGAAAGAGGTTATCACAGCAATTGGAAAGGGGGCCACTAGATTAGTAGTTAATGGTCAAAGAAACTCATAATTCTATTAAGGGGAAGAATTCTCACAAGCAACAAGGAAATATCATGAAAGAAGATGGGAATTCAGCAAGCATGAGGCAGTGTTTTGTGTTGGTGCAGAAATGGGTACAAGGAGAGGTCACAGGGTGTGCTTCAGGTTCATAAAGCCTGTGTGCAGTAACTGGTTTTCAGCAAGATTTAAAGGGAGCTAAGTATTTCTAAGTTGGGTGTTCTTGGAATCACAGCCAAGAAAGGGAGGGAGTGGTAAGAGGCAGAACTGCGGGAAACTCCAGCCAAAAGGGGGTGGAGAGCAGCTTCAGGACGCATTAAGCAGAAAGCATACAAAGAAGGCGAGCAGGGGTGCCAGTTAGCAGAAGCGAGGAAGCAGGGAGACGGCCCGAGGACAGTTACCCCTGGCCAGTGTAAATGACAGCCCCGCTTACAGCAGAGAAGGCATACAAGCTACCTTTAAGAGCATATGGGCATACCATATGGTCCTAATTGGCCTTCCCTCTACGACCAATCCGCCATCCCCGCTCCTTAGACCATCCTGCAGTCGGGTCTCCAGGCCAGGCCTTCCACAATCCCTGCAGCAGCGAAGGGGCTACAAAGAACAATTGCTGCCCCGGCCACCATGACTCGCCTCGACTCAATCCCGGGCAAGGGGCTGAGCCGAAGACGACCCACCCGCACGCGGATCCACAGCTCCCCCGATCTACCGATTTGGGGGGCGAGGGGGGGCACCTGGCCCTCCTCCCCCTAAGCTCTTTTCCCCAGGGCCCTCCGACGCCACCTCCTTATCCTCGCGGTCCGTTCCCTTCGCACGCCTCCCCCCGCACGCATCTCCCCCCCCCCACCAGCGACCCCCAGGAGGATCTCCTGCCAGCCCCACCTCGGGATGTGGGCGAAAATGCACAGCCCTCCCCGCTGGCGGGGGCTTCTGCGTAGGCTCCCTTACCAAGCTCGGCGATCTACGGCCCGACGTAGGCGCAGCAGATCTTCGCACTGTGCATATTCATGACGTTCGAATCAAGGCCAGGCTCGCCCCGCCCACTGCGATGCATATTCATGAGGCATGCAAATACAGAGCCACCCACCCCCACGTGTCACATTCCCGAGACTTGCAGGGACTCCAAAGAGGCTGGGCTTGCAAGGAAGCTTCGGCTTACACATTTTATGAGAACCTCGCTGCCTCCGCCTTTTTAAGGGGAAAAAAGGAGGTTTACGAGCACGGCCAAAGGGCGGGGCTTTGGAGAAACCCCACCCCACTCTCCAGCTCACAGCCCCCCCACTGGCATGTGAAATATTTCTCCATTGTTAATTTTTATTTTTTTTCTGCAACCCATCCCGGAATCACAAGGAGCTTGGAGTCATGTGGTTTTTATGTACACACAATAAACAATTGCTTTTCATTCTTGTTGTTGGTTTCCTTTGTTTTGGGTTTGGCCGAGGATCAAAACTTTAAAGAAGTCCCTGCAGGCGCGGGATCCGCACCTCCCTTAACTTTCTCCCACTTTTCCCACGTGTTGCAAGTGATGGGCTAATTAACAGCACTACTCCGGTCACGAAGAGTCGGACACGAGTAAACGACTAAACAACAAACAACTCCGGAGTCGAGGTGAGCCTCTCGAGCCCTGTGCCTGTAATGTACTCCGAAACTGAAGCCCCACCCCGAGGGAAGCTTTGCAGGGAAGGGCTGAGCCGCGCGGCTGCTGTGTTACACATAAAACGTTCAGCAGTATCATCACGCCTTCTTACTAGGGAGATACTGCTAGATCAGATTATGGCAACCAGATTACGGAACTCCCTCCTGCAAAAGGTGAAGTCCGCCCCCCCTTTGTGGCACTTTTTCTTCCTTTTTTTTTTAATTCCACCTCGTCTTGGGGCTGCAATCCTACACTTAACCTCCATGGAAGTGGGGGCTTTCTTCTGACTAGACATAGATAGGACTGAGCTGCGAGCGATGTATTTTTAAACTGACCCACTTAGAATCCTGGAACTATAGAGTTGTACGGAATTTCGTCTAGTTCCAACCCCCTGCAATGCAGGGGTCACAGCTAAAGAAGTCCTGACAGATGGCCATTCAACCTCTGTTTAATAAACATCAATGAAGGATAGTCTATCTCTTCCCAAGATAGTGTGTTCCCCTTACCACCAGAAATATCTTATTTAGGTGGAATCTCCTTCCTTTTAATCTGGATCCACTGACTCACATCCTACCCTCTGGAGCAGCAGAAACAAGCTAGCGGCATCTTCCATGTGACAACCAGTCAGATCTTTGAAGGTGGCTATCATATCGCCTCTCAGTCTTCTCTTCTCCAGGCTAAACATACCCAACTCCCTCAACCATTTCTCATGGAGCTTGGTTTACAGATCCTTGATCCTCTTGGTGGCCTCCTCTGCACACAGCTTGTCAACATCCTTCCTAAATTGTGGTGCCCAGAACTGGACACAGTACTCCTGGTCTTCTGGTGTGGTCTGACCAAAATAGAATATTATTATTATCATTATTATTATTATTATTATTATTATTCATACCCTGCCCATCTGGCTGGGTTTCCCCAGCCACTCTGGGCGGCTTCCAACCAAATTTTAAAATACAGTAATACATCAAGCATTAAAAGCTTCCCTAAACAGGGCTGCCTTCAGATGTCTTCTAAAAGTTTGGTAGTTATTTTTCTCTTTGACATCTGGTGGGAGGGCGTTCCACAGGGCGGGCGCCACTACTGAGAAGGCCTTCTGCCTCGTTCCCTGTAATTTGGCTTCTCGCAGTGAGGGAACCACCAGAAGGCCCTCGGCGCTGGACCTCAGTGTCCAGGTAGAACGATGGAGGTGGAGATGCTCCTTCAGATATACTGGACCGAGGCCATTTAGGGCTTTAAAGCACCAGCACTTTGAATTGTGCTCGGAAACATACTGGGAGCCAATGTAGGTCTTTCAAGACCGGTGTTATGTGGTCTTGGCGGCCGCTCCCAGTCACCAGTCTAGCTGCTGCATTCTGGATTAGTTGTAGTTTCCGGGTCACCTTCAAAGGTAGCCCTACGTAGAGCGCATTGCAGTAGTCCAAGTGGGAGATAACCAGAGCATGCACTACTCTGGCAAGGCAGTCTGCGGGCAGATAGGGTCTCAGCCTGCGTACCAGATGGAGCTGGTAAACAGCTGCCCTGGACACAGATTTGACCTGTGCCTCCATGGACAGCTGTGAGTCCAAAATGACTCCCAGGCTGCGCACCTGGTCCTTCAAGGGCACAGTAACCCCATTCAGAACCAGGGAGTCCTCCACACTCGCCCACCAGTGGTTAAGAGCGGTAGTCTCGTAATCTGGGGAACCGGGTTCGCGTCTCCGCTCCTCCACATGCAGCTGCTGGGTGACCTTGGGCCAGTCACACTTCTCTGAAGTCTCTCAGCCCCACTCACCTCACAGAGTGTTTGTTGTGGGGGAGGAAGGGAAAGGAGAATGTTAGCCGCTCTGAGACTCCTGAAGGGGAGTGAAAGGCGGGATATCAAATCCAAACTCTTCTTCTTCTTCTCCTGTCTATTACTTCCTTTGAACTGGACACTATACTTCTGTTGATACAGCCTAGGGTTTTTTTGCTGCTGTATCACACCATTCACTCATGTTAAGCTTGTGGTCTTTCTTTATGTCTAGCTTGTTGTTTGTGGCCCAGGGATTTGTTAGGTACAGTACATAAATGACTGGGGCACAGAATGGTGGCACACATTTGTATGTTTATGTATGCAAATTTGGGGTGATTTTCAGAGGTGATGGTGGAAGACCTCTGGCTCTTGGTCCCCAGGTTTACTGTGAGTTAGTGAGGTACCAACAAGATTTTATGGGCCCAGTACACTGTATAGTACTCTGCAAAATAAGATGGAAAGTTGCTGGGGTCTCCCAAGCACTGCACTTTGCAATGGGTCCAACTACCCTGAAAGCAATGTTTAAAAGTTTTTTTTTAAGAGGAGCAGAAGATCCAGGGCCCTGAGCCACTGCCACCCTACCTCCCTGTTTTGCTCCTCTAATGCTGCTGTTTTAATATTTTCCAGATTCCCACTCTGAAGGAGCCTGAGAGGGTGGTGACAATGAAAAGGGCCTTTGCAGTTGTGGCTCTCCACCTGTAGAATGTTCTCCCTAGCAAGGTCCACTTGGCACCTTCTCAGACATCATTTTGGCACCAACTAAAGACTTACCTGTGAATTGTAGTTTTTTTTCTGGATTTATCAGTTTACGGATTTGTTAATGGCATAGTAATGTATTCATGTTTGTTCTTAACTGTGTCGTAAGTCACCCAAATACGTTTATGTAACAAGCATGTTAACAAGTATAATAAAAAATATTATTTAGGTCATTATTTTATGGTAGTTTTGTATTAAAACTAGAAGCCACTTTACAGACTCTCTGTGCAGAAATTTTCTAAAATAAATCAACAAATTCATGGCAAAGGTGCATTTGGGATACTGTTTACAGTTGTGATTATCCCATCTGCAAAATCAGAGCCTGTAGCTGAAAAAAGAAAAGGCTAATACAGATGATAACGGGGCAAACGGCTGCTGTGGTGCCTTCCCTAGGTGGAAAGGGTAAATGGGTATTTTTGGTTTAGAAATAAGAAAAGGGACAAGACTGAGATCTATCTGAAACAATTAAGCTTGGCTTGTTGAAAGTGGGTAGAAATATTCAGTTTCCTTTTTTCTGGGGTAGCTCAGTTAGTAGAACATGAAATTCTTAATCTCGGGGTTGTGGGTTCAAGTCCTACATTGGGCAGAAGATTCCTGCATTGCAGGGGGTTGGACTAAATGACCCTCATGGTCCCTTCCAACTCTACAATTCTGTGATTTTTGTTTATTTATTTATGTATATTTATTTATTTATAACATAACAAATTACAGCTTCAGGTTACAGACTCCACTAACCCGGAAATAGTACCTTGGGTTAAGAACTTTGCTTCAGGATGAGAACAGAAATCGTGCAGTGGCGGCGGGGTGGCAGCGGGAGGCCCCATTAGCTAAAGTGGTACCTCAGGTTAAGAACAGTTTCAGCTTAAGAACGGACCACCAGAATGAATTAAGTTCTTAACCTGAGGTACCACTGTATAATGACATAAAGTAAAAAGAGATCTACATCCAAACATATAGGAACAAATTTCCATACCAAAGTCAAACATAATAAATTAATATCACAATATTCCTCTCTGGAACTTGGGGCCACTCAAAAGCACAACCACAGAGGCAGGAAAGCAAAAGAATACTTCGTCCCAGAATGCATAATTAATTTTATGGCAGTTGCTGCCGCAGGATGGGGTGATAGCCAAAACCTTAGATGGCTTTAAAAGGGGATCCAGTAAATCTGTGGGTAGATTGGTTAATTAGTAGGCACAACAGTTAAATGGAACCTCTATGCTCATATGCAGTATACTTTTGAAGGTTAAGTGGTATGGGACAGACAGCAGGGATTGGCTATTACTTTCAGGGTCTGCTTGTGGGCTTCTCAGAAGCATGTGGCTGGCCAGTGCATCAAACAGCCCACTAGAACCTGCGTACCCTTGGCTCTGATACAGCAGAGCTCTTAGGAAACCAAACACACTACAGAGACATGTCTTTATTACTGGTTCATTGTATTTCATGGGTCAGCCCCAGTTCAAGCAGGATGGTGGGGTGAGCATTTCCTTTTTAGTAGATCACATACCAGTACATGCTGCCCAAACATCCCCAACTTACTGACGTGTTGACAGTGCCACAGTATGGCCCCTGATGAGAGAAAAGGACCAAATCCTTTATTGTCAGTCTCAAAAGACAGAAAAGGATCCTTGGGCTCAGTCACAACCATGAACCTAGGTGGCCAACATGATGTTTTCCAATCATTGGTGATCTACAACTCTCCCCTTGGAGGTCATCCATCAGGGTGACCAAGGCAGATTCAGTCCCAAACCCTGGTCTGAACCCAGATTAGAATGGGTCTGCATCAGTGGTTCCCATTTGGTGGTTAGCAGACCGTAGGGGCCGGGTGTCCACTTAACCCACTCAAGAGGTCTGTGGCACCATTCTCATAATAAAAACTACCATAGAGATATCAAAATTTTCAAAAGAAACAAGTCCAAAAGAAACAGGGAGTCTGCAGCACTTAGCTAATTGGGAACCACTGCTCTAAACAATCAGTTTCCTCCAGGAATGTCTGCAGCTGTGTCCCTTCTTAGGTACCTTGTCCCAAAGGGGGTAAATGTAACAGGGGAGTAATTACTGTTGCATGCTACCCTAATCTCTGAGCAGTGCAAGATTCCAGGGGTTCCAGGCACTTGTGCAGAGTTGGCGTTCCCTTTTGGAAGGAGGCACAGCAGAGACTGTGGTGTCCTTATGATATGTGGTTTATTTACACACGCATACAACCTGAGTCTGCGATGGAGAAGCACACAGCATTAACACCCCAAAGCATTCTCCTGCTTCCTCCATAGCCGCAGCCTTGGATTCCAGCAGACATCAAGCCTGGAGCTCTCTCTTTGTCTTCCCTCTTCCTCTCTCTGCCTTTCCAGTCTCACGCTTTGGCATCCAGCATCTAGCTCATTTCACTCAGCTCTCAACTCTGGCCTTTTGCCTTTGTAACTAGCCAGGGAGTCCACCCATTTGTCCTCTGGCACAGAGCCACTCCTTTGTTCCCTTAAGGACCTATACTTATCAGGCCATTGCTAGGCAGGCCTGGCTATTCCAGCAATTGAATCCTTGCTGGGTCCAGGAATTGGAAGAGCCCTGCATTCAGCCTACTTCCTTTGGGGTCCCCCCTCCCCCCAGAAATGGTCACAGTGCCAGGGGTCAGCAAGGTTTACCCCGCCTGGGCTGGTTCACTTCAGCTGAGATCCCTCCTTGGGCCGGATCGTGAGCACACATGCCCGCAATTTCCGGCACTGCGGAAGCGAGTCCCCATGCCATGCTGTGCCGGTTTAGCGCAGTGCGTGAGGACTCGCCAAGTGGGCGGCTCGGTTTGGGGGTGGCTCGTGGTCCGGTTAAACGACCCCCATGCGCCGCTTGTGGCCTATGGGCCTTAGGTTGCCGACCCCTGGGTCACACTATCACCTCCTTCAAGGCAGCCAGCACCTCGGCCAGAAACACATTCATCTTGGCCTGAACCCACCCAGCTAGCTTTAGTCAGCCATGAGGGGCAAGGGCCAAGAGGACACAACTGGATGCATACTTGCAAGCACCTTCCCAACAACATCAGGCTGCAAAAACTGGAACCCATCACACAAACACTACTTGATGGGGCACTGGAAACCTCATTTGGGACTGTATCACATCTTTGAAGTTTCCCAATTGGCCAGATGAGCACATGATATCTATATGGAAATCTTCTGCTTATTCAACTGCAGATCTATTTGGGATTATATTATTTTGAACATGCAGACTTCCTTAAGTGACTCCTTCATGGCTGAAAGTTGCATTGCCACCGATATTTCACAATCCTTAGCAGCAACATTAACCATAAAACATGCTTTAAATCAGTTTGAATACAAAGGTAACAGGGAATTATCAGTGGAAAATTATATTTCCCACTCCAGGGTGTATGTGCTTAGATCTCCTGCATAGGTTATTTTATTGGGTAAGTTTTAAAATTATTATTTTGGCCACTAGATGGGGACTTAAGACAGGTAATAGTCACACTCATCTAGAATATTAAGGTATTAGCAATTAGGAATCCTCAGCACTCTTGCTGGCTGGGTCTTTTAGTTATTTATTCTCTCACACTCCCACAGCATGAAAAGTTAATGAGGAACAGAAAGGACATATTTTTGAGCCATATATAGGTCTGAAAGACAGTCTTTCCCTTAAAATAGTTAGAGATTCTAGACCATTCACAGTCATTGCTGCAAATGTGGAAAGATGCTGAGATATCAGGAAGAAAGGCAGAGGATCTTCTGACACCCAAGTTTTTATCTTAATCAGAGTATTTGAATTCTCTCTTTTGAAAGCAGGCACAGCTGTATTCGAAATCAGCAGCCAATTCTCTCATGCTCAAAGTGAATGAAAGTTACCTCACCTCTAGATAACCATCAATCATCTAATTTGAATTCAGAACAAGGTTAGGATGGGACTAATCAATTTACATGCCCCTTCAGAAACAGGCCCACATTATTAAGGCTGAAATGGGTATCCCGTTGTTTAATGATAATACCTAGTAGACCTAGATGTGAAGCATTATCTATCCTGTGCATCCTCTTTCCCCCAAGATTTTGGGTTTATAAATGAGATACAACCTTACAATGCTTCTTGGGAATGAATAGACTGAGACTCTCACAAAAAAACAGACAAATCCCCAGAAGAACAGCTGTGCGTTGGCCAAAGCAGCACCCAAAAAATTGTATCATGAGCTTCTATACACAACAATCTACTTCATCCATAATCCATCCATCCCCCCCGCCCCACCCCACTATCTTTTATTCTTGGGCTACAAATCCTATACAACTTAGCTAGGACAGTAATTCCATTGAAAACCACAACTTATTTGCAAGTACAGGACTACAGGACTGCATTATTGCCTTGCAAATATTGCCATGGTATATTGTCCACTATAACCTCAGCTCAGGAATTGTCTACAACTGTCTCTAGCTAGATCATTCAACCTCCCTTCCCACATATATAGGTAAAGGTAAAGGGACCCCTGACCATTAGGTCCAGTCGTGACCGACTCTGGGGTTGCGGCGCTCATCTCGCTTTATTGGCCGAGGGAACCGGCATACAGCTTCCGGGTCATGTGGCCAGCATGACTAAGCCGCTTCTGGTGAACCAGAGCAGCACATGGAAATGCTGTTTACCTTCCCGCCGGAGCGGTACCTATTTATCTACTTGCACTTTGACGTGCTTTCGAACTGCTAAGTTGGCAGGAGCAGGGACCGAGCAACGGGAGCTCACCCCATCATGATGATTCAAACTGCTGACCTTCTCACCAGCAAGTCCTAGGCTCTGTGGTTTAACTCACAGCGCCATCCGCATCCCTTCTCCCACATATATACCACCTCCCTAAAATCTCTAATTCCTATTTGCCTGGGAAGTATTAGAAATACCAGAGCCCTTTCCTTTATTTCATCTGGTCAATGCCTAATTAGTCAACACTCACAAAGGCAAGGTAAACTAGTTAACTCCTTCCATGGAAGCTATTGTCCAGCAAAAACACAGAAAACAGGAAGACCTTTGGATAAAAGGGCTGCTAGGACCACAGAATAAGAGGCTGGCCATTTGCTTGCCAACCTCAGCTGTTCAGTCAAAAGAGCAGCATGAGGCAAGATACTACAGTTGCAGGGTAGCCTACAGTTGCAGGGTAGATGAAACCGGCCCCCCATTTATTCTTGGCAGCCTATGCATATTTCCAGTAAATGACTTGTATAAGCTTGGCCAAAGCAAACACAAGGACCTCAGGAATTTTACATTTTGTGTTGGTTCCAAGTGTGCAAATTTGCTGCTGGCTTTAATTGCAAACTTACTTACAGACCCTTTGGAGCACTCCAGGAGACAGATTCTTCCGTACCAGGTCTCAGTAAAACAATTCAGTGCTTATTCAATTATCCCAAAGCAGAAAATGCTGTCTGACTCACAGGTGATTGCAAGACAGCTCTCAAAAAGCCATTTTAATGGATGGCAGAGGACCGGTAATCCACACTAATTGGATCATGGTTCAGTCCCCTAGCTCAAATTAACTGTCCTTTCAGGAAAAAGAACTTCAGGCTGCTTTAACAGTAATGGAGCTAGATAGAAAATCCACCTTGCTACTAATTGCCACCTAGCAGTTAAATTTGCAAAAGCTGATGGGGTAGAGAGAACTAGAGTAGTGAAGTGGGAAAGTAAAAGCTCGACGTTTTAGTGAGAAGGGGGCAAGAGCTATTCCATATCTACAGAGTTTGGGAAGGATTGAAATCACATAGTGCTCCAAATGATCAAACCAGTGAAAATGATAGGTTGAAAGCTCAACTAGATATGACTGTGGCAGGTGTGTCATGCTTGATATGGCATTCTCCTTAATCATGTACAGGCCACGGGACTATTTGAAAAGCAAAAGAAGCATGTGCTTGAGAGGAGCTGGAAATCCTCTTTCCCCACTAGACCGTGGCTTACCCTGTCTGTAGCCAATCTTTCTTCTCCACCACTACCCAACCCAAAAAGTGCTTTCATGCAGCCAAGATCACTTCCAATGTCAGAGAAAAGCAGTCACATAGAGAAGCCATAATAGGCTGAGTGATTGGTGTAGGAGCATTCTGCAGTCCTTACCCACGTATGCCTTTTGGGGTTAAAATCAGACACATTCCTTAGGCAAAAATGGGGGGGGGGGATTCTTTGGTTAAATACATTGAACTGCTACCATCACATCTAGTCTGACCCCTGGTAAGGCCTGTTTTTCTCACTGTGGGTTATGATGATTTTAAGTATACATAACTACAGAATGCCTGAATTGGTCAGAATCTCAGGATGAGCACCGAATATAATATTTACTAAATGTTAAATGTTATAAGGAAAGTTGAAAAACACAGCTTCCATCATAGCACCATCATATAAAAACCTATGGTATATGCGCACATTTAGTAATGTGTGTGCAGTTCTGGGAACCGCAATGCAAAGCCCTACAGCTGTCGAAAGAAAAAAACATGAATAAAATGATCACGGGGAGCCCACCTACCTTACAAAGAAAGTGTCAATCATTTGAGGATTTTAGATTTGTGTGGGTGGGAAGTGTTGAGGTGGGACAAGACTGGCACGTAAGGTTATGAGAAGTACTGGGTAAGGAATTTTGAAAAGTTGCCCACTCTAAAAAAAAACAAGAGTTCACAGCTCTTCATTGGAAAGGATATATAGCTGGTTTTAAGATAAGTAAAAGTAATCAAAAGAATGCATAATTAAAATATGAAACCTACTGCCAGGGGATACCGTGATGGCCAACAACATAAATTGCTTTCTAAAGAGAAATACAAATGTTAGCCAAAGCAGCAACTCTCATGACTAATAACAATACAGGATGCAAAAGATTAAACATGATGGATTTGATCACCATGCCCTGGTTTTATGTTTCCCAAAGGGCTCCCACTCTGTCTAAGGGGCACAATACCCCTTTGTTTTGGCCCAGCACGCCAGTTATACTCAAAAGAGGCTGATGACTTCCATGGGTTGAGCCATTAGGTCCAATTTGATTTTAATTAGCCCCTTATCATTTTAATACTGCTCCTGAATTCCCAGAGAGCCACTTGCCGAGCAACATGCCTGCCAAGGAAACAGCCATTGGCAATCCATCCAAGGCCAGCTCAAGTCCACCTCTATTCCTTCTGTACAACACACTCACATGGATACATGTCTCCATACTGGTTGATATAAGTATGATCCAATAGAGGAAACGGGGGGAAAGGCAAAAGGCTTCTTTTGCCTTTAAGGAAAAGCAAAGCACAGAAGCTCTCACATTTCTTTAAAGAGTGCCAGTTATCCATCGGGACCAGACGCTGTCCCAAGTGTTAATGTTGGCGAGGTTCAAGGATGCTGTTATTGCTGATGGAATCTCAGGCACTGCCAGGTTTCATCTCTATTGACTGCTTGCCTACATTAGCCACATCCCATCAGCACGCAATGGCCCTTTAAATACAATTAGTGCAGCAGCTAATGGAAGGTACTACAGTTAAGCCCCTTGGCCCAAAGAATAAGATGCAGCTCCTGTACAAAACTCTACAGATCACTGGCGCAGGTTGCGCAAGTATACCCTGCTGCTGCAGAAGAAATGGTTTGATTTGCTTTGACATACACCTCCATGCTGGAAGATGCTTTTCATTTGTCCGGGCTGTTGCTAGGTGGGGTGTCACACAATAACAAGTCTCGTCCAAATTCACTTGATTTTTATTAAATCAGTTAGCCACGATAAACAAAAATGCAAAGAGAACCTTAAAAAAGAAAAACCAAAAGACATCAACTGAGTCTGACCAGGGAAGGAACACAGTGCCCCCATCTTCCATCTGTATGCCACATACCACTGAGCCCGCCATCTAACAGGACACAGTGCATCTATGGCAACATGAAGGCAGAAAAGGGGCGGGGGTGATGGGCTTTCTCTGTCCTCTTTTAGCACAATCCATTCTCTCTGGACGGGACAACTGGCCCTGACTACAACCTGCAATACTGGGAGGGGGAACAACTGAAGCATTGTAGTGGTGCCAGCTCTCCATCCATCCTGCCTGGAACAACGTCCTCTTGGCCTCACCTCCACAAATAGAACCACCACAACACCTGTAAAAAGGGTGGGGAATCAGGGTGTTTCTTGCTAATCTGAACCAGATGCAGATTCTGCTGAGCTGGGTGGGGTGCTGGCGATCTCCTCCTCATCAGAATCCTAGAAAAGAAAGAGGCACAGGTATTGTTAAGAGCAGGGGAAAGATTCAAGATTAGCTGCATGCCTTAGAGTCTAAGCCAACAGAATCAGCGCCGGAAAGGGGAGCTGCTGGGTACCACTGGGACCAATTAAGCTTCAGCTGAACAGCCAACTGCAGTAAAAGCATACAATAAATGGAGCAAACAGGATGTTTAAGCTGCATGAAGATGGGGAAATCTAGAAAAGCCTGCAATGTGCTTTTATTTACTACGCTAGAAACACAGGAGTGTGTACAATGTAATGGGAATGAATATGGTTCAGGAAATGGCAGGAAAAGGACAGGAAAACATGGAGAAACCAGGGAAAAATAGAAATCATATGATATATTATTAAAGTCAATATTGTTCTCCAGCTTGAGCACTTATACATAACTGGCTTGGTATTCTTAAAAATAGCAAATTTCTAGTCTTCATGGTTGCAGAGCATAGTAAAGCAAACACTTAGAAACCAAGGGGGCTTTAAGCAGGTCTTTGATGTGGTGTGCCTTTTACCAACACCAGACATCTGTGTTCTTCCAATGGCTCTCCACCTATCTTCCCTGCCTCAATATCTTTCCTGATGTCCTTTCCTCCTGACACTGTCCTATAAGACTACAGACCGTGAAAAATGTTCTTAGCTCTGAAATACAAATTCCATAAATACTTATTCGGCAAATTAAAACACATGAAGCAATGCAATGTCTCAAGTGTGGAGACTAATGAAAGTAGGAAGATTATGGATTGCCATGTTCACGGTTAGAGGCACTCTTCCGTTTCTAGTGGCCACAAAAGGACCATCCTGTAACTTGTGATGAAAACATCATGGGGGGGAATTGGTTGCTCTTCTGTAGCAAGAACTGGCAACAGGATTCTGACCTGAATGGAGCATGCTTTCCTTCCCCTCCTCCCTAGCTCACTGGCAGTGGCGCTGCATTGCCACCACAGAGTGCATTGCCTCTCACCTCCTTCTTGTCCTCGCCTGAGGAGCTATCATCACTGGAGACAAACTCCTTGCTCTTGAAACTCTCTCCAAGTTGTTTGGAAGGGCTCTTGCTCACAGACGATTTTGCAGATGCAGGTGCCTTCTTCTCTGGCTTGCCTTTCCCTGGCTTCTCTGGCTTTTTCTTCTTCTTGGATTTTTCCCTGTTCATGAGAAGAAAGAGATAGTGTGCTGTAATGGCAGAATCCCTTTGGGGCAACAGAAGCACTATGGAGAAATGAGGATGGGAGTCTGTGTTCTTGTTTGTGGGGCAGGGACGCAGCTACTCACTTCTTGGAGCTGTCCGACTTCCCTCCTTCTGTGTAGTCCTTCATTGCCTTCTCGTAGTCCCTCTTGGCATCTTCAGCTTTGCGATCCCATTCCTTCATCCAAAAAGAGAACGTTTTACTCACTACTCACGTAACCCACAAAAAGAACAACTCATGCACCATTTCTGCTAACACCAGGAGCATGTGTATCCCATGCAATAGAAAATGAAATCCAAAAACTCAAGGAATGCAGAGTCCTGAGGTTTTATTTTAAGCCCATTGTTCTTTTCCTTATGCCTGTGGGTCAAGGCCGAAATGGATTCAACTGAGGTTCAAAAACCCAGAGCTGGATTTAGTGACCAAGTGGAAATTTATAATCATCAGGATAAAACAGGATTTAACTGTCTCAGGACATTAGGGAATTCCTGCTGGATCAGACCAAGAGTCAATTTGGTTTAGCAACCATTTCTCACAGCAGGAATTCCCTAATGTCCCAGGGTTTGAGGCAGGAATCCTTTCCAATCCTAGCCTGACACGACAGGGATTGAACCTCTGATCTTCTACATGGAAAACATGTGGTCCACCACTGAACTACCACCCTTCCAAGACACTTCAGAGAATCCTCCAGAAAGCAACAGCCCTCTCCCACTGTTCCCCACCCCCTCAGCAGCTGGCATTCAGATGAACAAATCATAAACCACTCCCAAAAGCTACTGGCACACTTCCACATCCATAAAATGTTATCATTATCAACTCATCACCCACCTCTTTCTTCTCTTTGGACATTCCTTTCCAGAGTTCTCCGGCCTTCTTGGACACATCAGTGACACTCATGCCAGGACTATCTGCCCTGATCTTGTCCCGGTTAGCATTGAGCCAGAGCATGTAAGCAGACAAAGGTCTCTTTGGGGCATTGGGATCTTTCCCTTTCTTACTCTGTGGGGAAAGGGAGGGTGAGGAGAAAAAGCACAACACTTCACCTCCAAGTAAAGGGAAGCCCTGCCTATTCCACAGATTCCGGAAAAATCCCTTCCTGTCTCCCAAAGCCACCTGCATAAAGACCTCTAACTTGACTTTTGACTATAGCCAACTGCCCTTCCAGCAATCTACAGCTCTGCAAATTGCAACACACAGTTTTTGCTCCAAAACCTCTTCTACTGCCCCCTTTCCCCCTTATATTCCCAAGACTGGTTTTCATATTCACTGCACCACTAATAAGCATGGACCAACTTGGCCCCCAGTGCCATCCCTCAATTTCAAAGCCCATCCCACCGCAGCTCTCCCCTACGTGAGCAGATTCACAGGGAAAAGGCCTGTTAACCTCTCTATGTAAGGAGAGATTTCAGCAGTGCACTCTCCTTAGGTACCCTCAATAGCTTTACTTAAGTCGATTCATGTTTGAATGTGTTCAAGCATTTTAAAACAGTTCTTGTTCTGGTCTCAGCTAACACAAGCGCAAGTTAACACTGCTGGTCCCGATTCAGTTCAAAATACGGTCCCTTGTCAATATATCAACTGCTGATTTGTCTGCTTGCTAGGTGTTTGGGCACCGCTGAGATGGAGGAGCAGGTTCCCCTCTGTTTGGATGCCCTTTTGAATCAAGATGACAGAGTGCACCTTTCAAAACTGCACTGATTTGTTTGGTTTCTTAGGAACTCCCAAGCAATGCCCAGTGCAAGGCTGCTGATTTGTAACTGTGCACTTGTTTGCTTTCTCACAGGCACTTCCAGCTCTGACAGGAAGCACTCAAAGAAAGCCAGGAAGAGAGCGGCCTTGAATTCAACAATCTCCACATCCTGGTTGCTCTCACCTCAGATGGCTTCTTGCGAGGCTTGCGTTCTTTGACAATTTTGGCTTTTTTGGCAGGTTTCTTCTTCTCGTCACTGTCTCCTTCGTTGCTAGATGAGCTGGCTGAGGCATTACTGTCAAACCTGTCACAAGGAAAAGACACGCACAGAAAGAGGTGGGTTCACAGCTTCCTAAACCCACAAATAAATCCCAGTCACTTTTAAAATGAGGGCACACACTCAAGCTTGAGCAACAATATCCTCACCCTCTTTTTTTGTGCTTAACTCTCATGTGTCAGTTACACTACATCAGTGTGGTGTAGTGGTTAGAGTGCAGGACTAGAAATAGGGTAACTAGGGTTCAAATCCCCACTCAGCCTAGCCTACCTAACAGGGTTGCTGTGGAGATTAAATAAGGAGGGGGAGAACCATATTAAACACCATCTCCAGCTCCTTAGAGAAAAACTGGGAAATAAATGCAGCAAATAAATTAATAAGTCCCAAGAAAGACTTGGATGCCGCAGGATCATTAAAATCGGTAACAAACATCATAAACAGATAGGTCTATATAGCCCGATTAGAATAAACAACTTATAAAATTTACAAACACTGGAAGCCCTACCACGACTGCTAAAAATTGTTAGACATACAATATAGGATTTCAATAAGCTGCTGCATAGACTTGTCAGAAACTATTCTAGCAAGAGCGCACAAACCAGCAGGTATCAATTGACTGATAACCATTGCATGCAAACATCAAAAACAATTGCCATCTGTCTAACCTACCCCAATGTTCATACTTCAAAGACCAAACAGACAAGCCTTTTAAGTAAGCTGACGTTCTTAAAGCATTTGAAATAGAATGGGTCCATTGTCATGACTGCCCACCCTGCAAGATGCTCTCCAGCAGCTTAAGTGAAAGCATGCCCAGATTACTAGCTCCCAACGTTTTCTTGAATATTCAACCCTGTGTACAATTTTAGACTGATGAAAGGACAGCATATTTCACAGACGAAGATAAAAAGCACAAGACTGTCAAAGTGAGTCGCAAAGTGTTGCCTTAAATTTAGGACTCAGATTTCCCCATTCATTTTGATAACCAGTGGTTGCACCCAGTAATGCTGCTATACGAGTGGAACAGGCCTCCACTAATGCAGTGGGACTTCCACTCCCCCTTGCAGCTCTGACTGCCCACCGTCACCTGAGCAGATCTGGGTGGGCTGACAGGAGACAGAGAAAAGGAAGCGCGCCATCCCTGCAAAAGTGGAAACCTGCTCATGTGGCATGAACTACAACCCCCATTTCCTACTCCCTAGATGGATCCTCACAACATTATAACAAACTGTTCTTCTTCCCATTTCACCCTACTATTGTCATCACTCCAATACAGATGATCCAACTTTCTTCTGTTGGAATTCTCCTACTCATGTGATTTGCCTGCTTCCATACGGTCATATTGAAGACCCACAGAGACCTGGTCACAGTTCCAGATGTTATTGCATCCTTCAGTCTTATACTGGTCCCTTCCAAGCACACAGTTTCCCCCAGTATTTATTAAAATATTAATATCATGCCTTTTGATTCCTAACAGAGCCCTCAATGCAGCATTCAACAACACTATCTCCAGCAGGCTGAAGCATTTTACTTACTCTTCTGCCACATCCTCTTCCTCCTCCATAGGATTGAAGGATTCATCTGGAAAAAGAAAATCTCTGTTTTTAAACCACATTGATGAGAACGAAATGTAAGGCATGAAAAGGCAAACAGGAATGGATTTGGCCACAAACCAAAGACAGAATAGGCCAATCTCTGTATCTCCAGGCTGCAGAAAAGCTATTTATTCATTTACTTATTTCATAACATTTAAATAGCTAACAAAAGAAATGCATAAAATAAGCCTTTTTGCAGACATTGTATCAATTATGCTATTGAATCCAAAAGTTGCAATGCTCATATTACTGAAATGAAAAAAATAAGCAATTATGCTAAAGTGTCTGGATTCAAAATCAGCAAATCCAAATCAGAAATAACGTAAATGGACATTTCTCCATCTGACCAATCAATCATTCAAAAACAGATAGGAAGTAAAATATTTGGGAGCCCAGGTAACAAAAAACCTGTCAGCTCTAAAGAAAGCAAACTTTATACCATTACTTTTACAAGTATGATGGGATCTTAGATCTTGGGAAAACTTACATTTAGCATGGTCAGGACGCATAACCATTTTTACAGCAGCTATCCTTCTGAAATTTTTGTTTCTTTTTCAAGCGCTGCCAATTATGATTACGCCCAAACAATTTAAAATTTGGCAGTGCTCAATGAACAAGTTCATACACGAAGGGGAAAAGAGCAACTAGGCTCCAGAACTATGTATGGAAGTGTTCAAAGCAGCAGATTTGGAATCCCACACCTCCAAACTACTAACAATGCCTTTTAACTAAAACATTTGATGTCACCGATGAACGGTCAAAAGAGCAAACCATGGGCAGATATAGAAATAAGCTTGACATACAACAAAACAAGTGAAATGTCTCCTGCACTAGCAGTATTTGGCTTATGATCCCACCCGCTCAAAATTACCCTAATGTTGATCTCTTAGCCTTTCTATTGACAGCTGCCTGTATGGAGGTAGTCAGATGCTGGAAATTTTTTGTTGGACTTAACAAGTATAGTCCATAGCATTGGCTTACATATTGACATGTCAGGTCAAAGCGGCAAAGGGCAGACACAATCCACATTCCTTTTATAATGTATGGCAAATGCTTCTTGAAAACAAATTGTTGAGACCATGGCAGAAATCCACCAAACATTCATGGGGAAATGTGGCATGATCTTTTAGCGTAATCAAACACAACTTTATTATATAACATGACAAAAGTTTGAAATACGATCAGCACAAGTAATTTGTTGTTTACTGTTGTAACAACCGTTTTCTCAAAATGTATCTTGTGCCATGAAAAATAAATATAAACGTATTTTTTAAAAGTTATATACTGTTCAATTATTAATCAAACAAAACCCAAAAGAAATTTTTAAAAAAATGGCTTACCCGTCTCCTCCCCAGAGTCTTCACTGCTGTCATTTGCATGCTCCTCGCGAATTTTGCCCTCCTCCTTCATACGCTCCAAGTAAGCATCATGTGAGTCCTCATCCGAACCAGCATAATCATCATAGGGCACACTCTTCATGCCCTAGAAACATAAACAAAGCATTCCATGGAAGCTTCCCAACTCCAGTATTTGAGCAGACAGTCTCTCTCAACACTTTCCACACCCAAAACATGCAGAGATTCTAAAACCACAACTCCCAGCATGCTTTTGAGCACACATACTGTATAGAAAAGGCTTCTGTTTTAAACACACACACACACACAGCAGATTCCTCAAGAACTGAATGCATGCTGTCTCCTGGGTCTGCTAGAACACACCTTCTCTCCTCAGAGGAAGGGAAGAACCATGCTAGAAAGGTGGATTAGGTGGAAGCCACTTCTTAAGCAGAGCAGGCTGCTGCCCCTTGCCTGTGGTTCATGCAAGGTTATACTATGGTGATTAGGAATGTTCACCACAGCCATGCAGAGGAGACCTGAACCAAGAGGAGGAGGAAGAGGAGGGGACAATCGCACAGACCTTTTTCTTCTACAAGGAGAGAACAGAAATTGAGAAGGGAGAAAGCTCCGGAGAGACAGAGAACCCCACCCTTCCCCAGTAGATCAGGATCAGGACCAGACAGTAGTTGCCTTTCCCTGTCCTCTCTCTTGCCCACCCTCTTGTAACAGGTACCTCCTTCAGTCCTCGGTTCTTGATGTTCAACTTCTTGGTATTCACAAAGTCAAATAGTTTGCCATATTCTTCTCTGCAAGGAAGAGAAGCCATAGATGCAATCATCTCGCACAAGACTAATACTCACTTGCCTGTGACAAAACTTCACAGAACAGCAGTGAATCAGTTGCTGCCAGGGAAAATAGATCTTATATTGTGAGGGCGCGGAGGGGAACTGAAGAACGAAATATTGTGTTTTTAGGACCTACCTTAGTTTTATGGCTTTAAATTGTTTTGAATATTGTTTTTACCGCTGTAACCTGCCCTGGGACCTTAAGAGTGAAAGGCAGGTAACAAATTCATAAATAATAATATATGCATGATGCAGCTATTGAAATGAAAACATCTGAAAATTATGGGTCACACATATGCAAGCAGCATAAAGAACTGTCTTTCAGAATGGGAAGGGCTCAAGGGCAGTGGAAATTCTGCCCCTTTCCGCCACAATGGAAAATATTATACAGCTAAAGAGGCGGCTGAGATCAAAAGCTGGTAAGCACAGTTGTGTCTCTATGGTTCTGCTACGATCCATTCACTCACCTCTCTATGCTGCTGAAAGTGTATTGCATTCCCTGCTTGGTTTCTATTTCGAAGTCAAAGGAGCGTGTGGTTGTGGTCCCACGGGCGAAGTTCACAAAAGAAATCTCGTCAAAGCGGACATGAACGGGTGGCTTGTGCACGTAGATGAAGCCACGCTCTAAAGGGTACAGGAGGCCCGAACTAGCCTTATAGGAACAAGTGATGCACTGTGCCCCGGAATGCCTGTAACAGGGAAATAAGAGCCATGCTCAGTTTTGGCCATACCTTTCTCATTCACGCCCCGGTCAAACAATGACAGCCAATGAATGGTTCACGATTCCTCTAACCCAGCATGGAGGCATTTCTCACCCCTGGAAGTTGCCAGGCACGGTGATCTTCCGGTTGACAAGAGCTTTCATGACACGACTGACCATCTCATACAGGGAGCCAGACATATTCTTGGTGAGCCGACCCTCAAAGCGCTTCTCTACCTCATCCCTGTTAGAGAGAGAGACAGAATAGAAGTTAAGAAAGTGCTAGACTCAAGGGGCTGTTGAAAGATGTTTTAAATAGTATGTGTGCATGCTTATGCATGTACAGTTGACTCACAACTTATGCACATTTAACTTGAGGGATCACAGCTTTATGCTGAAAAAGCACATTCAGCAATTCCACCTGCCATTGCATTCACTCTGGGAGAGCATTCTGAGGTCCAGGGACAGTCTGCAGTAAATGCTGCACTGTGCCTTTTATAGTTTCTACCTTCCCTGGACGTAGCTCCCACATAAGTGGAGAGTCGCCTGTGTGTGGATGTGCACAGGCATATATGCACACATGGGGGTGGGGGTTGAGAAAGGTAATAATAGGGAGCAGGTGGAGACTAGAACTGGCAGTCTTAAAGTCAGAATGTTGCACTGGAAACTCCAAGGTCTCCTTGTGCAAGCCAGTCTCATTCTTGTTTTCTCCCTCTCCATACAAACACACAGAATAAGTTTGACAGAAATGGAAATGCAAGAGACTCCAAAGATTACTACACCACCAATTAATTGCAGCAGTCTGTGCAACTGGGACAAAAAAGCACTTGGGCATGACGGGTAGAGTCAAGCTTAGAAAGCATCTAGGGGAATCAGACACAGATACACTGTAAGGAATACAATATTGTGAAATGGTACGCACTCATTCATGTTGAGGGTCAAGGAGATGTCCTCATCCTTTGAGAAGAGTAGGATAAGAAAGTGGTAACGTGTTTGGCCTTGCTTTATAGGAGGATCTAAGCTGATCTGGAAGGAAGCAGAGATAAACTTCACCTTCAGCAGGAGCCCTGATCCAAAAGCACCATTCCCATGCAGCCTAACCCCCACACACCACGCTGATATCACATGCATCTCCCTTTCATAGAGACAACCTACCCATTACAAAGCCCTTTCCCCTTGTTTAAGACAGCAACAGAAATCCAAATTTAATCCTAGACAGCAGCAGTCTCTACAGACTCAACTAGGAGAATAAAAATTTGCACTTCTTTTCAGGAATCTTCAGGTTCAGACTGCTGCATCAAACTGAGTATATTTCTCTCACACACCCTTTCAGAAATGTTAAGAGACATTATAGTCTTTTTTATTAAAAAAAACAAAAACACAACCATGCAGAATGTCACTATGTAGCCTTCTCCAAAATAGCATGGTCTAGCTTTAGATATGACCACTCCCCTAGAACTGCAGATGCTCACAGGTAAGCAGACAAGGGCCAAACCTCCCCAGGCTGTATATGCAGTTGCTCTGCTCGCAATAACATGTCAGACATTGGCAATGCCATGCCAGACTGGACATGCAAGCTCTGACTTCCTTCTGCCTTAAAGGCCAATGGCCTTCTCTTTTTTGTACTTTTATTTGTTTATTAAAGATTTTGTTGATTTACAAAAGTGTGTGCACTGTCTCTCTATCATATTTTTTTCCCCATGTAACATTTTTACAAATCAGTTTCATTTGTTGAGACATTAAGGCCAATGGCCTTCTAAGCAACAAATAACTTGGCCGGATGTGCAGTTTGGCATAGCAGGTGGCACAAGACCACCTTGCTGCTTTCTAAGAAAAAATTATGTGCTTTATCTCCATCTGATAGGAAGAGATTATTATGTGCAAGTTAGCTATGCAACGCTGAGGGATTAGCTCTTACATCTCTATCCACACCTGCTGCAGTTAGAAGGAACGAGAGAGCCCTAAGGCACGACACCTTAACACAGTGCTGAAACAACAGGCCAGCTCCCCTTATGCCCGGAACGCTTGCAGGGAGGGAACCAAGGCAGAGCAGAAGAATAGGAAGGATACATAACAATCCCTGAAATTTTATCTGAGACACTGACTGTGTACTGAGTAGAAAGACACACGGATTCTTCTCCCCAGAGTGCAACATAAGACTGATAATTTGCTTTGTTTCTGGTTTTTTAATTAGTAACAAGAACTTATTTATTTTTATTTCATAAAAGGTATACATCATTTGATTGCAAAATACCTCCAAGTGATTTACAAAAAGATAAAACAAGAAAATCAAGAAAAAAATCACAACCATATTTTTTAAAAACTTAAAATACTAACTTTCAAAGCACCAGGATAGGTTTGTGTAAGCAAGAATGTTTTTAGCAGGCGCCCAAAAAAGAAGGTGCCTGTTTGATCTCAATAGGCATGAAGTTCAGAAGCGCAGGTGCTGCCACACTAAACAATCAAGTTCTTACAAATCTGGAACAGGTATTATGTGGCCCCCGCAGTAGTGCCAATTCCACCGATCAAAGCAGTTGAGTGGGTGCATGTGGGAGTAAAGAAATCTCTTACGTTAACTGGTCCCAAGTTTTCAAGGGATGAAAGGCCCTGGCCTCTCTCGTAAAGCACAAAGGGGAGAAGGAAGAGAACCTATGAATGGAGCCTACTGCATGAAGTAACCATCATTCTTACTCCTGACAGGCAACCCCTTCCCCCCAATTCCACTGCTGCTCACCACGAAGAACATCTGGCGTTGGTCTTTATGGGGCAGCAGAAAAAGCCGCAGAACGGTGGTGTAGGGGATCTTGTAGTCAAATGTCTTGCCATGGAGGTGCAGGAAGGTAGGGTAGATGCGGATGTCATATCGACCACGAGGTGTCAAGCACTGCAGCTCTCGGAAGATGCAGATGGCATCTCCGGTGGCCTGGATGACGTCTGCCTTAGATAATACATTCTGGGCAAATGCCTGCAGTAAAGAGTGGAATGAAGTTTTTATCAACTAATGCTCTCTCTCCCACCCCAACATCATCTCTACTCAGTTCTCACTCACCTCCACGGGATCCACGCCATCCTCCTGAGTGGGTGGCACGTAGAAGCGCACCTCCATAAGCGACACTTCAGTGTCGTCATTCTGGTGGAACTCCAACGTCACTTCATTCTTGCCAGTTGTACACTGGGAGACATTACTGAGTGGGATCTCAAAAACTGGCTGCTCACCAATGTCAAAAGAGAGAAGCTGCCCTGCAAAAGACCAACAAGGTATCTTCCAAGAGAAAATAATAATACATTCTCAGTCATTCTCCAACCCAAAGTAAAACAAAAACAACCTTCTCCATTCTTTTCTCTTAGCTCTGTCTTCGAGACACAGTGTGCCAATTTCCCTTGGGGTCGGGGTACCACCCACCACACCCAAACATACCTCCAAACTTCACTGTCCCCCAGTTCCACCCCTTCACACACAAGTCTTTTTCAGCAAGGTCTAAGTGAAAGTGTGTCTTGAAGAAATCTGAGAGTTTGTCAAATTCCTATGGAAGGAAAATGCATAATCAGGGAACAGTCAGTTAATGCACTAGTAAGGCAGCGGTATACAGAGTAGCCATTTGCTGTGAATAGCTTTCTGCACCTTGGAAATTAAAATAAGCTACATATCACAGGCCAGAGCAAAATTATGTCAATACTAACAAGTATTTTTTATATAAGCTAAGAGTTAAGAATTGCATGCTACAAGAGATGCATGAAACTAGAAATCCCATTGTAGAACCGACATCTCCTTTATAACAGCCTGCAACTAAGGCAACACACAACCATAAGGCTAGAGGGAAAAGGCACTTTTGCAAGACCAAACTGGATATGCAAACTGGTGGAATTTCAGGCAAAAATAAACACCCAATGGCAGATGCTGCACAATATCAACCTGTCTTGATCCATAATACAAAAAACCGCTCACCCCACCAAGTCCTGAAGACCTGCTGAGGGCTGTACTGTATCATGCTCAGAAGCAAACTCATTCCAAAAAGAACCTTACCGTCTCTCTGAACCCATCATATTTGTAGACGTGACCGTTCTTTGTCAGGAGTTTGAGACCATGTCCCAGTGCCACTCGTCGCCAGATGCCCTCTGCCAACTCTGATGCCTGAATATTGTCCACTTTTCCTGTTTTACTGTTCTTGAAAATCACACCTTGACGGTTCAGTCGCAGGCGGCCATCATTCTGACCCACAAGAGACAGAAGGTTAGCAGGTGCTTTAGCTCCGTGGCCTCTCAAAAGCTTGATAGGCTCTTCTCCTAAAACAGCTCCATTTATTCCTCAAACTGCCACCAAATCCCCTTTTAAAATACTATTTAGAACAAGTTGGACAAGACATATGATGTGGTGTTAATGGCAACTATCCAACAACTACAATAATTCCTTCCACTATAATTATTTTCTCCCCAAACATTTGGAATGGGACTCAAACCACTCAGTAAAGCAGCAGTGGGGAACCTCCAACCCACAGACCTAATTAGGTTACCAGACCTCCCCATTTTGCCTGCAAGCCACACCCACCTGTCTTACACCTGATGTGCTATATGCTATCAGGGATAGAGAAGGTCAAAATGTGGCTGGTCCAAAAGTGGGGTTGCAGTGTGCTTTCTAAGCACTTTGCTAAGTGATTTGCCTTGGCCCACAGTCGATTTCTAACCATATAGGGAAACACCAGTGACTTGATGTTGCTGTGATGTCAAGTGACTGACAGGTGGGTATCCCCCCCCATCTGTCAAACTTTGCTTTGGCAGCGAGAGGAATATGGAGCCAACCTAGTGGCCAGATCTAGTTTTCTGCTTCTACAGTAAAGTGTCCAGTTATCTGTTTTCTTTAAAAAGACAATGTTTACAGCACAAACCTAACCATATTTGCTAAGAAGTAAAGCCCTATTTATTTAAGTAGGTGTTACTTCCTTAGAAGTCAGCCTCAGAACCTTGCATCATATTCAGTTTTAAATTAAGCAAATATTTGTGGCTAGGAATCACATTTATATAGATCTATAGACTCTAGCTCACAAAATCTTACACCATAATATATTTGTTAGTCTTTCAGTTTGCCACAAGAGTCTTTGTTGTTTTGCATCCAGAAATAATCCCAAGTGATATACAACCAGCCTGCCAAGTAATCCCCCCAGTGGCATTAACAATGCTGAATAATAAAAAGGCTTTAAGGCACGTTTCATACCCAGCTGAAGTCTCAAGATGCATTTTAGTGAGTAAAGAATTTGCCACCCAAAAAAGTTATTTCTCCACAATCCTCAGGAGTCCAAAGCAAATGTGGGCTTCATCACTCTTGAAACATTTGTTCACCGTCCTAAATAATGTATTCTCATAGGCCCTCCTGCCATTATGTTTAAAGTATTAACCTCACTGAACCCTTAAGGGGCAGAGCAATATTATTTCTTACTCCCCTTTAAAAGATGGCATACCAGAACACGACAGATCATACAACAAACTTGTGGCAAAGCACTAGGTTTCTAAAGTGGCAAGGTGGCATCCCATCCAACAGGTCAACCTTCCTCCAAACATACTGCTTGTTCCTCACATAGCACCATATGTTACTTTCCTCCTTTCAGGCTACCACCACCACCCCATTAACTCACCATCGATCCCTTCACCTCCTGGTATATTTCATTGAATTCCAATGTATCCGCCATGTTGACAGCACCTCCACCCCCCTCACCCCACTATGGCAGGGGTTGAGGCCACACCAGCAAAACGTGCCGAGCTGTTCTTGGGGAAAAGTTTTGCAAACGGACCCAGGCAGGGAGAAGACAAGATGTCTTAGTCCTTCCTGGAACGTGGGATCTTCTCCATCTAGTACTAACAGAAGCAAAGGGAACACGAAGACACAGAGGACTAGAAAACACCTGGGGGGAGGCGAAACCTGGGGAGAAAGCAGAAAATGTTTTGTTTATACATGGGAGACGGGAAGAAGACGACGACTTCTAGAAAGCTGCCTTGCTATTCACCCAACTCGGCTAAAAACCACCCCTGCCTCACAATGCCTACTAAGAAGGACACACACCAAACCCCGCACCCAGGAGCCCCCGACCCACAAGATGCTCAGTGCCGCCACAGCGAAACACACACGTTGTCTATTTGCGGGAGCCAAAACTCGCCTCTTTACGGAGCAGCAACAGCGCACACCAGCCGCCTACTCCTGCTGCTACTACTACTACTACCGCAGTTTCCCATACCAACCGCGTTTAAACCGAAGACAATTGCCCCCCGCCCTCGCACGCCCGGCTTTGAATCCCCCCCCTCTCACCAGACGCACTTTCCCGCCTGCGCAACACGAGTCACATCCTCTCCCCTCCTCTCCTCCTCTCTAGAAAGCTCACCTCACTTCCTCCTTCCGGGGCCGTTGGCTTTCGGTCGCTTAGTGCTCACTTGCCTCTCCGGTTTGAAAAAGAAAGAAAATGGAAGAAGGCGGCACGACTCTCTACGGAAACCGTGGGACGCCGCTCTATCGCGCAGCGCCTCTATGGTGGGACGTCTGAAGGAGCGTGCCGGAAACGCGCTCCGTTGTAGACCGGAAGTGCTCACGGGGGAATCTTGTTTGAGGAGACGTTTGCATTTTCAGCCTGGAGAGGTTCTTTTGTCGGCTTGGGGAAAGGGCCGGTCTTTCCTCCCTCCCACCCCGTCTCTATGGGCTTCCCATCCTGGGAGCGAAGCGCGGCTCCCGTGAGCGGCGGCAGTGTGACTCTCTTGATTGGTTAACGCGGGAGTAGGATGTGACTCGAGCGGGGGTGTGGGGCTGCCTGTTCAGTATTGCTTTTGCCTCTTCTTGATTCCTTAATCCAAGTCGTTTATAAAGGCATTGAACAGCAGGGCCAGGACTGAACCCTGTGGCACCTCGCTTTTTTCCAGGATGATGAGGAGCCATTAGTGGCCACTCTGGGTTCAGTCAGGCAACCAGCTACATACCCACCTAACAGTTACCTCGTCCAGCCCACATTTTACCAGATTCTCCACAAAAATGCGGGGGGGGGGGACTTTGTAAAAAGCCTCACTGAAATCAAGGTACTGTACACTACATCCACAGCCTTCCCTGATCCACCCTGCTTGTAACTCTATCCAAAAAGAAATGAGATTGCATGATTTGTTTTCGAGAAACCCATGCTGGGTGTTAGTATTCACAGCATCCTTTTCTAAGTGCTCACAGACTGTTAAATTATCTGTTCTAGGAGTTTTCCTGGTACAGTCATACCTCGTGTTATGTTTGCTTCATGATACATTTTTTCAGGTTGCGTCCCGCAGACGCGCAAAATGACGTCACGTGCATGCACATAAGCTGCGAATTGCAACCCACACATGTGCAGACGTGCTGCTGCGGGTTGCGTTCTGCTCATGTTGAAAACGGGGCACTGAAATGGATCCTGTTTGTAACCAGAGGTACCACTGTACAGTATTGACTTCAAGCTGACCTGGATCTTCTTTTTTCCATTTTCTGAAGATGGGGTCAACATTTCCCCACCTCCAGTCTGCGGGAACCTCACCTGTTCTCCAAGAATTCCCAAACATAGACTCAGGCTCTGAGATTACATCCACAAGCTCTTTTAGTTCCCTTGGGTGCCGCTCATCGGGCCCTGGAGATTTGAATTCATTTAAAGTAGCTGGGTGTGTTCCCTTACCACCTGTCTTGGGCTGCAGCTCCTTCGTTGCATTATTTATTCTGTTAGCACCAGATTAGGCACTGCTTTCCTTTTTGGGTGAAGACAGATCCCAGTCTTCTCTGATCCCAGTAAGAGTTATTTGCTTCAAAAATTCTTGCTGTTCCAAAGTTCACAGCAAGTCCTGAGTCCAGCAGCTTCTAAAGTCCTTGCAGCTCTTCACAAAGTGTTCTACTTCCTTCCACAATTCTACACAATTCTAATCAGTCTCTGCTGCTTAGATCTCCCACACTTTTCTGGCCAGCACTGAACGCTATAGCTTTTGCTCTTTATCCACACGGGAGCTACCTAAAAATTCCTCCCAGCAACAAAGATGAGATGGTCACCAAATACTTGCATTGTGGGGAATGACTCAGCATTTCCAACTCATGTGCAATTGACCCACTGAACACTTTCTTTAACATATAAATCACTTTTTCTTTACCTGTCTAGCTGAGTCCCATCACTCAGATGAAAGGGTGTGTCACATGGGGCTATACCCCTTTGGTCACAGTGGGCCAAGGACATTTTGCTGCTAGAGACAAAGCAAAATCCCGTCCCTCATCCACAGCCCACCCTCTGCTGCGCGCCTGCCACACACCACTCACACATGCCACTGTCCTGGGGTGGGGTGGGGGGAGTAAAAGGAGGCCAGAGAGGAACAAGTGTGCAAAGGAGGGGGAAGCAAGGGGCATGCTTCTTGGAGGCCAAATCTGCCACCTCTCCAAGCTGTCCAGAGCCTGCCACGCTGAGACAACTGTCTCACCTTGCCTCACTGGAGGGCCTATCCTGTCTATGGTCATATATCACACACACCTGGAACTCACAAAGTGTAACTCTGGGGATGAGAAAATGGACGGTGGTGCAAGCTTATTTTCTCCTTCTCCGAAGGCAAACCAATGGTTTCAAGCAGTGCTTTTTTCCTAAAAAAATGTTTAGGGGTACTCTCATTTTCCTGCTCATATTTGAAATACTGCCCCTCAATGGAGCCAAACTTAGATACACAAAATGTTTAGGGGTATGCGTACACCTCCATCCCAGAAAAAAAGCACTGGTCTCAAGTTACAAGAAAGGAAATTCCTATTAAACACCAGGAAGAATTTTGTGACGGTAAGAGCTGTTTGACAGTGGAATGGACCCCCTGGGAAGGTGGTGGAGTCTTCTTCCTTGGAGATTTTTAAGATGAGGTTGGATGGCCATTTGTCATGGATGGTTTAGTTAAGAATCCTGCACTGCAGGGGGTTGGACTAGATGACCCTTGGGAACCCTTCCAACTCTTGATTCATAGAATCATAGAATTGCAGAATATCACTTAAGCAATGTAACGGACAATAAATAATTTGAAGAGCTGAAACTGTACAAGACTTTTTGCATATAAGGCTCCATTCAAAGTCTTTCTGTAGCTCAGTAATAGTTGCTTTTAACCTTTTCTGACCCTGAACCTACCTTTTAATCTCAGCCTGCAACTTGAGTTCTGGTTTTAGTTTTTAAAAACTGTATATATCACCTTTCTTCTTTCCTCTCAGGCAAAATTCCCATACTGTGTGCCACAAGAGAAATGGGAGTGTGCTGTGAGAAGCAGACAATTAAAGGCTGTACAAGTCAGTGCTCTGGACTTGCTATCTTCCTACTGGGGAGGTCACATCCAGAACACTAACTTGTGTAGAAACCCGGGGGGGGCAGGGGGTGCCATGCTTATTTTGTTCACTCTTAAGAACAAATCTTCTCAGGCACAATAGTCAAGTGATGTTGTTGGAGGGCAACTCACATCCGCCGCAGCCAGTATGGCCAATGGTAAGGGATGATGGGAGTGTTGGGCCATGTATATGCCATGGAAGCTCAGTCAAGAGTTAAGCTCACCACAGAAATCAGTTCTTTAGCAGACTTGTCTTTACCGGTCCAACGCCAACACACACACACACACAATTTACAGATGTTACAAGTAGTCTTCTCTCTATATCTCTGAGCCCAGAGAGGGGTCTTTGCTTCAAAGTCCTTGCTGTGTTAAAGTCCACAGCCAAGTCCTTAGTCCAGTTGCTTTCAAAAGTTCTACAGTCTTTCAAAAACTGTTAATAGTAATAATAATAAAAAATGTATTTATACCCCACCCTCCCCGGCCAGAGCCGGGCTCAGGGCAGCTAAAATTACAGTAAAAACATTGTAAAATTACAATGAAAACATAATGGGGGGATTTAAAATACAGATTAAAATACAATTTAAAATGTAGCCTCATTTTAAAAGTAGCCCATAGATCAAAACCATAAGGGGAGGGAAACATAAGGTCCACACCAAAGTCCAGGCGGAACAGCTCTGTCTTGCAGGCCCTGCAGAAAGATGTCAAGTCCCGCAGGGCCCTAGTCTCTTGTGACAGAGCTTTCCACCAAGTTGGGGCCAGTACTGAAAAGGCCCTGGCCCTAAGTTGAGACCAGTTCCAATTTTTCTTCTTCAAACTGCTTCACACTGTCTCAGGCAAATTCTCCTACTGTCCCACAAAACATATGCCGTAAACTGGACCCCTGGACCTAGCCTAATATGCTTCCTTTTTTCGGCTACTGAGCTTTGGTAAGTGAACTTGAATTGTGTGTCTTGAGACAGATAGCCCAAAGGAATAACCAGGAACTTCCTTTTGCGGTTGCTCACACTGTCACTGATTTGGGACTAGGATCCCACTGTTCCCAATGCAGGCAGCATCTTGTCAGAATGATTTCCCATTTTCCAATGTCGTCTCCGGAGGGGAATATTATTCAGCTTTCTCCTCCCCCTCTCCTTCCTTCCCCTTTGACTGATGTTTCGAAGGTCTGACACAGCAGGGGCACTATCTGTAGAGCTGGAACACCACTCAGAGGAAATGCAGCAATTGCAGATTCATTATTTAATGCTCAGATCTCTTCCATCTAGGCACTCGCTAGAATCCAATTTGTAATTGATGAGCTGGAAAGCCCCACCTTTCTCTGACTGCATCACCGGGTGTTGGGTAGGGGTGGGGGTGGGGAAAGAGATCTTATAAAAGAGGGTCCCAGCATCTCAAGCATGCCCAGAGTAGCAGGAGACAACAGCAGGAGGGAGCTAGCAGAACGTCTTCCTTTCAAAAAGCTTCTGAATCTTCTCCCTGCGCAGATTACACCTCCGTGTCCACCACTCATAGACCCATCACAACACCCTTGACATTCCAGTCCGGTCTGCAGAACATCTTGGATTTGCTCCTCGCCGCCCAGGCTTTCCTTCGGCATGAACTGTGTGGCAAACTTCTTCACCTATGAAACCACCAAATCGGTGGTGGTAAAAAGTTGGACCATCGGCGTGATCAACCGGGCCGTCCAGCTGCTGATCATTTCCTACTTCATTGGGTGAGGGATGGCATGTGAATGGGGGAAATATATTCTCACTTGGGGGAGGGAGGGTGGCTGTAGGAGAAACAAGGTAAGGGCTTACACCCCACAAATCATCATCACTCAAGAGGTGACAACTTTTTACACAAAGGTGTTGGTAGAGGACAGTAGAACAAGGAAGGTGTTGGGGAAGTAACCGAGAACAGCTTATTTTTGATGGGTGTGAGAAGCCAGGTAGATAAGGCTGCTAAGTCAGGGCTTTTTTTCAGCTGGAACTCACCAAAATGCAGTTCCAGCACCTCTCAGGTGGGTACCATTGCCACTGTAAGAGAGAACAAGGAAGGTGTTCATGGTGAGTTCTGGTATGTCTTTTTCTAGAAAAATAGCACTGTGCCAAGTGAATGGTTCTAAATGTAACTTGTTCCTGTAAGGGAGACTTGAAATACATAGAGATTTTCACTTGGATTCTCCAAACTTGCAAAGATCTTTAAGGAAATAATAACTCACATAGGCATGCCTGTCAGCTCTGGAAAAGGAACATGCAGTTGCAGGTGGCAGGAAAGCTTATGGTCCCACGAGGCTGCAGACAGTGTTGTCTCTGGCTTGTGGGGTTTGGGTAGCGGATAGAAAATGATTACCATCTCTCACAAGTCTGGAGTTGAGGAGCTGTTTGGAGAGCCAGGAGACTTGGATTCAGGGCCACAGCAAATTTTATTTGTTAAAACCCTGTTTCATCATCCCAAAGGGATGTTGTACAAATTCATGGGCTTCTGCCCTTAGATAGCCCCAAGGAAATCATAGAGAAAAAGGAGCTGCTGTTGCTGCTGCTTTTTAACTGAAGAAGTGCTTCACAATTATTTGCCTATTGTGCCATGTGTTTACCTGAGACCAAGTAGCTGAATTCATGTTGTCCCTTTAGAAACTTTGTTTGGACGTGTGATTATGTAGGCAAGCTTGTCCACACATACTGTATAGTCATTTCTTCCATCAAAAGAAGGATTCTGATAACTCTTTGCACTGTTGTGCCATTGCAAACTTGCCACCCGAGCCAGAGCATCCAGCCCCACAGAGAGGCTGACTTTACCACATGCCATGATAAAATTTGCTTTACCAGATGGCAAGAGGCTCCTGGTAGTTGTTTTAATTCATTCTACTCGTGGCTTTTATGGGTTGGGTGTTCTTTTGAATGTGAGCAAAGAAGAGGGACACGTGCACATTTGAACAGACAGAGATGGGGGAGCTGCGTGTCGTTCCTGGAAAAGTAAATCTATCTGTGTGCTGAATGTGGGAGATCTGTATGAATAACTGAAGCAAGGACGTGATTCATAGGTTAGTGGCAGACAGCACATGATTTGACTGCAGAAAGCCCCCTGCTCCATCTCTCCACATCTTCAGGGAAAAGGATTAGGGAGCAGGTGATGTGAAAGAGCTCAGCTTGAGACGCTGGAGAGCCACTGTCAGTCAGAGTGGGCAATGCTGGGCTTGATAGCCAAAAGGTCTGGCCTGGTAGTAGGCAGCTTCCCACAGTTCTCAGGGGAGCTGGGACGGTTTGGGAAGGAGGCGCTTAACAGTTCACTTAACTGCTTTGGGATGGGTTCTGTGTTCTGTTTTTCTTGAGACTGTTTATACCGGAGTAGTCTCACTGACATCTTAAAGTTGTTTCTGGGAGAAAAATATATATTGGGGTTGGGGTAAAGGAGGGGAAGCCTTTTGGGGGATGACTGCATGGGATGGTAACTCTATAAGAAGGTACACTAGTGGATTGTGAGCAGGCTGACCAACTTTGAACTACTTCAGCAGGAAGGGTGTGTGTGTGTGTGTGTGTGTGTGTGAGAGAGAGAGAGAGAGAGAGAGAGAGATTGTGCACATGGAGATCATAGCTGCAGGAGACAACTACTATATAGGGGTAGAGGTTATGAGTAGTTGGAAATTATGGAAGCCAGCAGCTACCTAGGGAACAGTGACTGTGAAGGCCATCTGGTGGCAAAAAAAAGAAGTAATATGGAAACAGCTTTTGCTGCACACAGAGAGATGTAGGGGTGGGGGTGGGGGGAATCACTGCTGGGTATCCTAGTGCCCTGGGCTTACTATTATTGATTACAGTTAAATAGGTCCATGATATGGTTTTGCCTTACATGCGAAAGAATGTTAATGTCTCCTAATGGCCCGTGAAGGTCTCTTTATGGGAGATAATTGTTAGGAGATGGTTTCTTCTAGTTAACAGAGAGCTTTCTGGAATGAGTAGGACGGGAAAGCCAGCGGAATGAGGGGAAGACGATAAAGCCTCAGTTTCCCCAGGCAAGGGGTGGGGGCTGTTGTGAGATGTGTGCCTGTGTATGCTGTAACAGAATAAGCACTTTTGAAACTGATATTGTTGTGAAAAGGCAGCACCTATACTTTGGAGCTTCCCGCCAATTCACATCAGGCAGGCACCTTCACTGTATTTTTTCTGTAAGCAAGATCCAAACAGGTAGATGTCAATATGCTTTAATTTCTTTTTAGCTTAGTCCCGATTCTAATTGTTTTTTAAAAATGTTTTTAACTACTTGTTCTTAACTATTTTTTACAGAGAATGAACAGGATTCAGCTAAAAACAAAAACAAAACACCGCTGCTGTGAGTCAAGCAGTGAAACGGAGGGCCTTGAATTTGGAGCTTTGGGGTTCAAGACTTCTAGTCTGGCCCCACATAGGTCCCTGACTGCAGACCTCAGTCCCTGATCTGTTAAATGGAATGATGGGTTGCTTGTGAGGATAAACTCTACAAAGTCTGCAAAGCAGATTAGTGTTGTCTAATTTCCAGGAAGTCCCATGGAGATAAGTGGGACTATCCCTGTATAAACAGTGTTGGGAAGAGGCTATAAAAGTACAATATGAAATAATAATTACGAGCTCTATTCTGGGTTGTGAAAGGGGTGGTGAGAGAGGGCAGCTATATTAGCAAGTGTCCTGGTTATATTCAGAGATGGTAGTAGTATATGGGAGTTGCAACAGTGGACACTTCCAGATGAGCATTGAACCTGAATTGTTTGTAGGAAGATTAGGTGATGTCTGTTCATTGGGTATTCACTTTGATTTGTTTATCAGGACCTTAAGACAACCATTGCATCAAGCATACCATCCAGTGCATTTTCCCGGTCACTTTCCTTATCTCAAAAAGTGGGAGTGGATTTGTCATGCAGGACACCAAATCCACTTTAATTGCACAACCTGAATTTGCTGGTGTATGATTGAATCCCACCTGAAAATAGATGGCCTGCAAGCGCTCAGTGCCAGAAGATTGGTGGGAGTTCATTTGCTTGATGAGGCACAGACTTGTTTCCTGGGCATCCTTCCAGAGGAATATGAACGGAGGGGCTGATGGCAGGAAATAGGTGGAGGCCAAGCCCCCCCTCCCCTGCCATCTTTGTTTGAGTGCTTGGACAGAATTGTTCCCCACCCCAAGCCTGATGTTGTTAACCAGAGTTCCATTAGCATGGATAGCCGCTTGGGCCTTGCCCATTACTTTCTCTCTCCCCTATGCATACTCCCCTCTTCCGGGGGAAACACAATTTCTTATCCGCTACTGCATTGCTGGGGAAAACTCGGCTGTAAATCCTGTCTTCCCTCTCCACTCCCAGGGGTCTAACAGACTAAAGAACATTGTTCTTCTTGAGACAATTATTTAGCAGTGCAATAAATGCACAGCATTAGTTCCCTAGGATTAAGGCTGCAGTCCTAAGCACATTTACTAGGGAGTGAAAACCGTCAAAACATAGTTACAGGTAGGGAGCCGTGTTGGTCTGCCGTAGTCAAAACAAAATAAAAAATTCCTTCCAGTAGCACCTTAGAGACCAACCAAGTTTGTTATTGGTATGAGCTTTCGTGTGCATGCACACGTCTTCAGATACCTGAAGAATCTGAAGTATCTGAAGAAGTGTGCATGCACACGAAAGCTCATACCAATAACAAAGTTGGTCTTTAAGGTGCTACTGGAATGAATTTTTAAATTTTGTTTTGTCAAAGCATAGTGCAACTTACCGTATTTTTCTGTGTATAACACGCTCCCGTGTATAAGACGTCCCCTAATTTGGGGGACCCAAAATTAAGAAAATAGGCGGAGATTGCCCGGAGTTGTTGAGCTTTTTTGAGGGGGGATTGCCCAGGGCCGTTCAGCTTTTGTGGGGAGATTGCCGAAATTCCCTTGCCCACCTGAGCAAAGCTTCCTATTGCAGACGACGCAAAAGCCACCAAACATCTGACCGCAAGCCGCCAGCAGCTGCCTATCGCCTGCCCAACTGAATTGTCACTGCAGCAGCCAATTTTAAAAAGCCCTTGCCGCAGCCAACAATCACGCACAATACCACCGCAGACAATCTCCAGCTCCCGGCGGCAACCAATCCCCAATCACCCCTCTGCACTACCCATGTATAAGATGAGCCCAATTTTTCAACATTACTTTAACGTAATAATTAATGATAATAATAATAATAATAATAATAAATAATAATTTATTTATACCCCGCCCTCCCTGGCCAGAACAGGGCTCAGGGCGGCTAACACCAATAAAACTACAATAAAACATTAAAGAAAAAACAGTTAATTAAAATACGGGTTAAAATACAATTTAAAATGCAGCTTCATTTTAGTAGTAGCCCATAAATCAAAACCATAAGGGGAGGGAAACATAAGGGTCAGACTGAGTCCAAACCAAAGGCCAGGTAGAACAGCTCCATCTTGCAGGCCCTGCTGAAAGATGTCAAATCCCGCAGGGACCTGGTCTCTTGTGACAGAGCGTTCCACCAAGTTGGGGCCAGTACTGAAAAGGCCCTGGCCCTAGTTGAGACCAGTTTAACCACCTTGCGGCTCAGGACCTCCAAAGTGTTGTTATTCGTGGACCTTAAGGTCCTCCGCGGGGCATACCAAGAGAGGTGGCCCCGTGGGTATGAGGGTCCTAGGCCACATAGGGCTTTAAAGGTCAAAATCAGCATCTTAAACCTGACCCTGTACTCCACTGGGAGCCAGTGTAACTGGTAAAGCACTGGATGAATGTGATCCCATGGCAAGGACCCCGTAGGGAGCCTCACTGTGGCATTCTGCACCCACTGGAGTTTCTGGGTCAGCTTCAAGGGCAGCCCCGCGTAGAACAAGTTACAATAATCAAGCCTGGAGGTGACCGTCACATGGATAACTGTGGCCAGATCAGGGCGAGAAAGGTAAGAGACCAACGGCTTGATATGGCGGAGAGGGAAAATGCCAGCTTTGCCGTGGCTGAAACCTGCGCCTCGATGGAAAGGGAGGCGTCAAAGGTTACACCCAAGCTCTTGATAGAAGGTGCTGGCACTAATTGAGCTTCCGCAAAAGATGGGAGTTGGCCCCCCCAACCCCATGTCGTCCCGACCCAGCCAGAGGACCTCTGTCTTCAAAGGATTTAACTTCAAGGCAGCCATCCGTAAAAAATCCTCATCTTATACACGGGAAAGTACGGTACTTCTGCGTAAATATGCATAAGATTGGGCCATCCATCTTATTGAATGCAATCTGACCTCAGTCACAAGTTGTTCTTATAGTAGTTTCAATGGGCCTCATGCTACAATGCTATGGAGACCTCCTTGGGAGTAAGCCCCCTTGAACTTAGTATGATTTACTTCCAATAAACACGCATAGGAATGGGCTGTTAGTCACCACACACTGTAGCTAGATCAGGACTACAGTGTTTTACCCATCTGATGTGTGGGGTCCTCAAGGTAGTCCATATTTCACATACTTAAACTGCAGTATGTTGTCACTGGTAAAAATTCCCCGCACCTGCGCACGCACACAGTGCAATTGTGGGACTTGTTAGATAGCACATGAAATCTCTCAACCGGCAAGTGAAATAACCATCCTGTTTCATTTCTGTGTGATGCTATGAGCACGGGCGATTTGCAGTGGTGTTTCCCAGAGAGTTGAGGGTAGTCTGAAAGATAAGTTGCTGCTTGCGATGAGATTCTCATCACACTTTCACAGCTAGAAATGGGTTTGGGTGGATTTTGTATTGTACTGCAAAGTTCCTTGTTCTTGACACTTTGATATGCCTGATCTACTTCCTGGCACCACCTTCTTTGAGGCTTCTCACTACACCTGTAGCTGGCCTGGCCTTTTAAACGGGTGTTCAGCTTATCCACATTGTTCTGCCTTCTGAGCCGGAACGCTCAAGAGCATTGCTTCCTTACTGGAAGAAGAACGCATCAGCAACACAAACTCAAAAGTGATGCTGCCTTTGGCTAATCTTTGCCTAATTAATGTACAGAACAGATACACCCTTGGCCACAAGAATAAAGTGCCGTGTGGTAGCAGTCTCACTTAGCGCTGTCTCAGAATTCTGTTGCATCCCATGCAAAATAAAAGGTTAACCATATCACTAGCCTACTTGGGATGTTTAGCAATAGGTAATTGCTGTCTTGCTATCCAAAAATAAAAAATAGAATGGATGTTTATTTATTTATTTGTTTGTTTGTTTATTGCATTTAAATCTCAGCTTTCCTCCAAGGAACTTAAGAGTGGTATACATGGTTCTCACAACAATCCTGTGGGGTAGGTCAGGCCGAAAGATAACAACTGGCCCAAGGTCACTCAGTGAACTTCCTGACTGTGTAGGAATTTGAACCCTGGTCTTCCAGGTCCTATTCCAACACTCTAACCAGTAGGTTATATATCTTACCTCTGTGGAAGGAGTATGTGCACATCTGGCTATGTGTAGTTCTTCATCAGCCCCCAGGATCAGCAGCGCAGTGGAAGGGGAACTCAGGGGAGCACAGTTCCATGATACTTATTCTGAGTAGTGTGAGGGCTATCACGTGCCTGAGATGACAGTGAGGTTTTCCAGTTTGCTTGTGGCAGAATAACAGAAGTCAGAGAATGAGGGAAATAAGCAAAGAAGGATGCCAACTTCATGCTAGTGGTTTGAACTTCTTTGCAATAATGTTTGCATTTCTTTTCTTTCACCCCTGGTTAAAGCATATCTCTTCTGCCAGGCATCTGACAGCTGGTTGATGACCTATTCAGGGTGTTTTTTTCCAGCTGGAACCAGTGATTATTTTTCGGGGGGGACGCATACCCCTAAACATTTTGTGAATCTGATTTTGACCTCATTGAGGGGCAGTATTTCAATATGAGTAGGAAAATGAGAGTATCCACAAACCTTTTTAAAGAAAAAAAGCAGTGACTGGAACTCACCGGAACTCAGTTCCGGCACCTGTCAGGTGAGTGCCATCGCCATTATAAGAGAACAAGGGAGGAGTTCATTGTGAGTTCCAGCACCTCTTTTTCTAGAAAAATAGCACTGGACCTATTGGATTAAACGTTCTTCTGCTGAGTTTGTGTGTGCCTACATTTTTGGGCTCCACTTGAGGGTTTGGTTGTGAACCTCCTGCAGGTATTGCTGTGTAAGCCATCACGACGAGCTCCCGCACTTCAGCCTTTAGCTGCCTGTGATGCCTTATTAGATTCTGCACAGATCGAAAGGATACATGATACTCCTGTACAAACCACAATTAGTTGCAGGGTCTATGCAGGCTCTCAAGTTAACACATGTAGATTGGGGATGCTGCATGTCACAGCAATCCTTTACTCACTTAGCATGGAAGGCCTTTAAAAGAGGATTCGACATATTCATGGAGGATAAGGCTGTCCATGCGTAGCAGCCGTGTTGTTGGCTGTGCACTTCCTCCACCATCGGAGACAGCATTTCTCTGAATACCAAGTGGGGAGAGTGCTGTTTTCATTCCGGTCCTGCTTTGGGGGGCTTTCCATGGGATTCTGGTTGGTCACTGAGAAAACAGGATGCAGGACAAGATGTACCTTTGACCTGACCCAGAGGGGTGTCTCTTCTTACGTCTTATGTTCTTACATAGTAAATGTGGATTGAAAAGGCTCTTGTGTCACACGATGCAGGTACTGCTAACCCCCCCTTCACAGGGTTTCATTTGGCTCACAGCCTAGCGAAGCATTTGTAGTCTGTGTAATGGACATGCTGCTCAAAGCTGGCACATGGAGTCTAGGAATTGGCATGACATTGATCGTACCACAAAGCATGAAATATGTTTGTGGTCATGGATTCCATTAGCTTCTGAGGAACCTTCAGGAACTTCCATTTTACTAAGAGGCAGGTTTGTAACTCGTGATTGTGGGGAAAACTCCATGCTTATATTCTAAATTAGGGCTATAAAAAAGTAAAGGGGGGCTGGGTAAGTATTTGGGGAGGGGGACTTCTCAGATCCAGCTACTGAACTTTTCCCTACGCAAACAGATCAATCCCATCCCAAGGAAAGGGGGTCAAATCATTCCCCCCATGCTAAATATTTAAATCAGAAGAGCCCCCAAATGGAGAGTTTAAGTGGGTAGACACTTGAAAGCACTATGCTCTTGTTAGCCCTTATCCCACACCTTGTTGGTGTCTGTCTATCTCAGGAGACAATGGAGGAGTGCGCCTTTGGGGGTGAAGTCAAACTGCTGGAAGGTTGCAATGCCTGCTGTGGCTGTGGAGAATGATGTGGGAGAGACATGTTTTGTTGCAGCTGAGGCAGATGAAGGCGTCTGGTTGGTTGTGCTGCTGCAGATGCACCATGGCATAAATCAGGAGACCACCACCTCCAAACAAAGTTTAGGTATGCACACACTTGAAAGCACTATCCTCATGTTGGCCGTCATCCTACAGCAGTAGGAGGATATCCCATCACCACCTAATGGAGACAGGATGCATTGCCATAGAAGGGATAGCCATTGGCTACATTCACAGGATGAGTGTGGTATGGTTCAGATGCCAGGGTGAGGGAAATTACATGGCCTTCCTAAAATGAAAGGTTCATAAAATGGCAAGATTATTATTGCAGGGTGATGGTATATACCGAGCTTTTACCAATCTGCCCCCCAAATGTTTTGGACTAAAACTCCCATGAGCTCTAGCAAGCATAGGCTGATGGGAGTTGTAGCCCAGAACTTTCGATGGGGGCCAGGCTGGTATAACCCATGTAGTGTCTGACTCTCTCTTGCCTGCTGCCACACTGGAGTGATGTGCTGGGGTTGTTCTTAGCCTCTCTAGTTTGTAACTACCAAGTAGTCAATATAAAACAGTGTTGACCCAGCAGAGAAGTTGTTGTCGCCATTTCTGAGCCTCACGCTGGCAAAGTCCATTCCACACAGTACTTGCAAATATCAGCATCCTTGCTGGAAGGACAGGGCATTTTTCCCAGTGACAAAACTGGGATGGTCTGAGTGCTGGGGAAATGTGTGACATCCCTTCAATAACAGCTCTTCCTCAAGAGGAGGGGACTGGATCCTGTGCGTATGTTGCCTAAAACAGCAAAACTCCATTTTTTTGCAAAGGCAGTAGGAAAGGAGTGATGTAAGATAGGATAAACCCTTCTACTTCTTCTGAGTTGATCAAACAGAGGGAAATAAATGGACCATTTAACTGCTTCATTTCAAATGACCGTGTGCTTAATGTTGTTAGCATTTTACCAAGTTCTAAGTGGGTATGGAAGGGGGGAAATATCTAATTTAATTTGATCCATTAGTGGCTTCCAACCTTGAATGTTGGCATCTGATACTTCATGAGGGTTGGTTTTTTGTGTGTTTTTTTTGTTCTCCTTTGTGATGTTCAAAGGCTGTCATTCTGGTATGGATGGGATGGCATCAGCTGTGCCTGGCTCACATGGTCTTCTTGAGCAAGGGAAGGGATGAACAAGGAAGTGATGTCTCATAGCGGAGGCCATTTTTTAATCTCTAGGCAACCAAAGAGGGATCCAGCAGGGAGACTGAATCCCTCAGACTGGAAATTAGCTGCAAACATTTAGCCGGGAAGATAATTGGCAGTTGGAACAGTTTGCCAATGGATGGTGCTTGATTCAGCGCTAGATGTCTGATATCCCATAAAAGGTACAGACACTATCTAAGAATTACTGGAGGGGTAATATATGCACCCTGCTGTATGACGGAAATCAGACTGATGACAGAAAGGCCCTTTACAATCTGTGATTCACTGAAACCCAAATTAGACAAATTGCATTACAGATTGCATTCTTAAGCACATGCTCTTATTGGGGAGCAGGCTTAATTGAAATCAGTGGGATGTGCTGCTGAGTAAATGTGTTCAGGTGACATTTCTCCATTTGGCCAGTGCTGATATGCTCCCTGGCCTCGTTCTTGGTAAAGTCACCGTTGTCAGAGCCATCAGCTGCATACATGGATGGCGTTTCTATCTATCGCTGTGATAAATCAATATAAATCTGAGCGCTAGAGGGCAGCACCCAACAAAAAATGAGATGCGATGTAAAAATTGCCTTACAATTTGGTTTGGACAAAAACATTCTTTTAAACGCCCTCCTACAGGGCTTATCGTCATTTATTGCCTAGCAGGGAGGCCTGTTGTGGGAAACATAATTTTTTTTGGAAGCAATAACTGGGAGGGATCTACTATTATGGGGCAGGGGGCTAATGGTATAGATAGGACAATGGCTGAACTGGAAAATAGTATGTTTATGGTTCAAACTTCATTTTAAAAGGACCTGAAAGCCTCATATCATCACTTCCTTTGCTTGCCAGAGCAAGCAGAAGCTGTCAATTACCCTTGCGCTCCAGCAGATCACCTCATCACTCCTTCTCTGAAGAAAGCCCCCAACCCCCCAATTCTCATAACAAGGCAACCAGAAGAGGCTTTTGAAATGCCAAACAAATTCATAACATCTGTACTGACTGCAATAGAAATGGATTACGCCCACAAGGAGGGAGCTGGAGACCCCAAAATGAGATAACTGGCTGGCAACATCTGAGAGAATGTGGAAGATGTGACCTCGCTACCACAGGGCTATGCAGAAGCATGAGGAGAAACTACTTGGCCCCAAGATCTAGTAGTCATAGGGAGATATTCCGTTAACAGTGCTAATGCTTAGGACACCAAAACAGGGGTAAGCAGTGTGCTGGACTCCAGCTCCCATTATCTCTGACCATCGGCCATGCTGATGGCAGTTGGAGCCCAACAACACTGGGAGCACAGTAAGTTAGCTAACCCTGCAGTAAAAGATCAGGGTGGTTTTTGCTCATGTAAATTAGTCCACCATTATTTTCTGTGTCTTGTCATTTCATACAAGGCATGCCTAGCCCTAGAGGACTTGCTAACTGGTTTATTCCCCCCCTCCCCCCCATTCCGCAGGTGGGTGTTCTTGCACGAGAAGGCCTACCAAATAAGAGACACCTCCATTGAGTCCTCTGTGGTGACCAAGGTGAAAGGCTTTGGCAAGTACAGTAACCAGGTCATGGACACGGCTGATTATGTTACGCCTCCACAGGTAAGCCTTCACAAAGTTCTCAGGGAGGGAGTTGGGTTGAAAGGGTATGGAGCTCTCCCGAGGCTGAAAGATGGGCGGGCCGTTTGGTTTGTTGATGTCTGAATAAATAAATCATTTTTATTTTTGTCGTCATGATTTCAATTTAATAGTTGCTTGCTATGTAAGGAGTCTCTAAGTTACTTGAGAGCATAAAGTATAATATAAAATCAGAAAAAAGCAATACAAGCTATACAATAACCCATAGCACAGACCCAATAAAGCAGCAGCAAACCCTTCAGCAGCAGAGTATGGCTTCAGCAATAATTTGGGGCAGGGAGGTAATGTGGCTCCCCTCTCAGAAAAATATTCCCTGTTATAGTTTGTGCATGACTGTGCATCACTTTTTGTAACAAAGATTACTATATACCTGATTACTAGCAAGGGAATGCATATGCTGACTGACTCCATGTAATAACATTGTTTGTGAAGTGATAATAATGTTCTAGAACCGTGGTTCCCAAAATGGGGCACACGCCCCACAGGGGGGCAATTTGATTTTTAGGGGGGGGGAATTTGAGAATGAGTTATTAACAGTGAATGGCCTTTTAGGCTTCCTCCACGTGAATATGAGTTCACTTTTTGAATAAAAAAGGTTGGGAACCACTGTTCTAGAATGACCCATTCAGCATGGCCGGCCTGCCCATGAGGCTGGTTGAAGTAGCTGCCTCAGGTGGTGGAAGTTGAAAAGACAGTGCCCCCATGGGTGCCCCCTGCCGTGCCGCCAGTGGAGAAGTGGCACTGGCACTGGTATCACTTCTCCACCAGTGACTGTCCTTCAGCTTCCCAGGTATGGGCAGCATGGCGACACATTCCCATTTCATCTCAGGAGGCAAAACAGGATGCGCTGCCCCTGCCATTCAGTCATACGAATCACCCCCTGATGTTGCAGCCATCAAGTGATAAATGTGCAGGCATGAACCAGATATACATACGTAATATTTTAATGGTGCAAATGAGCCATTTGTGTTTGCACACAAACAGTAAATGGAAAAGGATCAGGGCCTATGGTGTCTGTATTTTAAAAGAACAAACATGGCTGCACAATTTCAGATGCTCAGTTGTGAGTATTTCTTGCCCTGGGGAATCACACCTGAGTGCAAACCTTGTTTAAAGCACTTCTAAATGCCTTCTTGGAAAATAAGTGTCTTAATGATTTCATGCTTGCTCACTTGCCACGGCAAACGGTGCCATAAAGGAGGATTGTTGGTAGCAATACAGTACAGATGAAGGTATGAAGAGCCTTTCTTGTGGATCTAAGGCAGCAAGTAACTGGCATCAGCAGAACTGTAGATAAAAGTTTATTGGAGTCTTGAGTCGGACTATTCTATGGATATGCGTTCAGATTTCATTGTACCTTCAGCATCAAATCTGAGACAGGTCAGTGAGCACAAGCAATTTGTGTTCTAAATATATATACACTGTACTTCTCAGGACCGCAGATAACCCTTCTATGCTGTCCCCCCCAACCCCACTGGAACTGTAACAGAGTTCTAACGTTGCTCTCATGTTCCCCAACTGAGCAGGAAATTCCCAAAACATGCTCAGGCCCATTAGGAATACAAAGAATGCAGAAGAAGAGTTCCATGAATAGAAAACATTGCGGGTAAGAACATGAGCTGTTCCCACTCCCCACCCCCAAAGATGATAGGAACAACTGCTCCGAATTCTGGAGCCATCAACTTCATCCCAGTTGTTTCTGATTTTTGCTGCATGTTGCAGTGAAACTGATGGATGGGGTGGAATCCAAGAGTAAGGCTTAGTGAAGGATATGGCGTCCTGAGGTCTCTGCCAGCATTTGCAAGTGGACTGAACCCAGGCAGCTGAATGTGGACCTCTGCCGGGGAGTTGGGGACAACAGGATAGGATTGTCAATTTGTTTGACTTGGTCACCGCAAACTGAGTTTTCATGGGGCTTAATAAAAGAGCGTTCATGTTCATTTATTTGATTTTAAAATCTTTAAACTGCCCTTTGTCCAGACAAATCCTCGGGTGGTGTAGAATAAGAACAATATACTGTTGTGTGCCACCCCAAGATCCAATTGGTGTGAGGATCCAAGGTTTACCCAAGGTTTGTGCTTCCTTTGGAAAGAGGGACAGCAGAGATTGTGGTGTTGTTATGATATATGGCTTATTTACACATATATACAACCTGAGCCTACGATGGAGGTTCTCACAGCATTAACACTCCAAGAGGGCCTTGTTTATCCCATAGCCACAGCCTTGCATTCACACACAAATCAAACATCACTCTGACTTTCTGGCTTCCCAGCATGCAGCATTTTTCCAGCTTCTAGCTCACACCCTTCAATTCTTCGCTCTCACCTTTGTCTTTCTAACTACCAACAAGTTTGGTATCTGGCACAGATCCACTTCCTTTGTTCTTTTAATGTCCCCATAACCTAGGCTATCACCTCACCAGGAAGCTAGCCTGACTCTTCTAGGAATTTTAATCCCATCTTATATTACACTTGCTGGACAGGGGATAGAAGAGTTTCAGCATACAGCCTACTCCCCGCCTTCCCACCACCAGCCAATTCATAACAATACAATAGAATCAAAACAGAATTCATCATAATAAAGATACACACACCCATTCCCTGTTACACCCCACCCAACTCCCTGCAAATACCACACACTCTTTTTTAAAAAAATAAATTTTATTTTCCCATTTTTCCCAATAGTATTTTGACATAAATACAATCCAGTATTTTTCAGCAAATATATGCAAATGCCACAGTCTTAAACTGGCATCAAATAAATTGTAAAGTCAAGCTTTTGGGGGGCGGGGGGGGGGGAATTGCCATGTCAAATGGGTCCTGTGCTGTTTATGGCCTTAAAAGTATGCACCAGGACCCATCCGTATTTCTTAATGACTTTTTATGGTCTCCTGAATGGGCAGTTTGCCAGCAGGGCTGGAATATGGGACGGTTCTCAGCAGTTGTGTACATGAGAAACAGCACTGGCAATTTAAATAGGCAACAAAAACAGACTGGCAGGATGGGGAGAAAGTCAGACTCTTGTGGTTGGCTGAAGTTAGCTGGAACTGGAACTGGGGTGTTCAGCAGCTGCTACCTACGTGTGGGATGTCTGTTTGCCTCCAGTCGGCTTGCCTATTTGAAGGGGGAGGGGGACAAATATTGCAAAGAAAACCAGAACTCAGTTGATTTTGTAGAGAACTCATCCTGGCAGCAGAGCCCCTGAAGCTCTTTACCACTCGGGGAAACAGCAAATGTGTAATCTCCTAGCACACACCTTCCTCAATTAGGGGTGGGAATCAACTGTCTCCCCCTTTTGCTTAGTGCTAGACCAGGGGTCAGCAAACTTTTTCAGCAGGGGGCTGGTCCATTGTCCCTCAGACCATGTGGGGGGCCAGACTATATTTTATGGGAGGGGGGAATGAACGAATTCCTATGCCCCACAAATAACCCAGAGATGCATTTTAAATAAAAGCACACATTCGACTCATGTAAAAACACGCTGATACCCGGACCATACACGGGCTAGATTTAGAAGGCGATTGGGCCGGATCCAGTCCCCGGGGCCTTAGTTTGCCTACCCATGTGCTAGACTGAGCAGTTTGCATTCCTTCATCCTTAAGCATTTTTAGAAAATTATCTGAAGGCATTTCCTGTTCTGCATGGCAGGTCATGGGTCAGGAATGTTGGGTGGCTGTGAAGGGGCCGCCCATCTCCTGGGCCCAGTGCTCCTGATTCTGAAGCAGCTGCAGCCAACATTTCAACTCCCCACCCAGTTTCTGTCGGGGATTTAAATGGCGGCTCCCAGCCACAGGCAGTGCTTGCCAGCTAGAGCATTGTGTCATGTTACACCCCCAGCATCTTTCACCAGGGTAAAGATGGGGGGGGGGTTAAGGTGAAATACACCAGCATGCAAGTTGTTGTATTTGAACATCATTAATGGATTATAGTATGCTTTGCTGTTTGTCTTATGGTTCAGTTTCCCTGCACCCCCCCCCCCACAAATGGGTAACACATATATTTGATACATTAAATTAATTTTGTTTTTTTGTTTTTTTTAAAAAAAAGACGGCACCTGAACAGGGTAGAAAATCATCCTGGCTTGCTGCTGTGCCTTTTAACAGCATCTTACTCAGCAGAGATCAGCAAATGAAACCTTTTATGTCCTGGAGATAAGCATAATAATCTGCTAATGTCTTTACAGCTACAGTGGTACCTTGGTTCTCGAACTTAATCTGTTCCAGGAGTCCATTCGACTCCCAAAACTGTTTGAAAACCAAGGCGCAGCTTCCAATTGGCTGCAGGAGCATCCTGCACTCAAGTGGAAGCCGCACTGGACGTTTGGCTTCCGAAAAGCGTTTGCGAATCGGAACACTTACTTATGGGTTTTCAGTGTTCAGGAGCCAATTTGTTTGACAACTAAGCCATTTGAGAGCCAAGGTACCACTGTATTCATAAAGGGATAAAGGACGGAGATGGTGTACACAACATCACTTGTTTAAAATGCAGCTAGGTCATTTTTTGGCTGTGGAAACATCCACTGGTGTGCACACAGCATTAGCTGCAATCCATATCTTTCCTGCACCCTATCTCTCCCCCCCTAAATAGTGTGTTTTGATGTGTTTCCTCCCAAACCAACTTCGATCCAATATCGATCCAACAAAAGGGACAACCTTGCTGCTTTTTAAGCTGGTAACATGTACACAATTCTTTTCTCATTTTGGATTCGAAGCTGGGTAAAATACATCAAAACTCAAGATTTAGTAAGGAACGGCAGGACTGATACAAGATAAATATGGATTGTGGCTAATGTGTGTATCCTGCTTTTCAAACCAGCAGTGGGAGTGCACTCTAAACGGAGTAAAGGGAATGTGCGGTTCAGCGAAGGCTCAGACATGGAGGGGACACCTCCAAACTCCAGCATCAGCCAGAGCCGAGCAGCTTTTCAGAGAGCTGCAAGGGGGAGGAAGAGTCAGCAAAAAATGCTTTCCCCCTTCCTTCAGCAGAAACACCCCAACAGTGGAACTCTGCTCATAGGAGCTCAAGTTCTAAGCCACACGTTTCAATTTTGCTTGCCGAAAACTGCAACAGGGGAGGGGAACTGCCATAAAATGTTTTGGAAACTCCGAGTAACCTTTTTTCATTGGCAGACGTAGGAAAGTTGTGGTGCAGAAGAGAACTTTCCTTCTTAACTTATTGGAAAATTCAGAGTAATTCCAAGCACAGAAACCAGCTCTGTTTTTGTTTTCCTGCCCAGTCCCGAGGCAGATGCTTGAAAAAGGGAAACTCATTTTCTCCTAAGAGTTGTGGCTTCTTATTTCCAGACTTGACATTCCAGAACATAAGGGCTGCTCTGTGCTGTTTGTTTCAAAGTGGGACCTTGTTTCAGGATCACTTTACATGGAAATTTAGTTACTTCATTTTATGAACCAGAGATTCCAGGTAAGCTGTGCGGGAGAGGGGGAGATTTGAACTCGCGTCTCCCCAGTTTCATGCCAATACTCTAATACACTCACCACATTGCCTCTCTTACTTTTGTTTGTCCATCTGTGTAAGCATTGTGAGGAGCCAGGGTCAATCTCAGTTCCTAGTGCCTGTGTGAAAAATGCAGCTGCAAGCATTCAGTTTTTTTAATCGTGTGAACACCTTTAGGTATTTAGGCGCCCCTAGGTGTGGAACATTTTACAAGTGCGCCATACAGATCCTTAGATTATATTGAAATTACACAGCTTTAAAAAAAGTTATTCTTTATTGAAAAATAAAAAGGATTTTTGTACCCAGTATAAAATTACAAATGAAAAGAATAACCATTGTTAAAATACACCTGTGAAAAAAAGATTGTACTTATCCTAAACTTAACCTAATACTGTGTTTATAAAGATGATTTCTAAATATTGTTAATTTTGTCTTTGGCAAGTCTACATTTGTACTTGTTTGTCTATTCCCAGTAACAAGGGCTGGTGAACTGGCTGGCTTGGCTCCCACACCTTCTTGCCTGCTTACTCTGAGGCAGCCTTTGCTCCTGGCAACCAGCACCCTCTGGCTGGCCCCAGAGGCCCCATTTGCCTGGGGAGCTTGTGGCCAGGGCTGGTGCAGTAAACGGCTGTGTAAGCCTTTGGGAGGCAGAGATGCAGAAGGGCATCAGAGGAGGGAGGGAAGAAAAGTGGGACGGAGGCCAGGGATGCTTGCAGCACCCCTGGCCATCATTCAAGGCACCCCAGGGTGCCACGGCACACTGGTTGAAAACCACTGGTGTACAGGATGCAGGTTCTCTGCACAAGTTCCCTTTCAAATATTAAATGCAAAAGTGACTGTGCATATGGCTGAGTAGCTGCAGAAGAACAGCCAGAGAAAAGGGAGGGGTTTAATGTTAATAATAACAATAACAATAACAATAACAATAACAATATTTTATTTATTTATACCCCGCCCATCTGGCTGAGCTTCCCCAGCCACTCTGGGGAATACAGCATTAAAGCTTAACCCTTTCTGATGAAAAAAATCCTCCCCAGCAACTTTTCCCCCTGGGAAGGAAGGGTACCCCCCAAAACCTTTTCCTCCCCAGTGGTGGAAAAGCTTGAGTGAGTGCTCAAGGGAGGGAGAGGGAGGGTTTTTAAAAAAGAAAAAGAAAAGTGTTGTTGTTTTAAAAAAATATATGCACAATTGCATCTCCTTTCCAATTCGTTGCCTCGGGGTCTTATTTTTAAAATTCTAATCCATTGCAAAAATAGTCACAGGTCTGGTATGGTGAATTTTTGCAAACTTATTGAGAGTTGGTTGCAGCTGACTAACATTGGTCGATGTGGACAGGCAGGCTCATAAAGAAATGTTTGCTTGTCCCCGTCTCTTAGTCTGTGCTTTGATCCTTGCCTGGGTGTTCTCTGATTCTTTCCCACCCATTGCTTCACTTGGCATACTCTTCTTCAACTTGTCGTTTGGGTTTAATTTTGCATTTTATTTTCTTGGTCTGTGACTGTGGTAACTCATTTGTTCACCATTCTTCTGTCTCTATGCCCTTCCTTGTGACAACGTGAACTTTCCCCTCCTTTCCCACCCTGCTCCCACCTGCTCCTAGGGAACATCGGTCTTTGTGATCATCACCAAACTCATTGTGACGAAGAACCAGTTCCAAGGCATCTGCCCTGATGTAAGCAGGTCAGGCAAGAGAGGGTGAAGGGAGGTGGCCTGGGGCTGTGGTTTCTCCTGCCATGTCTTCCGGGCTCTAGACAAAAAGGGGCTTAGCCTTTGGTGCTTCCCTCCTTAGCTATTCCTTTGAGAAGACTATCCTGCTGGCAGAGGAAGCTTTGCAGCAGGAGCTGTCAGTGTGGTGGGGCAGAGCTGCAGAGCCGCCCTCCTGACGCCACGTAGCTTGCTTGAAGCGGATGTGCTGGGGCACAGTGGCAGCAACGTGGGCACAGCCAATCCGGTGTTCTTGCTGGTGGCAGCTCTGACGTTCCGCACTGGCCTGTTCATTTTGGAGTATAAAAAGCTGCCTTCACCGTCTAGCTCAGAACTGCTCACACTAATTGGCTACATTGGTGGCAGAGAAAGGGGCGGGGTGGAGTTCATGGATTTTATTAATGGGCTCCCTCCAAAAAAGAAATTTAAGGACTGATTGTGAATGAGACAGGGTGAGGATCGGGAGCTAAGATATTCTTAGCTCCCTCAGGAGTCTGAGCATCTCAGAACAGGGGGACAAGGTAACTGGGAACTAATATTGGAAACATTAGAGGTTTCTTCTCTCTGCCCATCTCTTCTCTTTCCTGTTTCATAAATAGCCGGGGTACAAGTGCAAGGGGGACAAAGACTGCAAGAAGCCCGTCCCCACCGCCACAGGAGCAGGTAAGCAACGGACAACAGACAAGGAAGGAACAATGTATAAATGAAAGGCTTGTCTTTACCTTTCATTGTCACTGTGAAATGTATTGGCTTTGGCTCATCGTTGGCAGAATGATCTAGACACCACTGACCTACTTTTTTTCATACCCAATGATCTGAGGGCACATGAATGATGCTGTGACAGTCCGGGGGGGGGGGGAGCCAAGCTGGGGCTGGTTGGTACCTGGATTGCTCTGTACAGAATTTTATTTTTAGAACAATTTCTGGGATGACGGGAAGGATAAATAGTTGGAATGTGTGGAACTTATTTTTCCCACCATACGTTCTTGAGTTGTGTTGAAACAAGACAGGCATCCAGCACAGGAAAAAATGAGGTTTAAAAAGAATAATGTGGCTTTAGAGATTATTTTGATTAAGACTGTCCGCAGGCTCTAGCTGAATCAGCTCCCAAACCAAATCAGGCCAGTTCAGGTTGACCTGGGGTTCAGCCAGGTTGAGGCAGTCATGGATTGCCCCACAGTGGATTGGATGTGCTTGATCAAAAGGCGGGTGGTTGGGTGGCGGCTGAGGAGAGCGCGGAGACTGCAATGGACCCCTTATAATGAGCTGGAGAGTTCCATCCAGTTTTGCTATTTGAGGTGAACTACAAATTCTCAAGTAGTCTTTGAATGAAGACATGGCTTCCTGACATGCTGAGCTTTGCTTTTTTTTACCATGACATTTTCCTGATGGAGTGTTTCCTTCTGCAGGGATCCTGACGGGCCGATGTGTTAATTACAATTCCACTTTCCAGACCTGTCAGATCCAGGGTTGGTGCCCAGCAGAGGTGGACAATGTAAACGTGTAAGTGCTTGGACCATGATTATTTCAAAGAGAAGGAACATTGACCCCACTGTGAACCTTCAATCAGAGCTGGCGCCCTAGCAAACTGACTAGTCAAATAATGCCCAGCAGACCCGCCAACTCTTGTCTTGAGGCCAAAAATGTCCTTGCGTAGGTGGTGGCTTAGCTTTTCCATTTGTTTTAATCTGACATGGAAGGACAGGATGGTTCTTTGACAGTTATCCCAGTACTGATCCAGTGCCTTCTTAAGACTTCCAGCTGCAGGTGACTTGAGCATCATAACCAGGCCCCAACTGGTGGATGCATGAAATGTCTTAGTGCCTCACAGACAAGTATAGGCTTGTTCCTGATTCAAAATGAGGAAATCCCCCATATCTTATTTCACCTGGTTATTTCATTTGATTAAAAGGTGGTGATGTGGTCATATCCTTCACCACATCTGAGGCAGCAGTCTTCTTCAGGAGGTCAGGACATGCCCCACTGAAAGCACAGACAGCCCCTGTCCTCCAACGAGGGAAATGGCTAGCGGGGCTTAGGAGGAATAGCCAGGAGACATTTGCCACTTGAGGCAGTCCCCTCACTTTGCCTAATGGCTGGGCCAGCCCTGCAGTACTCTGCCCTGTTCCAAATGATCAATTTCCTTTACTTTTCTCCCTGCAGACCTGTCATGCTAGAAGCAGAAAACTTCACCCTCTTCATTAAGAACAGCATCCGCTTCCCCCTGTTCAATTTTGAAAAGTGAGTAAAGGGGCTCCAGCCTATAAACCTGAGTGGGGATGGCATTCAGGAATGTGGCTCCCGATACGCTTGGTCTGAAAGCTGCCCTCTGGAAATTCCCCTTGGCCAGAGGTTTCCTCATCCCGCTGGAATTGTGTTCTCTGGCAGTTGCAGGAGGGCTCCATGCAAAGGGTGGGAAGTGGTGGCACTGACTGACAGTGGCTGGGCTGCAACAGGCCTCCTGGGCCATCAAACCAGTCTGCAGCATAGGGCAGGGACAGGGAACCGTGTGGCTCTCCCCCCACCCCCACCAATACTCCTGGACTCTAGTTCCCATCAGTCCCAGCCAGCATGCCCAGTAGTCAGAAATGATGGGAACTGTATCCCAGCAACACCAGTTCCCTATCTGCAGCATAGGCATAGCCACTGGATGGCATTTGGCTGAGTATGTCATCTCTGTCAAGCACAGTATGATGCAGATTCCCAAATCTGGTGGCCACCAGGTGATGGGGATTGTAGTCTGGAACACCTGGAGGGCATGGCTAATGTGCAGTGTAGTGGGTGCAGGTTGCATGTCAGCAAAGCAGGCTCTTCCACACCAATATTATTCTTTCCTCCCTGGAGATTCAGGTTTGGGGGGGGGGGTTGTGAACAATAAGAATGTGAATTGTGCCAGCAAGCATCTGTGGAGAAGGAGAAAGAGAGAGAGAGAGAGAGAGAGAGAGAGAGAGAGAGAGACCCCTATAATGACCTCTCTCCCTCATAATGTCTCCAAGCAAGTTATTTTTATTTATTTTATTTCATAAAATTTATATATTTAGCATTTATTGATTGTAAGGTGAAACCTCAAAGCAGTCCATATTGACTCTGCATTCCCCTTGGCCACTGGGGAGAGTCAGGGCTCGCTGTTTCATTGTCAAGCAAGTTGTGCCGCAGAAGTAGACTGGGAAGGTTCAGAGAGCAGCTCACACATCCCCTAGCAAACCTTGCAGTTCTTCTGGCTGGTCTCTTTCACCCTGTGATGGCTGTGGCTCTAGTGTCACCTCCAATTACTTCTAGGTGAAGGGAGCAGTAGGGCAGGCTCCTCAGACCGAGTTGCATTGCGCCACCAAGCCCTGACTTTTCTTGCCTCTGACTTTCCTCACTCTCTTCATTTGGGGCTCAGCAGTTCTCATCTTAGTCTGACTTGCTTTGCCTCCTTCCCAGGGGAAACCTCCTACCCAACCTCACAGCTGAAGATATCAAGAGATGCCGCTTCAACCCGGTGGAGCAACCCTTCTGCCCCATCCTGCGCCTTGGGGATATAGTGAAATTTGCTGGGCAAGACTTTGCCCAATTGGCTGACACAGTGAGTATTACTGCTGCCAATACGAAACACTAGGATGGGTGCTCTGTGGCTGCTGTGGGGTAGTGGCCAGGATTGCAGTTTTGAGCATTGGAAGCCTAGTTTCTGACCTGAATCTCCCCCTCAGCTGTGATGCTTTCTCAGTGGTCTTGGGAACTCACTGATACACAGTCTGTCCTACCTTGCAAGGCTGCTGAAATTCTAAAGTGCAGCTCTGATCTCCTTAGAACATCACAACCATTGAAATTAATGGTGCAACAGTGGTACCAGGATGAAAGCATTTGCAAACAGAGATTGCAGGGACCACAGGTATGGGGTTAGGGTAGATAACTTTATGGTGATGTTCATAAGATTACACCCCTGTACTTTGGAGATGCCACTCCTCAGCCCCTCCAAATAGAGCTCTGAAACCCTGGAGAGCTGCTGCCACTCAGTGCGGACAATATTGAACTTGATGGACCACTTTCTGAAAACTTGGGTGCAACTCAGCTAACAGATAGTGTAGGAATCTGGAGGTTGCTTACTCTAGCTCTGTACCTTTGATCTCTACGCTGACTTTTCTACCTTTTGGTATTAAGGCTGATATCCTTAAGCTGCATCCTCTCTAACTTTCACCTCCCTCTCCCTCTCCTCTTTTGGACCTTGAGATGAGAGGTCAACAAAAGAAGCAAGCATATTATTTCTCCAGCCTAGTTAGCTTAAAACTAGAACCTCTACCCTACCCAAGTTATGTGCTTCCCATAATAAAATCATTTGCTACTTTTCCTCAACAAGGGTCTGTGTGTGACCATAACAGGCAAACCTGCACACTTACAGTTATAAGCTGTCTCAATTCCATTACTGGTGGTCTCGGTCTCTGTGTAAAGCAGATTCCTATCATCCTAATGGATCCAGAATAGCTACCACTCATTCACAATCCATTGGTAGCCAGGATTAGAACCCCTCACACCATGTGTAAGCATGAATTAAAAAGATGGTGGTGGGGAAAACCCATCCTTGTACTATACAGTGGTACCTCGGTTTTCGAACGTAATACGTTCCGGAACACCGTTCGAATTCTGAAACGTTTGAAAACCCAAAACTCAATACGGAAGCCTTAATACAGAAAACACAATATGGAAAACAGTACGGAAGCTGCGTGGCATGTTCGACTTCCAAGGTGCATTCGAAAACCGAAATGTTTGTCAACAAAGACGTTTGGAAACCGATGTATCACTGTATTTTAGTGACCCTAATTTGCACAATAAAATAATTAAAGACCACAGAAGCATAATTTAATTAGTATGACATGATCTTGGGCCACCTGCCTTTAGACCTGTCTGTGAAGTTCCTTGTCCCTGCTTAGTGGCCAGAAACTCCCTGCTCAGCTTGTAGGGAGATTTTGCCTGAGGGTGTGTTTTTCTGCACAGGGTGGGATAATAGGGATCAAGATCGGATGGGTGTGTGACCTGGACCATTCTTGGGATCGCTGCGTCCCCAGCTATTCGTTCAACCGGCTTGATGGTGTCTCTGAAAAGAACAAAGTCTCTAATGGATACAATTTCAGGTAAGTGTGGAGCTTTTCAGTCCTCAATCAAAACCAGTGCTCGGAATCCCTTCCCCTGTTGCAATGACTTGGTAAATTAAGATTCCTCCCCACATTCTCACCCTTGCTGTGGCTTGTAAACATGCTGTCCTGTGCACTTTCGCGCCCACCCACACATCTTCCACCTGCTTTCCCCCCGGTGCAGATACACCAGAGGCAGCCCTCATTATATATGACTTGTCAGCTGCAGAACTCGTCTCGCACATAAGACACATCTGCTCTGTACATAAATGCAGGTGTCCTTACTCTGCCAGCCACACACAGAGAACAAAGGGGAAGAATGGCAGTTCAGTAGCAGAGGGCACAATTTGCATGCAGAAGGTGCCTGGTTCAACCCTTGCTATTTCTAGGTGAATTATCAGATAGGTGAAAGAAAGAAAAATATGTTTGAGAATTTGAAGCGCTTCTGTCAGTCAGAATAGACCAACAGTCATCAATGTTTTGAGACCTGAGACCCACCTTTAACCCAGACTTGCATTTGACGCCCATTTCTTATCCTTTTTACCACATATTTTGTATGATAGTTGTGCCACTGTTGCAGCCCATCTTAGTTCAGGCTGTGAGAAAGCACTGTTTCCTGACACACCCACAGCAGACCAATGGAGTAGAAGGTATTGAGCTAGCGAATTATTAGTCTAGCAAATTTTGAAACAGCTTCCTGTGTATTTTGGGGTCCCAGCACCTTTAATTGTTTCATTTATTTCTCAGGGTGCGATAGGAAGTTTTGTCACTATGTACTTGTGTGTTGAGGCACTCGGGGTTCTACCCAACGAAGTTGCCCATTTCCCCAAAGACTTTTGCTTGTGCAACAGAACTTCTCCTCCCTCTCCCTGTACACCCACCCATTCTGTCCCCTTAACCTTCTAGAGCACATGGGAAGTAGAGAGGGAAGGGAAGTCCTTGTGTGAACAGGATGGCTCTGTTGGACACAACCCACAGTTTGCAAATAACAGCCTTAGTGCCTTCTAGCTGCTAGCTGGCAAGCATTCTATTGCAGGTTCACAGCCTTCTGACTCTCCTCTTCTACTGTTACAACCATCCAATGGCACCTCACCATTATGTTTACCTTGCATGGATGTGTATGTACATGCAATCATGTGTTTGCTGTCGGCCTAAACAGACCCATGGACTTGTGTGTCCCCCTTTCCCTCGCCCACAGATATGCCAAATACTACAAGCAAGAGAACGGCACAGAGTTCCGCACCCTCATGAAAGCCTTTGGCATTCGCTTTGATGTTCTGGTATACGGGAATGTGAGTGGCACAGGGCAACTGCGTGAACAGAAAGCAATGGCTAGGCAGAGGCCTGATGGGATATGGCGGGAGAGAGTTAAATCTTAACTAATGCCCAGGGAGTTAAAAGCCCAGGTCCTTATGTATTTACAAAGGTAATATGTCTTGCAAGGGGTACTTGTAGTACAATCCTATACATGTCTATCCTGATGAGCCTCATGAAATTCAAGGGAACATACTTCCAGGTGTCCAATTGTAGGATTTCAGCTACAGTATTTTAATGAAAGGAATCAGGTTGATCCAGACTGAGGCTGCAGTCCTGACCATGTCTATTCAGAAGTAAACACTACTGAATTCAGTGGGATTTACTAGCAGTTTGGAAGCACGCCAAAGTGCAAGTAGATAAATAGGTACCACTCTGGCGGGAAGGTAAACAACGTTTCCGTGTGCTGCTCTGGTTCGCCAGAAGCGGCTTAGTCATGCTGGGCATGTGACCCAGAAGCTGTATGCCGGCTCCCTCAGCCAATAAAGCGAGATGTGCGCAGCAACCCCAGAGTCATTGGCGACTGGACCTAATGGTCAGGGGTCCCTTTACCTTAAGTGGGGTTAGGATCACAGCCCAAGTTAGTTGAAATCAGAAGAGCAGCTTTGGGGGGCGGGCGTTTTTAATGAATTCTATATTAACGAAACATAAAGTAAAACAGTGCTAACAGAAAAGAATCTCTAAAGTAAATAAGAAGTGGCAACGTTAGGATTGCGAAGGATATGCATACATTCAAAAATTATTCTTTCAAAACTTCACAAATAAAACCCATCTTTTCACAAATATGTTCAGATGTTGCTAGTTACCCACTCTTCTGTATTACGTTAATTAATCAATAATTCCATATTGAATTATTATTGTGGAACTGTGGATTCTTGACCATCAAAGTGACACCAGTGGCCATGGCAAAGATGGTAACCTGGAATGATTAAGATGACAATGGCATCCATGACTGTGGCCCTTCTACAGAGAGCTACAAGCTAAGGTAGAGGTGCTTTCATGAATAGCCCAAGAACGCCTTTCACAACTGGAGGGGGAGCCATTTTGGTGGTATCACAGTTCGCTGACATTTATTCCAATCCTCTGATTCTTCAAGGAGAACCGCTTTTGGTATGCTAACTTTGCCTTGTGTTCCCTCAGGCTGGGAAATTCAACATCATCCCAACCCTCATCAACACAGTGGCAGCCTTCACATCTGTTGGGGTGGTAAGCATTTTGGATTGCCCAAGCTTTTGTCATGTCTTCTCTCCTTTCATTGTTTAGTCCAAAGAACTGGTTGGATTTCACCATTCATGGGTTTTAGGTCTCAGAACTTCACACACCTGATTAGGACAAGGTTCTCTAGAGCAGTGTGGACACTTTTTCAGCCCAAGAGCTACATTTCCTTCTGGACAGCCAGAGTGCTCTTGTCCTTCCTTCTTGCTTGCAAACTTCCCACAGGCATTTGGCTGGCCACTGTGGGAACAGGATATTGGACTAGATGGGCCATTGGCCTGATCCACCAGCCTCCCTTTATGTCCGTATGGATTCTCCGACTGGGGAGGAGAGTGGAAAGTGCTGGATTTTAGGAAGCTCCGGAGGATCAGGGATTTGAGCTTCTTTTTGGACAGGAAGCTTTTTCTAATTTGAAAATGTCAATTAATGCACCAGTCAGTCCGTTATGCCCAGAGTTGCTTCTTCTGCTGTACCATTTTGCCTGGCCACTTTTCCTGTGAGAGGCCATCTCACCTCTTCTCTTCTCACTTCAGGGGACAGTCTTGTGTGACATTATTCTCCTCAACTTCCTGAAGGGAGCAGATCAGTACAAGGCCAAGAAATTTGAAGAGGTGGGTCTCTACAGTACACAGTTAAGTTCATTGCCAGCAAAAGTACCCCCGTGCCAGTAGACCTCAGCCTTTTCAGACCAGGACCCTCTTATGGTTGTAGTGCTGCTGTTGTAGCCCATCTTATGTCAAATGATGGATGACCTAGCAGTGCATCTTGGCCCACCAGCTGAAGATCAATTATAGTAGACTGTGCTCGCTATGAGGAAAACTCCCCTCTACTCCCCTTGTTACCTCCGCCCCCAGCCTTGTTCACACCTAACACTGAACCAAACCATGACTCAGTGTAAATAAGAAAGTGTGCTGGTGCACACTTAGAACACTACGGCCTCTTCCTTCTTCCCTGCTCTTGCCCTGTCACAAGGAGCTAAGTCACAGTCTGCAGAGTAGAGCATGAGAAGAAATGTTCAGAATTGTGCAAGCTAGTGTGGGGCAGGGGTTCGAGTGTTGGGCTAGGCCCTAGGAGACCCAGGATCAAATCCCCACTTGGCAGTGAAGCTCATTAGGTAACTTTGGGCAAGTCACTGTGTCTTGGCCTAACTTAGCCTCTCTGGGTTGTTGTGGGGAGAACCATGTATGCCACCTTGAGCTCCTTAGAGGAAAAGTAGGATATAGAGGTAATAAATAGGAATAGTAATGATTCCTCTACAAAGGTAACAGCTTTCTGTCTCTCTCCGCACCCAGGTGTCAGAGAAAGTGTTGCATCCAGACACTTCTGGAAGCCCCATTTACCAGAACAACCAGACCCTGGGACGTCGTTGTGAGGAGAAACAGTCAACTGATTCAGGCACCTTCTCAATTGGACTCTAACAGACAGACATGTGAAGAGGACATTAACAAATTTCCTACATTGCTCTGCTGTCATGGGTGCTGCCCCACATAACAGCCCTTCACTTTGGATCCTTCTGTCACATCGCACCACTGGGGTTGAGGGAACTGGTTGGTTCGTTTCAGTTTACTGTGTGCTTCCCAATTCTCTCTCTCCCACTCTCTGTTTTTTTCTCAGTTTCACATCATGGCCCACCTCTCCCAGGGAAGCTTGTGAGTCTTAACTTGTCAGAGACTCATATCCCCTCTCACCTCTTCCTTGAGAAAATAGCCACAACAAAAAGTGTTACTTAAAGAAAAGGAGATTCCTGGGTCACCAACACCAGTGCATTAAAAGTGGGTGTGGGATGATCATCCAAAAAAACTCTTAAGGGTTCCAGTAGAACTGGAAAATGTATCAGTGGAAAACTGCTTTTCACACCGAACCCATGAAACTCAGGTTCACTATGGGATGGCATGACAGCAGCAGCATCAAATCTCCACCTCGTGAGCTGAGATGTACCATGTGGTGACATTACATAAGAACACCTAAAGTCCCAACTAGACCAGCATCCTTGTCTCACAGTGGCCAGACAGATGCCTGTGGGAAGCACACATGCAGGACCTACATGCAGCAGTCCCCTCCCCACTTGGGAATTACACTAACAGGAATACAGGGGCAGCCAGTGGAGGTTGGACAGAGCCATGATGGCTAGCAGCCATTGATAACACTCACCCTCTTTTAAAGCCATTCAACTTGGTACCATCATTACATCTAGTGAGACCAAATGTCATACTTTAACTGTGCAGAATGGAGATGTTCTTCCTTTTGTTTCTCCCAAATTTTCCAATATTTAGCTTACCGGATGGCTGAGTTCTAGTATTATGAGAGATGGAGAAGTTTTCTCACATGACCTTTGTGTTGATCCATGTGACAGTATTTTATGCAGAGATGGAGAAGTTTAAAACACTGTCACATGGATCAGCGCAAAGGTCACGTGAGAGGGTGGTGGTTGGGGAGCTTTGACCACTCCTTCACCTACCAAATGGCCAGGCCTTTTGGGCAAAGTGATGGAAGTTTCTGAATAAAAATAAAAATGCATGCGTAATCTATGAGGCAAGAAAACATGGATGTGCTGTAAATAGTGGTGGGTTTGTTTGTTTTTCATTCTGTGACAACGCCGATAGGTACTCCCTACTCCAAGAGCAGTGGAGACAATACAGCCTTTGGATGAGAGAGAGCCAGAGACTTACGATGTCTAATATTGGTTCCATTTTCAAATGTAGAAGCAGGGTCCAGTGGAAGAAAGTCGGCCCCTGCAGCAGACACCACAGCTCCTAATCCTACATCAGGTTCCCCAAAGGAACTTTAAAAGCTGCCTTATACCTAGCTAGATCACTGGTCCATCTAGTCCACTACTGTCTTCATTGCTTTGCAGTAGCTTTCTGAATTTTTTCAGATGTGAATCTCTCCCCGCCCTACCTGGAAATTGAACCTTCGACGTGCAAATCAGATGCTCTTTGATAGAGCTAAGACACTTCCCCAAAGCAACAGCTTGGACCACTGGAGCCTCTCCTGCTGCTTTCAGCCCACTAAACTTGTAGCTCGATCTACCCCACATTCAAAACTGGCAAGTGCTTCCCCACCACTCCAGCCTTGCTGTTGCCAAGCACTGACCCCAATCACAGGTGATCTACCCTTTCAGGAAGAACATCCCCCAACTGTTTGCCTCCCCCAGGAAACATCCGCTCATCTTCTCATACTGGTAGCAAACACTCTGCCCAGGAAAGGATGGTCATCTGGCAGGTGTAACATGGATTTATGATGTAAATTCTTTTGGAAGGTTCATAGCTTGATCAAGTGAGAGCAATATGAGTGTCCTTCTGCTGGATTGGAAACTGTCATGCATGCACTGTCGTTCACATTTGATCACTGAATGTCATAATCAAGGCTGTGCATGCAACTCTCAGTACCAGATTGGACTGTCACATAGAGCGATGGAAAAATGGTCAGTGGGGTGCTGTCTCCTTTGACTCTGCTAATCACCTATTTGAGAGGGGTAGGCCCTGCTGGAATCAGCACTTTCTTTTGTATTCTAGAATCCTTCAGGCTGGCTGACTCACAGGCACTAGCTTCTGTCTTTATGAGAGGCAGGAACACAGGCAGAGACTTCAGATGGCACAAATGGTCCCCTTAACTTAGGGCACAACACGATGACAGAGGAGATGATGCATACTTTCCCATGTTGCTGGTGCAAGCTTATACGTAGACGAGCTTGCAGAAGACAAGCATCAGCTCAAAGAATAATGACTGAGAATATTCATGAACAGTTAGCTGGTGCTTGAACCAGAAACACAAACATCCCATGTTAACCTGCCTGTAGCAGCAAAGCCACAGTTCTACAGTTAACAGAAATCTATTTCTGGGCAGTCCTAAGAAACTGCTATTGGCAGCAGGCATCCCGGGTTCTGCCCCAATTTGGGGGTGCCTGGTGCATTTGTGAGGTGTCATGCGGCAGGAGGAGGCCTGACAGGGCCCGTTGCAGCCTCTGGAGGGCCTGACGGGACCCGGCATGGCTGCGGCTAGGCCCAAGGGGGCCTGCACCACAGCGGGCATGCTGACATCAGACACATGCTCCCCTGTGGTGCGTGGCTCCAGTGCAGAAATTTGTGGGTGCCTGGCCCCCTCATGGGGAATGTTGTGGGGGCTTGAGCACACAGCCCCCCCTCCAGCATCTATGACTGGCAGAATTGATAAGTCCTGGGCTTTTGAGGAAATGTTCTTGTTTTGCAAAAGCTTCTAGAAGTGTTAAAACTGCTGCATGAAAGACTACTTTGGAAATCTCTCTTCAGCAGGGAGTAAGAGCATCACTATTTCATGCAGCCTTCAACTTAAGTAAACTTTGAATATAAACATAGGCGCCAGTATGTGTTTGACAGAAAGAACCAGCAGCATATAAGCTGTCTCAACAAGCTTAACTTTTTTAAAAACAACAACAAACCATTGGCTTTATGTCTCATTGAAGCTATTCAAGTCAGAAGAACACAGTGTGAATGTGTGGTAAAAGGATAAGCTTCCAGATCCATAATCCTACAGGTGCATCAGCCCCATCCATCTCCTGCCCTGTCTTAGATTCAGATTCCCCCTCCTGCCACAAGCCCCTCTATACAGGTGTCTTACTTATTTTGAGACAGCACTGGTCATCTGTTTATTCCTTTAAATTTGCATCTCATCTTTTTTCCTGCCATGGAACCCAAGGCGAGGAACACGTGGTTCCTAGGCATCCTGTCAGGAACCACAAAGAAAGGAGGAGGCTAGAGCCCCTTCTAAGGTTGGCTGGTGAAATGACCCCACCCCCAAGGGATGGTCTGGCAACACAACAAAACCTGCTGTTGTAGTCAATGCTATAATTGATACAATTATAGTACCCAACAAGTCACTACACTTTCTTGCTGTACCTTGAAAGGAGAGTTTATCTGTGATGGGAAGAGCTGTGCACCAGTGTGTGTGTGTGTGTGTGTGTGTGTGTGTGTGTATAAGAGAGAGAAATTGATGCTGAACATCAGGTTTCTTATTCTTCTGCTATTCTACAGTATTTATGAACTTTCATTACAGTTGGGTTCCCTTCTGAATTTAATTTAATATTGGACTTCTTGACTGCCACACAATGCCTGAAACTAGTGCATCTTTCCACTATATAGAAGTATTCAAATGGCATAGGGTGTTGGTTTTTTTCATCCCATGACTTAAAAAAACATTTTTTTCGAAGGAATATCTCCCAAGCTGTGTAATGGACTTTGGTTCTTAAAAACCAGTATCAAATATATCTATTTAATAATTCAAAAAAATGAGGGTAGACTGTTTTTCAACTAATTCAAAAACTTAAGGGGAGACAAAAATGTTAAGTCTTCCACTTTAAAGAGTTGCATTTTCTGACATATTAAACATCCTAACTTGGTACCTGCTCTAATACTGGCTTGTTTGTATGATTCACAAAAATATAGCTCTGTTAATAAACAAAATAAATGTAAGTGAAATACAACCTAAATTCCCACACTAGGAGGATACAATATAGGTTTGATTCCTAGAAAAATAACACTCTAGAGAGAGGGAGCAATAAACTGTGGTTTGGTAACACAGATGTGTTTAAGTCCATTCGTTTCAAGGGACTTAAGCACACCTGACTGTGTTGGACTGTGACCAGATTTTGCTGGGAATGAAGCTCAGAGAGAGAGGAGGCTTCTTCCTCAGTTCCCTTTTCAAATCTTCTTAAGGTTCCCTTTTGATAGGAGAGGTTCGCAAAGTCTACACAGCGAAGGGCTCAGATAGAAGACTCCAGGCCTTCCTTCTTGCCTGCAGTTAAGGCTGGGGAGCCTGCGATGTGCTGTTCATTCTGCCGCCGCTTGCACTCCAACCACACCATCACTGGGTTGACCAAAGCCAGAAACATTAGGACTACAAGACCAATATTCACCTGGAAAAAAGAGATACACTATTAATATGCAGGCGGCAGCTTCTAAAAATGTTCCTTTCTGGGGGGCTCTAGGAAATGTGAAGTGTCTGAGGCTGGCACCTAGCCTAGAGAGCTACCTGGGTCTCTATGCCTGCTCTGCGTAGAGGCAGAAGGGAACAGGTGTATGCAACTGGCAGGCGGAATGAAGGCTTTGAATCAGCCAGGCCTATGGCAGCCACTTATGCAGCACCAAAAAAGAGAGGAAATGCTTCAGCACCACTCCCCGCCCAAAGGACACATGAGGACAGAGACTTGCATATTTCCATATCCTAATTTATAACCATATGTGCAAGTTCAAAAATGACTATTTCAAATAAAAAATGCAATATATCTAGTCCTACTTGGGACAACAGACCAGGTGCCCTGTATGCTGAATTTGCTGTCCAGGTCCCCTGCCCATTTAAACTCGACTTGGACTAATAGACTTCCCCCTGAAGAGCAGGACACACTCAGATATATATTGCAATACATGGGGCCTGGCCTTTTGCCTGGTCAACAAAGTAGTACGTCAGGTCTCCTAGCTCCCTGTTCACCACCGTCTGCAATACAACACTGTTCCTGAAAGAAGTAGAGATCCGCATTTGGGGTACTGACTGTCCTGTGGTGAAACAGACTCATTAGGGCACAAAACACTCACATAAAAGGGATCCCCGTTGAGTGGGCCCCTGATGAGCGAGAAGCAGGGGTATTGCAGGAGAGACACCACGGCTGAGAGCCCCATCACCAGGCCGTAGAGTTTCCCAAAGTGTTCCAAGGGGAAGCTGCCAAGACACAGAGTGGGGGAGGGGGAGGAAGAAGGACATGGAAATTGTGACACGGCATGTCTAAGCGGACTATCCTCCTCACAGTGACTTGTCACGATGTGCTGCTTCTCCACCTCCCATCCTTCTATATTTTTATTTCTTTTCTTTTTGACTTCCGTGTTCCTTTCCTTCCTCATCAGGAGGAAGGACAGCAGACCTGCATCCCTCTTATGGTCAAGGAACAGGGCAGGACATTTGTTTACAGCGTCTGCGTCACTATTTCATGGCACCCACATACCCTCCAACATTTCTCTGATGAAAATAGGGACGTCTCATTCCATAATGATAATTTTACTATTTATATCCCACACATCTAACTGGGTTGGCCCAGCCACTCTAGGCAGCTTCCAACCAGCGGCGGAGCATGGGGGCGAGGGGGGCGTGGTGCGGATGGTGCCCTCAAAGGGGGTGGAGCGAGCTACTCATGACAGACATTTGGCACGCCACCTCTCTGCAACTCCCAAGCCTCCCCCAAGCTGTCAAAGCGGTGCAGCCCCCCCTTACCCAGATGGCTCAATACCCGGGGTGGTCCGCTCCCACCCACCCCCTTCCTATGCCCCTGCTTCCAACATATGTAAAGACATAATAAAACATTAAACATTAAAAAAGCATCCCTATACAGGATTGGCTTCAGACGTCTCGGGGTCAGATAACGCCATACCCTCCAACATTTCTCCAATTAAAAAAGGGACATCCTAAGGAAAAGTGGGGCATTCTGGGATCAAATCAGAAACTGGGATGGCTTCTCTAAATCAGGGACATCCCTGGAAAATAGGGACACTTGGAGAGTCTGCACCCACACTGCAACAAAGGGCTTTTCATTAAATCTATTGAAGGAAAATTCCATGCTAACATGTGGCCTGCCTCCTCAATGACTAGCTTAAAATGAAAACATCCAGCAGATTTAGCACTCATACTAAGCCCTTTCCTCGTATCTGCTTTCTTTAGTATTTTAAGCCAAGTGCAACAGTCACTTCTCATACACTGCCATCATAGCATAACTGCAAAACATTAAAATGCCAGATAAATAGTTCATCTTGCCCAGTCTCTTGCGTCTGACAGAGACAAGCTTTAGAAAGGTATCTCAGCAGGGGTCTACAAACCCAGAAGACAGAAATTGTGCTATGAACTGTGGAAGCTGCTCCTAAAGCAAGACTCTGAGAACTGCAGCCATTTATTATTAGTATAAATTGATATTTTTAGCCCTCTTGCGTGTGGGGAGAATCTTGAACAGCCTCTGTTTCTGCTAAAAAATTCAAAACCAGAGGAGTCGGTAGAGAGGGAAAAAGGGTTTCAGTGAACAATTTTCTGTAATTGATTGTTATTCTGCACTACTACCAGTTCCTCTCAGTGGCTCCAAGTACCATTCACTGAGTATCAAAACTTCCTTCTGCTTTCATCCTTCCCTTTCTCTTTCCCCCGCCCCTAATCCATCCCTCCCAAACCACACTTTCCTCTTTTCACAGAGAGGCCAGTTACTTACGCAATGGCTAAGAAGGCAGCATTGCCCCCGTAGAGGAAGGAGCGGCTCAGAACCTGCAGGATAAACGTGGCATACTGCACAGGCAGCACCGGAATAGAGGCACAAATTGAGAAGGCCACGCACTGCAGCACTGTGATGACCAGTGACAGCACACAGGAGCGCAGGTCTGCAAGGGAATCTGGCACCCCTGGAAACAGAGAATACAGACAGAGGTGAGCAGGGCCAAAGGAGACCTTGGGGCATCAAATATCCTTGATGGGCAGTCTCATAAGGAAAGCAAAACACACACCAACGGGACGTACCTTGTGAACTCCCTTCCTTTTTATGTCCACGTTTGTGACGGTCCAGGATAAGCCCATTCCAGGGGGCACAGATGACTCCACAGAACTGGGTGAAGGCAAAAGCATTGGTGTAGCTGCTCACTGTTGACAGAAAGAATTAAGACAAAAGGATGACAAAACCCTCTTCCCGTCAGCACAAATATGTGCCAAGATTTTCATACATGTAACCCATTATTAGATGATGGCAAGAGACTAGGAGGAATCAAAGGTCAGGAGCCCTTAGTTCTCCAGTAGTTCCAAGCAAAATATTTTGAAGAACTACCTCTTCTTTCTCAATAGGAAGACTATCACCATCAGGAGGGGCTTCCCCTCAACTCCTAGACCAGGGCAGTCTCCTGGCATAGCTATTTAGCTAAGTCATTACAACACCATTTTAATTCTATTTCAGCAACTTTTTCCTGAGGTCAAGAGCACTGCTGAGACAAGATGGCCTTCCTCTCATGGCGAGAGAAAAGGGAGTCAGCAGCACCAAATACAAGAGACTGAAAATAGAGGCATGCCTCAAAATTGTACTGAAATTATGTGGGCTGTAGCCACCATTAAGCCATATTTAGCGTAGACTCATTGCAATGAATGAGTAGAACTAATTTAGGTCCATTCATTTCAAGAGCTCTACTTTAAACATAACATACCCTCCAACATTTCTCCGATGAAAATAGGGACATCCCATTCCATAATGATAATTTTACTATTTATACCCCACACTTCTTACTGGGTTGCCCCAGCCACTCTGGGCAGCTTCCAACATATAAAAAATAAACATTAAACATTAAAAAAACTTCTCCATACAGGATTGCCTTCAGATGACTTGGGGGGGGGGTCGGGTAACTCCATACCCTCCATCATTTCTCCAATGAAAATAGGGACATCCTAAGGAAAAGTGGGGCACTCTGGGATCAAATCAGAAACCGGGACGTCTTCTCTAAATCAGGGACGTCCCTGGAAAATTTGGATACTTGGAGGGTCTGACAGAACTTAAGTTGGCTATACTGTATATGGAACTTTGATGAAACAGAGAAAAGCCCAACAAGTTTCAATGGAAACCTTCCTTAGGTGCACAATAATTCAATTTATTAATTCCAATTACAAAACATCTCTCATAGTGTGTTTTTCCCCTTCTACACTCTTCTAGTCTACCTGCCCCAAGACAAAGGGCAAGACCCAATGTTAGCCATAATGAGAATAAACCCATTGCAAACAATAGACTTAGGTCCACTGATTTCACTGGGTCTACTATGGCTATGGCTTAGTTGGATCTCACCCAACAACTCTTATCCATCTCCACACACATATTTTTGTTTGTTTCTTACATATCCTAAAGTTGGTGGAGGGGCTAAATTTTCCCAAAGGAGCCCAGGGTGGCAAGAAACAGGGCATCAATACAATATAGTTTTAAAGAAAGTAATAAAAACACTTAAAAACATAGACACATAGCCTCACAGCTAATAATTTCAACAACAACAATAATTTTATTATTTATACCCGTCCATCTGGCTGGGATGCCCCAGCCACTCTGGACAGCTTCCAACACATATAAAAACATTAAAAAAATGTCAAAAATTAAAATAAAGTTTCCCAAGAACAGTATTTTTCAGCTATCAAATGTGTGGGTGGACAGAAATGTTTTAAAATTCCTCCTGAATGTTTATACTGAGGGTGACAGCAAAGGGAGGGAGATTATTCTGCAAACAAGAGAACCTCTTAATCCCCACCCGATGGTTCCCTGCCCCTTTCCCAATACTCTCCTTACCAAGGGCGGCGTCTCCCTCAGCCAGCTGTGTCAGCATGGGGTTGAGGGTGCCAATGAAGAGATAGTGGCGCAGCTGCATCACCGACAGCCACACCAGATGCCAAAAAAACAGTTTGGAGAAGACACAGCTCCAGAAGGAAACAACAGCTGGAGCCTTGAGGTTTGCTGCAGTCTCAGCATCTCCTAAATAAATCAAAAAGAGGGGACAGGAGGCATGTGTAAAATCTGAAATGATCTTTATGTCACACAGCACCTTGCTACTATTTCACTGCTGACAGTCATACCGAAGTGAGAGCCCTTTCTAGGCACAAATCAAATGCACATCCATTGGTTTTTATGAGGGCTTCTAAGCAATTAGCTCCCCATGCAGAGGCCTAGAGAATCTCTCACCCAGGGGTGAAAAATGGGCATGCGAAGCTGGTTCTGGTATAGGACTTACATTTTGTCAGTAGTAATGCTATGGATAAACATGATTAAGTATGGCTGAAATCTTCCAGTCATTAATTCACATTCCCTGGGGAAAACCACTAAGAGCAAACAAATGAGTTAACTCTTCCTGCTTGCCTGCCCACCCAAAAAGGAATAGCTGACTGTGAGGCTTCAGAAGACATTCTCTAGCAGGAATGATGAGCATAGATGACTGCCTGTGAATTACTAGTAGCACAGGGGTGGGTGAGTAGGATCAGGGCCGGATTAAGGTCTGATGAGCCCCTAAGCTACTGAAGGTAATGGGGCCCTTTATACTGCAGGCGGGGCCCATTACTTACATCATAGGAGCATACACAACACAAAACACTGTTGCTATACGTAGGTTTTATTTTATTTGTTTTTTATCTTATATTTTGGAAATGCACATCCAGGTTTTTTTCCTTTAATTTTTTTGGGGGGCCCCAAGAGGGTGGGGCCCTAAACTATAGCTTGTTTAGCTTACACGTAAATCCAGCACTGGGTAGGATTAAGAAGGGTTAAAGGAACTGACTTGACTCTTGAGGTCCCTGGTATTGAACCCCCCCTTGCTCACTGGCTCTGCTAAAAACAGCACTTTCAGACATTTGAGGGTAAGAAATGAGGTATATGAGCCTGACTACAGAAACACATAAATGCACACAGAACCTCTTCTTGGAACAAATGCCAAGTGAAAGGTATATCTGACACCCTCAAGCCCCCATAAACTGCACTTACTTTGCAGCAAATTTACTCTATTTTTTAACATATTTTCCCAAATGCAACATTCCCATCCAATATTAAGGCCCAGCTAGAATCTCTAACCATCAACCTTGGAACCGGTCTCAGTCCCTACCTATGCCAACAAGCCCTTTGTTGGTGGAATTTTCTTCGAGTGCTGGGTCAGCATGCAGATTATCCGAGTCTTCCGCATCATTCTCATCCAGGACTTTGGGGCTACGTTGCTCCTCATAGGTGCGATATGAACGGGACCTCTTGTGACAGCTCACTCTGCAGACACAATCAACATAACTGGTATCCTGGGGACTTATTTCCCATACAAAGAATGAAAACGCAAGTTCCACATGTGCAAAGAGAGAAAGACAGGGCAGTACAAACACGATTTATTTGATCTTTCAGATGATGCACCATGACAGAAAGGTACAAAATCACAATGGCATTGATCATAAAGCCAAGTAAACAGAAATTGCCATTAAATGCATAAACTATAAATGGATGATTCAACATGTAAGAGAAAAGGAGTACAGGAAACTGAGAACTCAGCCTCAGATTAGTTCATCTCTATTGCAGCAAATACTTTCACAACGTGTTTGAACCAACAACATTCCTCTCTCTTACTCCTCTTCATTCCTTCAGTTTTCTTATTTGATAGTGGTGAGAAATGGGAAGTTTCATTCCAAACCAGTTCACTGCTAACCAGTTTAGGCTGGGAGCCCTCTACAAACTTACTTGGGAGGGAGTTCCATAGACCTCTGAGATTTAAGGCTAAATGACACATTGCACGCAAACAGGTTTAACTATAGCCCAGTGAACCTTTTTGAAGCGGCAATGCTGCTTTCAGGGAGAACAACCAGGAGCACAGAAATGGTAGGAGGGAGGGAATATGGGTTTAAAACCCTACAGGGAAAGGAATTTGCTCCAGGGGGTAATTTGGGGCAGGAAAATGGCAGGTGGGGAAAAGACTGAGCATCTTCCCATCAGCTGCTTCTCTACTCTGGATCACCCCCCCCCCCCCAGGTTTTACTGCTTCAAAAAGGGCTGTAGTCAACATGTATTTGCTTGCTGTGTAGTTTGGCCCTTATGTCAATGTAAATTTCCAACTAAGCATGCAGAGGTCTGGGGTCTTAGGGATACCTGCCTCAACTGCAGGCATCCTGAAACAATGGGTTCACTTTGGACTATGTTTCCTGCATCCTTTCAGTGAAGGCCATGCAGCTGCTGTTTAATTAGGGCTTTTCTGAAGATGCTACAAAATGGCACCTGAGCTGCTCTCCAAACTGGTGTTTTTCCCCCCAATGGAGCTTGGGATGGTGATGTTGGGAGACAGCCACAGTAAAAACTGTGCAGGGTGTGAATCCTAGCTTTATCAACTGGGCAGAAGAAGTTGTTAAGCTGCTCTTTTATCTTTAATAGCAGCATGTGAAGAAAGCCTGCAGACGAAGCTTTTCTCATCATGGATATAAACATCACCTGCCAATCAAGCAGTACGGTTACAGTGGCCCCTGAAGAGTTGGCAACCCTATACGAATCCCAGAGCACTGTGCCTGCTTGAAGAAGCACTCAAAAAGCAGAACTGTCTTTTAAAAATAACAGTGGATGGAACCCACTGGGGATAGCTTCTTTCTTCTACCACCACCAGGGTTCTAGGCAGCACTTTGGGAGCTTGAAAAAGAAAGGAAGGAAGGAATGGAAGGAGATAGAAAGGGGCTCAGAATCTTAGTGAGGGCACACAGGGGAGAGAGCTGTGTATCAGACTGAAGTACAGGCAAGTGCAGCTTACCCGTATGTATATCCTGGGGGCAGTGGATACGGAATATGGCTGCGGGGCATCAGAAAGAAAGTACGGATCAAGTGCCAGGCACTGCAAGCAGACATGAAGAGGAACATAGTTCTCAGCGAGAGGCCTTGTTCATACAGCAGCTGTAGACAAATAGCACAAACCTGAGTTAGCCAAGCTCTGCGTTGACTGTAATCTGTGTGGTGCACAGATTGCTTGCTTGGCTTTGGGCTCATGTAGCAGATTATCTGCCTGTCTTTTAAGAGTGGGAGACAGATCCAACCCACAGCGTACAATTCAATATAAGCAGCACTACTGCATCTCTTCTGCAATTCCCATTCATTTGAACAGGAAAACGCACTGGTGGACTGTGCTCTATTTTTAATTATGATGAATCTCCACCTGAGACACCAAAATGCCTTGGACCAGTCACTAGCTCTCAGGCTCATTCTTTCATTTGCATAACAGATTTATCTGGTCACTCAATTTGATTTGATCTTTTTTTTATAGAATTCCCCAGGCCCAGCTACTGTTTCTAAGCAGCTTATGCATGTCATCACAATAGAGCCAAATTATATGTGATATCAAAATGTGTCTGCATTTAATGTGTAGTGTTTAATAGGTGAAAACACAATAAAAATGTACTTCTTGAAAAATCTTACTTCCCCATAACAATAGATAGCACAGTGCTTCCCGTCACTGTGCCTAAGTACCATAAACCACCGTCAGCAAATCATGCCTCACATTCCCTTCTTAGAGCACAGTTTTGCCATGACCATGCTCTCAGAAACATGGATTTGAGAAGCAACATAAAGGTAAAGAGACCCCTGACCATTAGGTCCAGTCGTGGCCGACTCTGGGGTTGTGGCACTCATCTTGCTTTATTGGCCGAGGGAGCCGGCGTACAGTTTCCGGGTCATGTGGCCAGTGTGACTAAGCCACTTCTGGCGAACCAGAGCAGCGCACAGAAACGCCGTTTACCTTCCTGCCAGTGCGGTACCTATTTATCTACTTGCACTTTGTGCTTTCGAACTGCTAGGTTGGCAGGAGCAGGGACCGAGCAATGGGAGCTCACCCCGTCACGGGGATTCACCAACCTTCTGATCGGCAAGCTCTAGGCTCTGTGATTTAGACCACAGCGCCACCTGCATCCTGAGAAGCAACATGGTCACATGCATATACAATGCTGAACCACAGCTGGAAATAGAACCCTTGTGAGCTGACGTCTTCCACGCTAACTATAGTCCTGCTTCCTCTTAGCTGAAATCACGCTTAGGATACTGCACCCTTCCTCTGCTTTCACTACATCCCCATATTCTCTTTCCCCGTCCTCTGTCCTCGTGTGGCTGGATTTTAGTTTGTGTCATCAGGAGTGCTGACTGCTGCTTTCTGTGTGGTGGCTCATGTGCTCTCTCTACAGAGAATGGTGATCCCTTAGCTCAATGCATATCTGAACAGTCTTAATGCAACTGGTGAAAAGAGGCAACTGTTAATACTAACAGCACAGAGACTGTCTTCCACCAGGTGTAGGGAGCCTATGATGTTGATGTTAAGTATTGCACATACAGTATCTCCAGGAATCCAGTCAGGAAGCTTTGGGCTATATGAGATTCTACAGAAAGACCCAATTGAGAAAATCGAAGTTGGCCAATAAGTCGAATGCAAATGGTAAATGAGGATATCCCACTATGGTTCAAAAACATCTAGGATATCCTTATTTACCCTACAACTCCCCCTATCCCTGCGCATTGGGCCATGGTGCCTGATGCTGATGGGAGCTGCAGTCTAATGACCTCTGAAAAGCACACTGGCTATCCCTGGGTGAAATGTTGTGATCACACATTGAAATTGAGTTGCTGAGTCCCTGACTAGCTGAAGACACAGGACTCAGAGCCAAACAAGATGCATCAAGCTAATGCATCCCCCCCCCCCGGTGTATTTGTTGTCTTTACTGAAAAATAGTCCAGAGCATTATGAGTTTAAGAGGATGAATGGAAGAGGGTGTTTAATCTTTTCCCTTCTTCCTGCTTTCCCACTCAAAATTGCTGCCCCATCCAGCAGTCCTCCCACCTATGAAGGAAAGAGTGTTCCTCTGCAGGAGAATAGCAGCTGGAGGATATTTGGAGTAGACAAATGCCAATAAGAAAAAAAAAAGGTTGAACAGCCTCTATCCCATTATGATCAAGGCGGCATTGTTGTTGTTGTTGTTGTTGTTGTTGTTGTTGTTGTTGTTGTTGTTGTTGTTGTTTAGTCATGTCTGACCCCATGGACCAGAGCACGCCAGGCACTCCTGTCTTCCACTGCCTCCTGCAGTTTGGTCAAACTCATGTTGGTAGCTTTGACAACACTGTCTAACCATCTCGTCCTCTGTCGTCCCCTTCTCCTTGTGCCCTCAATCTTTCCCAACATCAGGGTCTTTTCCAGGGAGTCTTCTCTTCTCATGAGGTGGCCAAAGTATTGGCGCCTCAGCCTCAGATCTGTCTTTCCAGTGAGCACTCAGGGCTGATTTCCTTCAGAATGGATAGGTTTGATCTTCTTGCAGTTCAAGCACACTCCAAGTGGATTCCCCAAGAATCCTGAGAACTGTAGTTTGTTAAAGATGCTGAGAATTATAGCTCTTTGAGAGTTAAACTACAGTCCCCAGTGTTCTTTAGGAGGGGGGAAATCTGCTTTGATTGTGCTTTCAATGTATGGTGTGTACTGAGTCCAGGTCACAGCTGCCCCATGTTGGTTTTCACAGGGAAGAGAAAGAGTGTTGGAATAACGAGACAGGTGACTGTGCCATATCTTATTATTTGGCCTTGACCTTCAGCTATGACCTAACTAGGAATTAGCTGAAAGCGCAAGGATGACCCTTCACATACTATTTAGCTACTTATCGGATTAATAGTCTCGAATTGTCTCAGGGTCACTACAAGCAGCCTACTTAATTCTCCAATGTCCTGCAGCAATGTGACCAACAGTTTGCTACTCTAATGCTCTTGAAAAGGCATGGGTTAGCTTATCTACGGTACAAGCATAATACAACAGCATCTAAAGGAAGTGTTTTTTATCATTATGTAAGTGGAAAATTAATCAGGTGGGGATGAAGAGACAAATGTGTTGCATATGTTCTTGCTATTAAGTGTTGAGAGTTAATCCAGTTTAGAAGCCCCCAAAGATTAGAGGAATATGATACCTAGCACTTGCCAATTCTATCCATGCAGACTCCCAGATGTTCAATAAGAAAGACATATCACATGATGTCAGAGAGTTGTAGAATTTTTCTGACCAGAGGTTGAAAATGTATCTACTGGAGTTGGGCACCATTTGGAATCTCAAAATCTTTCTCCATCCACATGTTTTCCTGTCTTCCTATTTTCCCTCATTCTTCTCCCTCCACCCACTTAAATCACTATCTTTCCTCCTCCCTTCTCCCTCCCCCACATCATCTCCCATCCTGGACTGCTTCTTTCTTTCTTTCAGTGTCCAAACCAGATGCCAGTTCAAGCCATTAATGAGCCAGCCAGTGGCTCAATCAATGCTATTAAGTTAGGTGGGACAAAAAGGTGGTGATGCTTAAGTCCAAACTTCCCTTTCCTGTGAAATTTCTGAGGGTTCTATGACTAGGCTGCTGACTCAACATCTTAGAGGAAGAAGAAGCACTGCCATAACACACATCATTTCTTAGGAGGAACGCCCACAACACAGGATGGGGCAAAGGATTCTGGTGCTTGTTTTTCCTAAGTGTGGTAATTTTTAATTCTTTAGGAAACAGTCACTAACCTTGATGACAAGAAAAACTGCAGAGGAAGAGTCAAAGGCCCCATTGTAGAGGGTAATGATGGTTGAGCGGTGTTTTCCAAACAGATTCCCAACCTGGAGAGACAAATAATACCTCAAAGCAAATTGACTACTTTCCTGGAGGGGGTCAGCAGATCACAGCCAAAGGGCCTAGTTGCCAGTGAACTTTAATATGTTAGAGTATGGAGGCAGGGACAGGGTGCCCCAAAGGTTCTCCTGTAAAGAATTTCCTTTCCCAGCTCCCTCCCCATTAGGATGTGTGAGAGAAGAGCATCAAACCTGCATGTTGGTGAGGATAAAGAGGATCCCACCGACAGAGAGAAACGTCAGTGCTGGAAACAGCATCAGCGCAGTGACTGTACCGGGAGAAAAATCGATGGAAGGGCATATCAGCAACATAGGCCTATCATGCTCATAAAACAAGACACAGCTGGGCATCACATCACTCTACGCAGTGGTGCCACTGCAAACTTTGAACTGCAGGAACTCATAACAATCCCTATAGCAGGCACGTCCAACAGGTAGATTGTGATCACTGGACGTAGAATCATAGAATCATAGAGTTGGAAGAGACCACAAGGGCCATCGAGTCCAACCCCCTGCCAAGCAGGAAACACCATCAGAGCACTCCTGACATATGGTTGTCAAGCCTCTGCTTAAAGACCTCCAAAGAAGGAGACTCCACCACACTCCTTGGCAGCAAATTCCACTGTCGAACAGCTCTTACTGTCAGGAAGTTCTTCCTAATGTTTAGGTGGAATCTTCTTTCTTGTAGTTTGGATCCATTGCTCCGTGTCCGCTTCTCTGGAGCAGCAGAAAACAACCTTTCTCCCTCCTCTATGTGACATCCTTTTATATATTTGAACATGGCTATCATATCACCCCTTAACCTCCTCTTCTCCAGGCTAAACATGCCCAGCTCCCTTAGCCGTTCCTCATAAGGCATCATTTCCAGGCCTTTGACCATTTTGGTTGCCCTCCTCTGGACACGTTCCAGTTTGTCAGTGTCCTTCCTGAACTGTGGTGCCCAGAACTGGACACAGTACTCCAGGTGAGGTCTGACCAGAGCAGAATACAGTGGCATTATTACTTCCCTTGATCTAGATGCTATACTCCTATTGATGCAGCCCAGAATTGCATTGGCTTTTTTAGCTGCCGCGTCACACTGTTGGCTCATGTCAAGTTTGTGGTCAACCAAGACTCCTAGATCCTTTTCACATGTACTGCTCTCAAGCCAGGTGTCACCCATCTTGTATTTGTGCCTCTCATTTTTTTGCCCAAGTGCAATACTTTACATTTCTCCCTGTTAAAATTCATCTTGTTTGTTTTTGCCCAGTTCTCTAATCTGTCAAGGTCGTTTTGAAGTGTGATCCTGTCCTCTGGGGTGTTAGCCATCCCTCCCAGTTTGGTGTCATCTGCAAATTTGATCAGGATGCCCTTGAGTCCATCATCCAAGTCGTTGATAAAGATGTTGAATAAGACCGGGCCCAAGACAGAACCCTGTGGCACCCCACTAGTCACTCTTCTCTGTGGTAGATCTCTGGTAGATAACTGGCTCCCCCCAAAGAAGATCAACAACCCCTGAAAATGGACCTTCCTCCTCCCTAAAAAAGCTCAGCAACTTCAACCTGAACCCCAAAAAGGGGGGGTAGACCACTGCCAGTTTTTAACTCTGAGTAGATTGCAGTCCCTTGGGAGTTGGCCACCCCTGCCCTATAGCAACATCCCCCTAGCTGTATTACACACACACACAGAGACACACACACACACACACACACACACACACACAGTGCAGCAGTACATAGCACAATGCCCAAATTATTAGGACCAGCTGGCAATAATAGAAAAGTGAGTCAGCAAAGTTATATTGATTAGCATGTTGAACTTTGGCTGTGGAGACCTAGGTTCGCATCCCCAATCTGCCTTTAGCTATTAAATTAGAAATACAAAGAAACTTGCAATTAAGTATTATCTAGCATGAAGTAGGAACCCCATCCAAGGAAAGGAAAGAAGTACCCAGCCTCTGCTTATTGGTTTCCTCTTTTTCCTTCTTTGTTTATCTGGCCCCAAAATGTCTGAAAGCCTTGTTATCACCTTGTTAATTTGCCAGAGTAAGGAGAGAATATTAGTCATCCTGACAAATGAAACAGAAGTCCTAATGCTGCATTCTCCTCTACTTTTGATCCTAAATTTCTTTTTCTTCTTACAATCTTGCTGGTGTGTGCACACAGAAGCAGCTCAGTACTAAAAAATGAGACATTCCAGTGCAATAAAAGGAACTCGTACTCCTCAAGCCATCTCTTGCTACAATTCTCCAGTCAACATATTAATACAGGGCAGCACATTGTGCCATTCTAAATTTCTATGCCAGCTCAGGGGGCTCAGAATGCAGCAATGGGAAGGATGAATCCAGTTCCCTTGCTTTTTGGTATTTAGCATTTGAGAAAGACTAGCACAACATGCCAGGGGTGTGTGGAAAGAGGCAAAACAGGAACTTACTACAAATATAGATTGTAGTTAAGATCCCACCTCATATGATTCCCCTTTCCAATCTTTAGAAATATTTGGAGGATCCAGCATAATTTTGGGAGACCTACACAAGCAATAATAATAATAATATTGGACTGACAGCTATCTAGCAACACGCAAAGACTGAACGTCTCTCAAGATGGAGAGCTATAGTAGCATGGTTTCTCTCTTCCTGCAACCATTGATATAGACATTGAAACTCTTGTACATCACATCACACATGTGTACGTAACACACACACACCCTTTCTCTTCCACATTTACAGCCATCCCTTGATTACAGGTGTTGCTAAGGCACACTTCTAAAACTCATGTCCGCACTACATACAGACACACACACCCCTTCCCAACATGAAGACCCACCCAGTCATCTTTTGCTCCTCCACACAAAGCCATACAAAATGTATTTAATTAGGTATATGTTAAAATCATTTCTACCCCACCGGATGCACTGGATGGGTGTTTTCACATATACAACTCTGCATCAAGCTGACCCAGCTTGCAACATAACATAGTATCACGTCTTTGATTGTTCTGAAGGACAACAACAACAGTTCCCAACAGTTTCAAGCCTAAAACTGGAACTATTGTGTCCAGAATTTGTACCCCTACAAATCTACCTAGATAAGCCCAGCTCTTCATCCAGGAACACTCACCTGCTGAGGAAAATGCAATGAGGAGAGTACCAGTGGTGTAGGCAGATCTGGAAGACAAAGAGATGCCCTGAGCTACCAAATGGGCACTGGGCTGTGGACATGTGGGCAGCAAGGTGAACTACTTCCTCCCTTCATCCCCCATCAGACACAGTGAGCATCCATCAGCTTCCCATCCTTTTGGTAGACAGGCAGGCAGCTGTGGGAGCCATGGGCATCGGAGGAAGAAAGATGAATCAGTAAGATGGAGATTGGAATTGAGAGATCATTTGAAAATAGAAATAGACCGGTGGGGAAAAGATGAAGCAAACCATGCTGAGGAACAGAATAAAAACTGAAATTAGAAAAGAGGAGAGACTCAGGCAAAGGCACAGCCTGGAGGGAGTTGGACCAGGGGCAGGTTTAGGGGAGTGTGACTAGTTCTGTTGTACTGGGTGTGGAGTTTTAGGGGCGCTGCCGAGGACACCACAACTAGGATTTACAATGGAGTGCAAGAGGCACTGAATTTTGGTGTCACACAGGATGCCACTGAAATTTGAGACCCCCAGATCTGCCTCTGGTTGGATCGTTAAAAAATGTCCTCCATTTTTGTTTAGGGTTATGAGAAAGAAAGAATGATGATGATGATGATGATGATGATGATTTATTACTTATACCCACCCACATGAGAATGTGAATGAGCATTAACTCTAGTTCAGTTTCAGTTCAGATACTGATAGACAAACTACATGAAAGTTATTGTTTGTCTTCTGTCTCTAATATACAGGTTCTTTTTTTAAAAAAGGCAAATGGCACTGGGTGGGTGATAATTATTGGAACTTAAGCAGCTGTGGAGAAACAATTTTAACCATATCCTCCCCTGCTGATTCCTTGGGGAGTCTTCTGATGTTTTTGGAATGCTGCACCTATTAACATTCTTTTTGTATTAGGTAACACCCAGCAGATAACACCAGGTTAGGAAAACATTTCCACAGCTCTGCTTAGTTGGCCACGTGCCCTGCGAGGAAAGAGGGCAAGGACCCAAAAGAGCCACCTCAGCACTACTCTCCTGCCCACATGGTTGATCAGTTCACTCACATGAGCCGCATGACTTTGCCCACTCCATTAATACGCCCAGCCAGTTAAGGAACCTCACAAACTGCAGCCACAGCAAATACTAGCTTCCTGCGTGTGGTCATAGGAACCCTTGGACTTCCTGCCTCATAGGCTGGCATAAACATTGCTTCACTTGGGTATCCAGCTCAAAGAACAGGCACTGCAAAGGGCTCCCTGTTTGCAGCTGATCATAAATAAAATCTGTATCAGATAACAGGGCAAGATTGAACATTGACACCTCACTGCTGTAGGCTCACTAACCTCCCATCCCAGAAACTGCCCTCCCCACAATTTGGCATGATCACCAGGGGAACACAGATTGGTTTGATTCACAGCTAAAATGTACTTGGGCAGAAGTGCTGTATATAATCAGCATGTTTTGCAGTGAGTTTCATATATGAATTATGTGCCGTGTGAAGAACCATTTTATTTTGTCTGCCCTAAATCACCTGCCAGTCATTTCCATTGATAACTACACCACACCCAGTTATTTTATGGTGAAAGAGAGGGGGAAGCGTCATTGTCTCTCTGTTCTCCTGTCACTATCAACTGCTAGGGAATTTAGAACAACCTGTCATCTTCCCTGAAACATCGGCTCAGGCCCTTGTTTGTGAAGGGTGAGCTGTGTGCATTTCATGGATGCACCAGGTTCCCCACACAAGTGAAGAATACAGGCATTTCAGATTTTATTTCAGGTAATATTGACTCCAGAAGCACATCACTTCTATTCCACACCCCCAAGGTGGAAAAATAAGATTGGTTTTGAAGCCCTGAGCATTAGAAGGCTCAATGGTTTCAGTGTGAAAACTGCTACAAATTCAAATGCAGCTAGGTAAAGAAATGTCAAAAGTTTCCAATTTCCATCTTAAAATAAAGTCCAGGAGCTCGTTATACCTGTTGCCCACAGCCTAGCCAATCTGTGTCCAGCACATGCCTGCACACTTGCTATGCAGCTAGTTCTGTACACAGCCCAAATAGAAGTCAGAGCTGCCAGATGAAAAACTGCAGCTGCCACAGTCTCAACAAGTCTTATGAATAGGCCCTCCAAGCCATGGACAGCTGCTAGTTACTTTTCTAATACTCCTGCTCATCCTGTGAGTCCCTATCTATCCCCAGTCAGCCTGCTCTCCCCTTCACTGCTTCAGTCAAACTTTTTTCATTTGAGGAGATGAAGGAACTGTCTTTCAGAAACTGAACATGTCAATGCAAACTAAAAATGTGCATGCATGTGTACTCAGTTACATATCCTGTTCATTTATTACATAAGAGGGAGGCTGATGTTTTGTATGCAGCAGTCTGCAGAGGCCTCATGCAAAAACTAGCAAAAGTTTCTGACCTCCCTCCCTTGGGTATAACCTCCCCCTTGACAGGAGCAGCAAGCTGTTTATTAGAGTTATGTGAAGATTAGTACTAAGTCAAGAGAAACTTCGCAGTACTCATATGGAGACAGTCTGGGCTGTTAAAGATAACAGGCATTTTATCATTCTAGCTGTCTGACAGCATGCACAAGAGCATGGGTGGAAGATAAGGAAAGAATCAGGAAGGAGGGAGGGATAGAAATGTGCATAGAAGTGAATTTCTGACCATCACAGTTCCTTTCTGCCCAGCATATGCCAAGTGTTTGGGACTCCACCCATCCCACCTAAAAAAGGGACTGGAAGAACAGACAGTAAGAGTGGCCTGAACCACTTCAGACTATAGGTAGGCATCACTTTTTAAATGATAAATAAATGTTGGGGAATTTTTGTGCAGATTTTTGTCTGCTTTGCTCCTCTTTTGGTGATGCATAACCCCCCCACCCAGCAATGTGAGTAGTCACCCTAGGATCCACCCTCCAGAATACTTCAGTCCCTGAATTAAGTTTCAGAGAGTGAACTTACTTCAGTCTAGGATTACCCACTCTTAATCTATAAAGGATTTTAAGTGTTGCATTGCAGGGTGGAATTCAGCAGGTTCCACTTCTCACGTCTTCTTAGTGCTGCAGTGGTGGAAGAGTTCACTGCTGCCCAGTTTCTCCCCACTACATGACTATTAAAGGCAGAGGAGCTCTTTAACGGCAGGCGCTAGCAATCCTGCTTCAGTTCCACAGAAAAGGCAGAGAGCTCCAAGCAGGGAAAACGAGAACAGGTTGTGCCCCAACACTTACATGGCAAGCAGACGTGCTGCTGTGGTACCAAAGCGGTCAAAGATGTAGCCTGTTGGGAAGGTCATGAAGTTGTTCATGAAGGAGCCAATGGTGAAGATGAGGGAAAACTGCTCATCCTGAGCACTGCAGTCTGCAAAGGGACAGAGAATTCAGATATGGTCCCTAATGCAATTCAGTCCTATGTATAAACCCCCAAGCCTATATTTACTGTGTGCAGAGCTCAGACTCAACATACTTTAGATTTTTATCTACCGTATGTCTCCCAGCCTAACACACCCTGTCCCACACGCAAAGCAAACCCCTAGCACCATATTGTTCATAGCCAGTACCCAGTTTCCAAAAGGAGAGGAGCCAGGATCAAACCCTCCTGATGAAAGTTTCACAGCTTCTCATTTGACAGCCCTTAACCTCAGATTCCTTAAGTGCTGCAATGGTTGCAGTTACTTAAATGTTTTGAAAGGGCACCCTGCGGGTACTTAAAAATACTCACTTTATTACTATGGTTGAGCCCTGGCACTGAAAGCCTGGCATGTCCTGGGGAGTATTTGGTGTTGCATTAGACTGAACCTACATCAGTGCTCCCCTTCCAGCCTTCAGTTCAGGACATGGAAACAGCAACTTTCCCTCCACACCCCAAAATGCTCCTTGTTCTGTTCCTTGAACTTTTTGCAGTCTACCCATTCACAAAATGTAACGCAAGAATTATTTACAAGCAAGTGTACCAGCCTGAAGTGTGGAGTGCTTGCTAAGGAGCACATCTGTTAAGGCAGAATGGGCTCCAGCTGCCACTCAGTATGTTAGACTGAATTCCTTTTTTCAGATGAACCAAACCTGCCATTCCAAGCCACAAAGCCTGCATGAGAGGAGCACGGTAGGAAAGTTTGTATCCCTGCAATGAGGTGCTCACATCACAGTGAGAAAACCTACAAAATGAGTGCTGTACTCACATTGGCATCACTCGGGATGATGTATAGACCACACCAGCCAGTCTCCAATGGTACTTCTGAACCAGCATGAATGTCTCAACACATTCAGGAGTTCAGGGGCAGGGAACCTGTGACCTTTTGTGGACTCCAGCTCCCATCATCCCTCTCCATTGGCCATGGTGTCTGGGACTGATGGGAATGAGGAGTCCCACAACTTCTGGAGCACCTCACCTCTGCCATAATTCATACACTCTCACACCCACTCTCTGTGCAGTTCCCAACTAACTCCCTATGTCAGACCTGCTCAACATGTGACCCACCAAGCTGAATGCAGACCACCAGCTCTGCATGGTTATCTGCCGCAGGCTTGGTAAAACTCCTTGATTTCTGCTGCCTGCAAAAGCAGGGTTATCAAGCATCTGGCAGTTCACAATACATGAACAACCGTCTGCATTTGGCTTGGTGGGATTACAAGTTGTGCAGTCCTGCCCATACCGCTGTTTGTGACTCCCAACTAGCCCAGTATGTGTATAAACTCAGAACTTCCCTTTAGAAGCAGACCCCCACCATCTGATCTTACCTGTGACATTGCTTGTTTGATTGGCAGCTGCAGACATACACAGATCCTCAAAGTAGTGCATACCCTTGAGGACGTACACCAGGGATGCCCATCCAAAAATGACACCCGCAAAGCACATGCATTCCACTAGACCTGAGAGTAGCGTGGCCAGACGTTTGGCCGTGCTTGAGCCCCGAAGCTCCATGGCACTTCCCTGTTGATCCTGAGGAAATTCCTTTTCTGATCCTGCAACCAAAGAGAAAATGTAGTCAGTGAAATATGTGGAAAACTAAGCAGGGAGTATCCAAGTTGCTCAGTAGCAAGCAGCTGCTTCTGCAGTGAAATGTGTAACAGCATGCATGAGTTTATAAGGGGAGGCCGGCTGAAGATGCTGGACCTAGTAGAGAGGCAAAGGGGGAAATGAGGAAGTAGATTAGTGGTAATATCATAAGACCATGAGCAAGGACCAAGCAAGCTCTCTACATCTACGACACAAGGAAACAATCGTAAGAAGAGAAAGAGAGACAATATAAGAATGTGTAAAATGGACACAGAATAGGTTTGTGAATAGCTACAGTGATACTTGGGTTTTGGCAAAGCACCCTATTTTTAAATAGAGTGCTTGCAATAATAAAGAGAATTTAAAGCTCAGGCTGCTTACAAAAAACAGTTGGGGAGTTCAGTTATGAAGCTTCCAAGGACAACTAGCTTATGGGCAGATGCCGAACAACTTGGCACTGCCCTTCTCTATTGATCTGTTGTGAGAAAGCCCTAGCTGCACCTCAGGAGCACAGAAACAAGACCAAACTCGCCTAGCAAGTCAGAGGATAAAGATAGCTAAACTTACAGGATTTCATGCACTAATATTGGAAGAATCTGGTGACCTAGGACTGGTGCATGTTGTTGAGTGCACCCAGTTCCTTTGAACTCATTGCCTCTCTTCAGTGTAACTATATTGCAATGGAGTTAGGTAAAATCTCTCGAGCGTACTCCATGACATTATAGGGTTCTCCTTTATGTAACTTTGTTCTCCTTTACCTTGTAGTGGGACAATTCACTCCGACAATGGCCTACCCAGTGACCTTCAAGGGGGTAGGGTTTATACCCTACTTCCCACATCAAACACTCAAGCAACCCTACACCACACCATGCCATACAAGCCCTCTTGTGGCAATGACTTTGCTGCAGGATTTCTCCAGGTCTCTGGTTTGTGGTGGTAGGGAAAGCCCTCTGTGCTTTTGCAACAAGACTGAGCTGCTGCTGCTACATTGGTTTGAAGTATACTAGTTAACAACAGTGTTTTAATAAATGTTACATTTCATTTAAACAACAAAAAAAGATAGTTTGGCTTTCATAGAAAAGGTCAAGAAAGCTGTATCTGGGAGGGGTGGGGTGGAATCTGCTTGTTTTTTTTTTTTTGTTTTACTACAGATTCCACCAAAATGTGTCTCTCACACACTTTTCTACATAAAGGAAAGCTGGTGAGTGATTAACAGGGTGAGGTGGGAAGTCCTTGATCAAATCTCTCCCTGGCCAAGAAAGTACCATATTTTTTGCTCTATAAGACTCACTTTTTCCCTCCTAAAAAGTAAGGGGGAATGTGTGTGCGTCTTATGGAGGGAATGCAGGCTGCGCAGCTATACCAGAAGCCAGAACAGCAAGAGGGATTGCTGCTTTCACTGTGCAGCGATCCCTCTTGCTGTTTTGGCTTCTGAGATTCAGAATATTTTTCTTCTTGTTTTCCTCCTCCAAAAACTAGGTGCGTCTTGTGGTCTGGTGTGTCTTATAGAGCGAAAAATACGGTACTTCTTTGCCTTAGGCAACCCCATTGTTTTTCAGAGTCAAACAAGATGGGCCCTGCCATGGAAGATTTTTTTTTTTTTAAAAGAAAAATAGCCATCACATGGGGGCTGAGTGAAATTGGCACCAAGGTATCAAGGGGGTAGGGGTTTGATCCTTTGCCTCACCATAATCACAATCTTCCTCCTTGCATATTTACAGTGGGAAGAAGTTAGCACCAAGGGCCTCTGATCAAGGGCAGACATTGGTAATATGGCACCCTGGGCAAGGACAAGATCCCACTCCACCCCGCCCAAATATGCCTTATTTTCACAATAATTTCTTTTGGTTACTGTACCCATAATGTTTGCACACACACCCTGGCTTGGCACCCCATGTAGAGAAAACCACCTGCAGCACCCTAAATCTGGCACTGCTCTGATCAGATCAGGATCACAGTGTGGGGGGTAAGCTTCAAGTCTCCCTCCACACCATGGTTCCAATTATAAATAAACGTTGCATTATATCCTTGCTAAATTTCATGATAGAACAGCAGCAGGCACACACCCTAGAAGCCGCTTTGTGCATTACCCTTACACTGTAAGAACCTGCATGTCGGGAAAAGCATGAAATCTATGTGTTGACATCACATGTGGCTATTGCACAGACACATTTCACTGCCTGTCCACACACAGATTCACAGTACTTATACATGAAGCAAAATAAACATGTATACAATCACTGTCTGCAATGATGTACATCCAAGCTTCACACTTTTCCCTACACACACAAGTCCTTAATACGAAAGAATGAATTCAACATTGGACAACACAACCACACTTTTCTAATGGTATCTGATATGGAATACGGTTTTGAGTTTTGAATCTGCACCCTGTACAGTTCAAGCAAGCAAAGACAAGTCATTGTTAACAAAATAATAATAATGCATTTTTATAGTGCCATCTCACTTAACAGAGAGAGACCCCTGCCCTGAGAAGCTTACAGTTTACATTTAGACTATTGGCAGCAGGAGAGATTACAGAGAGATGGAAAAGTGTGACAAGGGTAAGAAGGCATGAAAGATGAGCTTGTGCAGTTACACGTGATAATTGATTGCACATATGATCATTGCTAAACAGGAATGCACCCTCTCAAACTCCCTCCAACATTCACAGATTCACATCCTGCCATCTGTTTAACTTAAGACACCCAACTTTCTGTCAATCACCTATCCTCCTGCTTGACATGTGCCTATGCCACCAGTTATCCCCTCACTTATCTATATTTCTGCCATCCTCCCATCTTTTGCTGGCAAGCTCATCACCATGGTATTTCTTCAGTGCTGTATAATAAGCAGAGAGATAGGTTTGGTCTTTGGTTATTGTGGTGGGTTGCATATGGAGAGAGAAAGAGTGTGTGTGTGTGTGTGTGTGTGTGTGTGTGTGGATGTGGGGCATGTTGCATTGTATAACCTTCATAGCTGCAGCTTTGTCTGTGAATCATTAATCACACATTCTTTTAATAAAAGCCTGTTCCCTCTCAGCTGTGGGTGGTGGTAAATGTTAAAAATAATGTTCCACATTTCTGGGGCCCGTTCAATCCAAGCCCTATCAACATGTTCCACCTAAATTAACTACCCAAGCTTAGCTTTAATGGCTGGTAAATAAACTATATCACATCTCAATCACTTAGAAGAGAACTGGAACCCAGTTCCACAAGGCTAGACCTAGTTTGATCCAGGTACTCTCTGTTCAAATAGAGACTCAGGCTTCTTCTACTATAAACATTGAGACCATGCTGAGTAGGATGTGAGGGAGGAGTACCAGAGCAACAGACTCCCTTTGGGATACTGATCTCACTATAGGGTGTTCTCACAGGAGGATATTGTCAAAAGCTAAGTGAAAACCCAAGGATGAGTTATTCTACTGGAAACATATAGTAAACAGACTAGTAGAGAGCTAGTAAGCATCACTTCCTTTCACTTGTCAGTTCATCAACCCAAATCAAAACATCTTACACATGCCTGCCCTTTATTTGTCTTGTTTTCTTCTCACACCACTCAGTAGTTGGACTCCAAAAGCCAAAGTAGGGCAATATTTATTCATTTATTTATTGTTAAAACTATGTCCCACTTTTCACCACATGGGTCTCAAAGTAGCTCTTAATAAAATATACAATGTAAAACATTAAAAACATAATTAAACCTCCAATAAACAAAAATTAAAGAGTTTTGATCAGGAGTCCAAACTCAGCAGGGGCAGTGCCCCAGATGTGGGAGGGAGTGCCATAGAGTTGGGCCCACAACACTGAAGGCATGGCTCTTCATTGGCATGTCATGCTTCTGGCCCATAGGGACCACTAATAGTGCTCCCCCCCTCACAATGATCTCAATGACCAACTTGGGTATGCAGGGTAAGGTGGGCCTTAAGGTACCTTGGACCCGAGTTATTCAGCTATTTGTACACTAGTACAAGAACCCTGTTTAATTTGACCCAGTTGCAGACAGGAAGCCAGGGCGGGTCTTTTTAACACCAGCACTATGTGTTGGCAATAGTCTGTTCCTGCCACCAAACTACTGTTGACTGCAGCATTCTGCACCAGCTGAAGCTTCCAGACCAGACACTAAGGCAGCCCCATATACAGCATGTTACAATAATCAAGTATTGAGGCTACCAGTGCATAAACCAGAGAGATCAGGTTATCCCTATCCAGGTATGTCCATAACTGACGTACCAGGCAAAGTTGATAAAAGGCACTCCTAGCCACAGAGGCAACCTGAGCCTCAAGTGACAATACTGACTCAAAGAGTACCCCCAAAGTATGGACCTGTTTGTTTAGAGGGGGTGCAACCCCATCCATGACAGGAAGCTAGCCTTTTGCCTGGATGTGAGAACTGTTCTCCCACAAGGCCTTTGTCTTCCCAGGGTTCAGACTCATCTTATTGGCCTCATTCAGTCCACCACTCTTTCACAGCCTCTCCTGAGTCAGATGTAATGGAGAAAGAGAGCTTGGCATCCCTAGCATACTGACGAGACCTTGCCCCAAAACCACCATTCCCAATATAGATGTTGGACAGCATTGGGGAGAACAGAGTGCCCTCCCGGACTGTATACTGCCATGGGCCTGAGAAGCAGTCTCCCCATCATGCTGCTTTCTGGACATGACCCTGCAAGTAAGAACAGAACCACTGTAGAGCAGTGCCCCCAATAACCAGCGTGCAGAACCAGGCAAGGAGAATCACTTGCTGAGAGATGCAGCAAAAGAAGCAGGGTTGCAGTCCCCTACCTTTTTCTTGATAAAGGTCATCCATCAAAGCAACAAAGGCTGGTTCAGTCCCAAACTCAGATGTGAAACCAGACTGAAATGAATCTAGATCATTTGTCTCCTCCAGAAGCAGCTGTAGCGGCTCCACCACGGCCCTTGCCACTATCTAGAAAAATGCAGTGTTAGCAACTGGCCAATGGCTGTTGCATTCCATTGGGTCCAAGGTTGGCTTTTTAAAGAGTGGACACACTACAGACTCTTTGAGGATGGGGATGGGAAGAAATGTTTTTATTTGGACTTGCTGCCTTTCTCCCACTCCTTGCTCCTCCTCCTCCTCCCACTCCAGATTCTTGCTTAATCTCATTTCTTCCACTACCATGACACCACACACCTCGATATCACTTTGCATCCCTCAGTTATATTTATTACCCACTCAAGTCTATCCAACAAGGACTCTTTTTACTCTCTGATCACCTCCCCTCACTTTCCTGAGTCATTCTCAATCTCCCAAACACGTATCTCTGTTCCTTCATGCCTCACAGCAGCATCTGGTTCCCCTTAGAATCATTCAGCTATTTTCAAAACTTCCTCATATTTTCCCCATAAACATCTTACCCTTGGCTAAGCTCTCATGGGCTGGACACCTGCCAGAGAGTGAAGAGGGGCAAGAGATGCTGCTGACCTGCATATGCGCCTCATGTATCAGAAGTGACATGGTTTTCCACAAGCCACTCTCAGACAAGACCCGAAAGACACACAGCTGCCTCCAGAGAGTGAGACCTTTGCCAATGAAGGCAGGTCCAGTCAGCAGAATAATGAACAACAGGAAGCAGACACTGGACTGGGACCACATGTAACTTAAGAGAATGCCCAGAGTCTCTCTCCTCCCTTATGTCTCCTCCCTCCTTCCCTAGAGGAAGGAAACAAATGTTGAAAGAGGAGATCCTCTGGTGGAGGAAGTCAACGTTACCTCTCAGTCAGACAAACGATGGCACTTGTGATGGGTACACTGACACATATTCACCAGTACTGTCACATTCATGCATAAGCTGCTGCCCCAGATCTCTCAGTTCTACCCAGTTTCTACCCAGATATTTCACACAGCATTGGCTTTTTCCTGTGAGATACCAGGACACTTCATAGGAAACTTCCTCACCCATGAAATAAATTAAATACATGTGATGCACTTCACAAGTGATGAAATGCACATTTTGATCTATGCTGGAATTTATCTCTGCAAAAGAAAAATATTTCACCACATAAAATGGCCCCAGAAGACCTTCCTGTAGTGCAGGTCTTCTTAAGTGTGACCCAGCATTTGGTGCTCAAACTGTGTGAAAGGGGTGCCAAAACCTCTAGCTTACAAATGCAACACCTTCCTTAAAGCTTATGGCTCAATATCTTGCTCCCCAAAATGCTGACCTTTTTCTCAGAAAATTGAAAAACCCTGAACTCTGGGCTTAATTTGAACAGGAGCTTGATTCTTCAATGGTTGGCGATTATATGGCACAACTGTAGAACTCTAGAGTTGCTAGGGGCAACATTTTACAGATGAAATTACACATTGCTGAAAGCTCTACTCCAGATCTACTGCTTTTGTTGTTTTATTTATTAATTATTTATTATTATTATTATTATTATTATTATTATTATTATTATATTTCTTAGTTGATTTATCTTGGCCAGGGCAACCCAAAGCAACATACAACCAACTCTACAAGAGCCTCTCTGATTCAAAAATCAGCAGGGTGTTGGATTGTTTGGTTAAAAATGTCCTGCAATAGGGTATCAACAGTTCAAAAATGTACCTTAAGCAGCTGCAGTGTGTGTATGTAAAACAGCACAGGACCTTGGTGCACACATGCATGCTTTGACATCAGCGGAGGGCAACTTATGGCTCTTGTCATAAGCACCATGCAGGTGGCAAGGAGGAGGAAAATGAGGGGAAAGGGGGAAAAGAGAAAGGAGTGGCAGAAAGAAAGAAAAGGGGTAGCTCCAGCTTCACACAGATTTGAATACTAACCCACCCACCATTGGTTTGCAGAGCCTCCCCCCACTGAATGTGGACCCTCAACAGATTTTTTAAAAAAGGATTCACCACCCTAATTTACATGGATGCATGCTAGAGGCAAGATGCGTCCCCCCTCCTCCCCCATTTCTGCAGACCTGGAGTAGGCAGCTGAAACTCAAAAGGATGGCATAGCTAGGAACTCCACCTAACAAAGTTCAAATAAGGCATTTCCCCAACAAAACAAAAATAGGCACTTACCAAGAGCTAGAACAGAACGAGGGGCAGTTGGCATGTATGCAGAGGTGCTCTGAGCAGGTTCAGAATGCCTTATGCTCAACAGAGCTAACGCCCCGCAAATCTAACAACTGCCAAAACTTTCCCCTGGCTTTGCTGCTTCTCCACACCCTTCCCTTAGGTCTACAATATGTGGAGTAGACAAATTCTCCATTCCTATCTACCCAGACCCAGAAGTCTGCAATCCCTCTGCTCCTTATCTCAGCCACTTGACTAGGCTAGCAACCCATTATGTAATGATGGGCTGGGCCAGCCCCAGCACTTGACAGAGAATCATAAATGGGCAACAAATTAGTTACTTAATTTATTATGGTAATTTTTTTAGTGCCGGGGAGTGGGGCAGGGAGAAGTACTTGTGGGATTTTCTGCTGCAGGTGCCAAAATAACTCAACCAACCTTGAATACTAGGCACCTTGACTTGGGAGAGGGGTGCTGTTTTGCCACTCTGCCTCAGGCAGCAAAATGCCTTGGCCTGACACTGTGGCCCACAAAAGATCCCACAGGCAGAAGAGAACCTCTTGCAGAAATTCCTCCAGTTTCATTTACAAGGCTATGATCTTAATAGCATTTGCCTTAGAGGTCACCAATGAATTACTGCTGGATGCGCCCCTTTAGCTTCCTGCTATTTCTCTTGGGATTGTTTAAATTAAAATGACATGTCAAGCTCAAATGGGTTGGAGGGCTCAGCTCTCCACATAGCAGATGCACAAGGGCACAGCTACATATATTTTCCCATAGACAAAAGAATTATGGCTGTGCCCTTGTATATCTGCTAGTCAGTACCATATGAATTCACCTCCATTAGATGACAAGTTTGAAATAATTTAAAAAGCTTTGATGCCCTGCCCTATGGTTTTGTGGGTACTTTGTAGAAACATGTCACATAATGTGCCCTTAAGGTACATTCCCTGAAACATTTGCAGAAGGATAGATACAGAGGTTAGGGAATTTTGAATAAAATCAGTATATTTTTTGCATTTTTCATTGATTTTCAAATATAATGTAAAATCGAAACAGAAGGAATGAACAAAACAAGTCTTTGAGGCTTTACAAAGTCCTAGATTCTTTACTGCTCAATTTGCCCTAAAGTCACAAAGCAAAAAATTGGTTAGGATTTAGGTGGATGAGTTCCTCCCAAAAGCAGTGCAATTGAAAGTGAAAGGAGAGACCTGGTAAAATTCAAACCTTGACTGGCAGCTAGAACTGCAAGTCACAGAATCCCTCCCCTACTTCCTGCCTCTTTTGTGTCTGGTATTTTTAGTTAATAAAGAAGTAGGACAAGGTTACAAAATATATATTTTAAGAACACCTTAGTGTAGCACCCTGCTCGTGGTTAACGCTTAGCTGGAATGAAATATTCAACGCAGCAATAGAGAAATTAAAATAATAATTTATTTGTCAGACAAATAAATGATAGACACAGTGGTATATGGTTACCAAAGCTCTGCCCACTCCAGCCCTGATGGCCAGCACTTATATTTCCTAGCCCAGCCCCCTTGCTCCTCCTTTGGCTGCCTCTGTCCAATCAGCCTGGTTGAAATTTCCTATTGGCTGTTTGCTAGAACCAATCATAAAAGATACACCCATTTCCTATTACCTTTTATGGGAGACAAAGAGCTATATTTCCTTCTATCCATAAATGGCAGACAAGTAGCCATATATCTTACATTTGCCTTGACAAGGCACCTTAATTACCAGATCACCTTTTGCCCCTGTTGCTCCTGCATTCCAAAACAAATGGCTAAAACAGATGGCTCATGGTATTAAATTCTATCTAAACAGAGATCTTGGGTTCACATTCTCACACACCATCAATTAAATAAGAATCTAACATAAGAATCTAACATTTCTTACTTTCTAAATCCTTTGCATAATTACATTAAGCCAACAAATCTCATACATAACATAGATAGCTTTTTAGAAGAAAAGGCCTTTTCAAAGTAAAAAGGAACTCAGTAAAAACAGCTTCAAAGAAGCCTCTTCAGTTTACACCCCTCTTTCCCAGCCAGCTGCTTTTCCCATTAGCTCTTTGCCCTTTAACTTTAGGAAAATATGGCTAGAGTCTGATGGGAGGCACATGGTATTATTTTCTGTTAAACAATAAATCTCACTATTTACCAACTCTTAATTAGTGTTTTTGCAGCTTGATTGTATTCTGTAATATGTAGGGTCAGTATAACCTTTGCTCCCAGCCTGTAATTCCCTTTTACAACTTTGAGAAACTTGTCTCCTGCTACTGCTGTAAATCAGGGGGGCCCTTGTCCAGGAGAGCAGGAAGATAAACAACTGCCAGAGTACTTAGCCAACTGCTTTCTGCCTGGCATGAAACATACAAACATTTGCAAATATATCTTTAAGCTCATTTTAAAATACAGGCCTTGATCAGATGCCTCATTAGGAGACTTCCCAAGATTCTAACACTGTTCCAGAGCTTCGGAGCTAGGCAGCTACACCCTAGACTGCCTTGGATCCAAGCTATTTTGGATTCCAAAGTGGTCCGGGTATCTCAGAGATGAAGATCTGCAAACTCTGCCTTTTCCACAGAAGCTACATACTGTCTCGACTGTTCACAGCACTGGGACTTCAAGAAGTAGGACTGTATTAACATGGTGTGTGATGGGCATCCTAACTCTCTTACAGAGGAGTTTCCAAAGGAGACATAATGATGACCAAATAAAGTTTTAAGTTAATCTACCAAGGTAATGAATTAAAAAACACTGAATTTGTGTACACAATCTTTAGTGCTTTACTGTGAACTATCGTAACGGATGGCAAGAATAAATATTGACATCCTGGGCATCAGTGAGCTAAAATGGACGGGAATGGGCGAATTCAGTTCGGATGACTATCATATCTACTACTGTGGGCAAGAAATCCGTAAAAGAAATGGAGTGGCCCTCATAGTCAACAAAAGAGTGGCGAAAGCTGTACTGGGATGCAGTCTCAAAAATGATAGAATGATCTCGATACGAATCCAAGGCAGACCTTTTAACATCACAGTTATCAAAGTTTATGCACCAACTACTGGTGCTGAAGAAACTGAAATTGACCAATTCTATGAAGACTTACAAGACCTTATAGAAGTGACACCAAAGAAGGATGTTCTTCTCATTATAGGGGATTGGAATGCTAAAGTAGGGAATCAAGAGATAAAAGGAACAACTGGCAAGTTTGGCCTTGGAGATCAAAATGAAGCAGGGCAAAGGCTAATAGAGTTCTGTCAAGAGAACAAGCTGGTCATCACAAACACGCTTTTCCAACAACACAAGAGACGACTCTACACATGGACATCACCAGATGGGCAACATCGAAATCAGATTGATTATATTCTCTGCAGCCAAAGATGGAGAAGCTCTATACAGTCAGCAAAAACAAGACCTGGAGCTGACTGTGGCTCAGATCATCAGCTTCTTATAGCAAAATTCAAGCTTAAACTGAAGAAAGTAGGAAAACCACTGGGCCGGTAAGATACAATCTAAGTCAAATCCCTTATGAATACACAGTGGAAGTGAGGAACAGGTTTAAGGATTTAGATTTGGTGGACAGAGTGCCTGAAGAACTATGGGTGGAGGCTCGCAACATTATACAGGAGGCAGCAACTAAAACCATCCCAATGGAAAAGAAATGCAAGAAAGCAAAGTGGCTGTCCAACGAGGCCTTACAAATAGCGGGGGAGAGAAGGCAAGCAAAATGCGAGGGAGATAGTGAAAGATACAGGAAATTGAATGCAGATTTCCAAAGAATAGCAAGGAGAGACAAGAAGGCCTTCTTAAACGAGCAATGCAAAGAAATAGAGGAAAACAACAGAATGGGAAGAACTAGAGATCTGTTCAAGAAAATTGGAAATATGAAAGGAACATTTCATACAAAGATTACCATAATAAAGGACAAAAGTGGTAAAGACCTAACTGAAGCAGAAGACATCAAGAAGAGGTGGCAAGAATACACAGAGGAATTATACCAGAAAGATATGGATGTCTCGTACACCCCAGGTAGTGTGGTTGCTGACCTTGAGCCAGACATCCTGGAAAGTGAAGTCAAATGGGCCTTAGAAAGCACTGCAAATAACAAGGCCAGTGGAAGTGATGGTATTCCAGCTGAACTGTTTAAAATTTTAAAAGATGATGCTGTTAAGGTGCTACACTCAATATGCCAGCAAGTTTGGAAAACTCAGCAGTGGCCAGAGGATTGGAGAAGATCAGTCTACATCCCAATCCCAAAGAAAGGCAGTGCCAAAGAATGCTCCAACTACCGCACAATTTCACTCATTTCACATGCTAGCAAGGTTATGCTTAAAATTCTACAAGGAAGGCTCAAGCAGTATGTGGACCGAGAACTCCCAGAAGTGCAAGCTGGATTTAGAAGAGGCAGAGGAACCAGAGACCAAATTGCAAACATGCGCTGGATTATGGAGAAAGCTAGAGAGTTCCAGAAAGACATCTACTTCTGCTTCATTGACTATGCAAAAGCCTTTGACTGTGTCGACCACAGCAAACTATGGCAAGTTCTTAAAGAAATGGGAGTGCCTGATCACCTCATCTGTCTCCTGAGAAATATCTACGTGGGACAAGAAGCTACAGTTAGAACTGGATATGGAACAACTGATTGGTTCAAAATTGGGAAAGGAGTACGGCAAGGCTGTATATTGTCTCCCTGCTTATTTAACTTATATGCAGAATTCATCATGCGAAAGGCTGGGCTGGATGAATCCTAAGCCGGAATTAAGATTGCTGGAAGAAATATCAACAACCTCAGATATGCAGATGACACAACCTTGATGGCAGAAAGTGAAGAGGAATTAAAGAACCTTTTAATGAGGGTGAAAGAGGAGAGCGCAAAATATGGTCTGAAGCTCTAGATCATTATAAAGTATATCATGGCCACTGGGCCCATCACCTCCTGGCAAATAGAAGGGGAAGAAATGGAGGCAGTGAGAGATTTTACTTTCTTGGGCTCCATGATCACTGCAGATGGTGACAGCAGTCACGAAATTAAAAGACGCCTGCTCCTTGGGAGAAAGGCGATGGCAAACCTAGACAACATCTTAAAAAGCAGAGACATCACCTTGCCAACAAAGGTCCGTATAGTAAAAGCCATGGTTTTCCCAGTAGTGATGTATGGAAGTGAGAGCTGGACCATAAAGAAGGCTGATCGCCGAAGAATTGATGCTTTTGAATTATGGTGCTGGAGGAGACTCTTGAGAGTCCCATGGACTGCAAGAAGATCAAACCTCTCCATTCTGAAGGAAATCAGCCCTGAGTGCTCACTGGAAGGACAGATCCTGAAGCTGAGGCTCCAATACTTTGGCCACCTCATGAGAAGAGAAGACTCCCTGGAAAAGACCCTGATGTTGGGAAAGATGGAGGGCACAAGGAGAAGGGGACGACAGAGAATGAGATGGTTGGATGGTGTTCTTGAAGCTACCAGCATGAGTTTGATCAAACTGCGGGAGGCAGTGGAGGACAGAAGTGCCTGGCGTGCTCTGGTCCATGGGGTCACGAAGAGTCGGACACGACTAAACGACTAAACAACAACAATCGTAACGGAGACTACATAGTGTGGATGTGTGGAGGAGGGGAACAATGCAACCCTTCACTCTGTAAGGCAAGTGTGAGTAACCTTTGGCCCTCTAGACATTGCTAAGCTACAACTCCCAAGCATGGCCAATGGACAGGGATAATGGGAGTTGTACTTCAGCAACTCCTGGCAGACCAAAGGTTCACCACGTCTACGCTATATAGTGAAGGGCCAGTTAATAATTTTTTGTGCCTGTGAGTGTGGATCCAGCTCACCATTTATTTTCCATGATCTGCTTTTCGTTGTCACACAGACCTACTTAAAAGGAGTGACAGCTACCATCAAGACCACTTTGTTGCAACCCAGTCATGAAAATTCTCCAGATATTCTCTTTTGCCCTGACAGAACACAACTACTGCTCACCCCCTCAAAGAGGGGGGCAGGGTTTGCGACACCGCACAGCGGTTCCCGAGACCAGGGTGCCACCCACCTTGGCTACAGGGTTGCCATCTCCCCATCCCCATCTCAGCAGGTCAATGGGCTGCAGGCTGGGGGCAGGGCGAGGGATCGGAAAAAGGCCGATGCTCTTAGGCCGAAGCTCACTTTGTTTTCTTTCCAGGTTCACCCACCCAACCCTCCCTAAAATATAACCCGATCCTCTTTTGCAGGCTAACCTCTTGCTTCCTAGGTCAGCGGGCACTGCTATAGTTGTAAGATGGTTGCTGTGTTCAGAACAGGGAAGGAATTTCCCTGCATTGGCAAGTTTTGCCGTCCCCGTAGCAATTTGTCACAACTTTGGCGGTTTTAGGCCTTGGTTGGTATTCTATAGTCTATCTTTGAGATGGGGGTAGCATATGCATGCATCCCCGTGCAGCGGCGTCAGCTGGATCCGTGAAAGGGTTGCTTGCAGGAGTCACTGGCGCTGGAGCAGCAGCATACAGTCAAACTCCCAGCTTCGGCGAAGTGGGAGGGCACACTGTGTAAGTTCACGTTTTACAGTCCCCTCCCACAACACCTGACTGCCCTGCACATCCTCAGCCTATGAGAGGGATACCTTCCAAGGCCTAAGCCAAGGTTCCTACACCTGAAATTCAATAAAGTTGTGGCCTCATTTAAGCCCATACATTGTTGTCATGTCTCATTCCTGGCAGGTAGGCTCCAGGGACAGGGTTTAGTGCGTGGGCTCGCAACATAACCCAGACTGCAAGCATCACAAACTAGATAACAAAAAGTCAAGGGGTTAGGCTGCTTCATATCTGCAACTTAGAACTTAATGCATATATCTTCCACTAAATAAATATGCAGCAAGATGCCCACTCTACTTTTCCACCCATATCTCCACACCAATAATTCCAGGATATTTGCATTTTCCTGATTACTACACAGGTGGTGCAATCCCTTCTGCCTTAAGAGCCCTACAGAAAACAGTACATGTGCATCAGTTTACCAAGCAACAGTATGTTTAGACTTAACAGTTTTGTCATGGAAATGAGGGACAGAAGACAGCCCACTTTGGTTGCACTTGGAGCTTTTCTGTACAAAACCACATCACTCTCCTAGTACACAGTAAGAATTACAGTTGTAACATGCCAATTGACCTAAACCTGGGGAAAACTTACATGCACCTCAAAAGACGACTAGCCTCTCTTCAAAGCTGGAGATGTACCTACGTTGCTTTGTGTCTTCCATTGCGCTGCACGTTCCACCATCTGGATGACTTAGCTCAGGCATGTCCAAAGTCCGTTTGGGGGCTTAATCTGGCACGCCCATCGGTTTAATCCAGCCCCAGCCCCTGTGGCAGTTTATTTCCTGGGGTAAAATCCTTTAAAAAGCTCAACTACTTTGGTCGGCCCTCACACATGTTCACTTCATCAAATCTGCCCCTCTTTGAAAAAAGTTTGGCCCCCCCTGTCTTAGCTGAACTCCCACATGTGTGCCATTAAGCAAATCTCATGAGGGGTCATGTGTGTGTCTTCCAAGCCATTAGCGCTGCTCCCACTCCAAGCTGCAAGAAGCAGGGACAAGCACCGTCTGCTACCGCTTACAGTTAGAAAGACCTTTTAATTCCTAACGAGACTTTGCACCTTACACTTGTTTATTTAACTTCCTTAATGGACCCTTAATGGAGGTACATTATTGCAAGGGCTTGTGAAAAGTCCACTTAATTATGCCAAAGGAGTTGCTTTCCAGCACTAAAGATTAACTTTGGCCCAGAACTGTCACTCTTTCCATATGCCTGGATTTCCCTTTCCCACTGCATTGATTGTGTGTCATTATTGACACCGACTACGCCAGCATTTGTAGGTCACACTTTCTAAAATCATTATGATTCCCTCAGTAATTTTTCTGTTAACCTTTCCGTCACGTCAGGATTTTTTACAACTGTGCAGTTGGCATGGCAGAGTGATGCCTGCACTTTGGTCCAGGGTGGTTTAATTTACCACAGTTTAGGGACAGACAACACATATATCTGAGGTTAAAGTGTCAATGGGACACACACTCCCCCTGTGGCATAATAAACTGTCTATGCATGGGATACACAATCCTACCCCCTCCCCACACACATCCTATTAGCATCTCCAGACAAACACAATGCTTATTTAATGGTTAGTATAGTGCTTCAAAACCTGACAAGACCTGTTTGATCAGAGAAAATAGAGCAGGCATATTATTTATTAAATAATATCCCACTTTTCCTCCAGAGAATTCAAAGCAGCATACAAGATCTTCCCCATCCCTCACTCTAATTTAATCCTCTGAGGTAGGTTAAGCTGAGAGGTAAGGACTGGCCTCAGTCACTTTGTCCACTGAACACAGTGCCTCCTTGCACAATATTAAAATACACCGACAAAAGAATACACTTTTTATTTATTTTGTTTAAATATGTATAAGCATACTTTCATATTAAATACTGCAAGGCAGCATACAAACTAAAAATACAATACTATAATAAAAACAAGAAAAACACCAGGCATACCAGCTGTTTGGCAAAAAAAAAAAACCTCAGGTTCAAAAAGCCTGTTTTTCAGAAGATGTCTAAAAGCGAGCAGATGACTCCTGATGAACCTCTACTGGCAAGGAGTTCTGCAGGTCAGGGTCTGCCACACTATATTCTCAGTTCGTGGTGAAGGCCAGCTGAACTGGGGTTGGCCTCCTATGCCCCATCAGAAGACCTCAGTGATCAAGGTGAAGCATAAAAATGTGGTGGCATGGGTGGAATAATGTCTACTGCTATAGTGCAAGTACATTTTCCAGTCAATTTTAATATTGCACTCAGGAGTTTCTCTTTTCTATTGCTATGCATCAAATTAATCTAGGCATTCAGATCATATTCAGCCTATTCTGAGGACCAGGCCCAAGGTAAACCACAAAATGGTGGGGGGACTCTGCTAGGAAAGAAGGGGTGAGTGAAGCTCTACATCCAGGAAGGGGGGGAGAGAGAGATTTACATTGGGAACAATGGGGGAAGGAGACCAGCAGCACCTTCTATTCGCCAAGAGGCCACTCTAGAGCCAGCATAGGAGGAGCTGTTGAGGAGGTGACAGATTCAGCCTCCAAGGAGTGCACCACAGTTTTTGCTGTCATTGAGATGGCGGCGGCAGCAGCAGACTATGCATTGAAAGCCAGATCTGCTGCCCCTGTGGGATCCTGCAGCCTGAGGCAGTTGCCTCCCCTTGCCTCATGGGTGGATCAGCCCTGCCTATTCTGGATTGATTCCAAGTCATTTCAGTGTGCTGGCTTTGGCTTTTTAAACCCTAAACAGTTTGGGATCAGGTTATCCAAGGACCACCCTGATCTCCAGCCTGTCACTAGGAGCTGTTAGATTGCTGGGTAACAGATATAAGACCTTTTGGCCCCACACCTTTGGCACTTCCTCTCCATGAAAACACATACTATTGCATCATTATTTATGTTTTAAAAGAAATCTCTGAAGATGTTTTTATTCCAGTCTGCACTTGATTAATTAATGGGCTATGCCTGAAGGTTTTTAGCTGTTGATAGTTTTCAGTTCCTATGTTAATATTAATGATTAAACTGCAGTTGCTGTTATTTTCAAGTGTTTATCACCTCAGAAGGGCAGTGTGTACTAAAAGATGTAATACAATTTCTTTACATACACATTTATGTAGATTTCATAATTACATAAAATCATTTTGAGCAAGACTCCTTATAGAGGGGAAATGCTCGATTATGGCTTTTTTAAAAGTTTTTAAAATGTGTTTGTTAATTACAATGATGACAATTTTGTGTTTTTGGTCTTTATTCTATGCACGTATACCATATGCAGGGCTTTTTTCAGCTGGAACTCAGTTCTGACACCTCTCAGGTGGGCACCATTGTCATTCTAAGAGAACAAGGGATGTGTTCATGGTGAGTTCTGGCACCTCTTTTTCTAGGAAAATAGCACTGGCCATATGCAGATATTATTTGAAGTTTTGAAGTAAATTAGTTTGGGTTTTTTTATTAAATACCTTTTTCTCAAGTTTATTGTCTTTATATAATTTGGTAGTGTAAATCCTACCAGAACCCACTGTGAAGGACAAAAAAGGTGTACTTCCTTCATAGGTGACCTTATATTGCCATGTTAGCTGATAACTTAGTGTTATCTAAGTACTGGGGGGAGTAAGAAACTCACTGGGAGTGGGGGGGCAGAAATACAATACAGAGAACTTGTCAAACACCTAGTAGTCACAAAAAATAAGTGGTATGCTACATTTCCCCTTCATGGATCACTGCCTTGCCGTGGCGAAGGGGCTTGAATAACTCAGAGAAGCTATGAGCTATGCCGTGCAGGGCCACCCAAGATGGACAGGTCATAGTGGAGAGTTTTGACCAAACGTGATCCACCTGGAGCAGGAACCAGCAAGCCACTCCAGTATCCCTGCTAAGAAAACTCCATGGACAAAGACAACAGGCATATAAGTCTCTGGCGTGCTCTGGTCCATGTGGTCACAAAGAGTCGGACACGATTAAACGACTAAACAACAACAATGCTCAGTGGGTCACAAGTAACTGTGCAAGTCTGTAACAGTTGGATGTATGAAATCCATGGTCAGCCTTACAGCCAGACTGTTTGGTTCCTCCCTTGAAAATGGGAAACAGTAGCTGGTCCAGAATCACAGCTTCTTGGTTAGTGGTCAAGAATGGACTGCAGAGTTTGTGCAGTGCTAGAAAAACTGCACTGGTCTGGACCACAGGTTAGTTTCCAGGCACAATCCAAGGTGCTAGTTCTTTTACAGTCCTCAATGTCCTGGACAAGGATACCTCTGGTAGAACTTTTTCCAACATAAACTGCCTTGTGTGCTTGATTTGTCTCCCAAACCCCTTTTCTGGCCTGCCACAACCAGGGACAGCCTGAGGCTAACCTGTGTCTCCTCCCTCCCTGCCAAGGAAGATGGAGTGAGAAGATATACATGAGGAACAAGGGGGCAAGAAAGATTGACATCGGGATCTGCTGCCCCCAGGGATACTGTCACCTCATGGGCGGGTGAAACCTGGCCACAACTCTCAGAGGCAGAGCTGGTAGCTACAAGAAACAGGCCCTTTTGGGCAGCAGCACATATGCCCTTTAGAAATCTGTCCAGAGGAGCCCAGGTCCAAAAAGAAGTTGGCAACCCTAACCACCACATTTCCGTGTTTAGAGGGCAATGTCTCCAGACGGAAAACGTAACTTCCAAGCATAATGGAGCCCCAGTATTTTAGAAATGTACTGTCTCTTTTACTGATTTTTCAGAGGAGAGCTCTTTATTCCGCTGCACACCCTTCCTGGACTGTGCAGATGTCTAAATCAGGGTTGCCACATTTCAAAAGGTGAAAATCCAAACACAAAAGTTGTTGTGTGTTTTTTGCGTTTTTAAACCATTTTTAAGAAAAATCAGCAAAATGACACTGCCGCCATGGGTTGCCATATGGATTTTCCAGGACATTTCACCAATTTCTGCCCAGACACTGCTTTCAACTTCAGTATTCTGGGTATGTCCAGGAAAATCTGGACATATGACAACCCTAACTAAACTTTCACGTAGTGTGTATACTCTGTGTTCAAATTGTAGAATGGGTAACATCTCAGTTGTGGTGCATATATTTTCAGGTTAACAGATAGCTAAACAATATGTGTGGATTATCAACAGGTAATGTGCACAGAAAAGAAATTCTTAAGAAAATGGTCTCTTGGAGAGGTCCAATGCAATTACGTATGTCATATCACAGAATCATTAATGATAACTTTTCCTAAGATGTTTGGAACCTGATGGATCTGCCTGCTGTTAACCAAGTAATTTCTAGCAGTAATTACTTATGAGACTATCTCTAGAGCAGGGGCGGGAAACCTGAGGCCATCCAGATGTTCCTGGACTACAGCACGCATCATCCCTGAACATGTCGGCTGGAGCTGGTGGAAACTGGAGTCCAACAAAATCTGGAGATACACAGATCCCCCGTCTCCCAACATATTATGTCACAACGGATATAGAGACTCTGTTGTGAAAGGCCCTTTAAAATGCATGGGAGTTGTATAGCAGCACAACCATGTTTTATCACTGCTCACATCCATTTTAATTGGGCTAAAGGAACAGGAAAACATCCTAGTGTACAAACCATTTTAACCAATACATGTGGCAGGTGTCTGTTTTTTCTTGAGTTGCAAAAAGGCTGTAGCTATAAAGCAGTGAAGAAAAACTAACCAGATCCACCCATTAGTTTTGAGAGGTGGCGGAGGAAGGGAGACAAGGAAGGTGTTTGAAATGCATTCATCATAATCACCCAGATTGTTTTGCTTGCAGAAAAAGCCAAAGAGAGAAGAGGTAATAAGGCTGCACGGCTGGGAAGGAAGACTGAAAGGAATCTAATCACAAAGTAAAACAGAATCTGTGTGCAAGGTATAGGAGCAGCAGCAGGTAAGTCTGACATAAAGAGCAACATGCTGATGACAGTACTCTGTCATTTCAACCATGAACAGTCAGTGGGGCTGTAAAACAAGAATACTTTTGCGGTAAATTATCTGGAATTATCTGGGAAAGCTACAGTAGAGGCTCCTCATTATACAGATTGATTGTTTCTATTTTAAACGTTCGCAGGCACGCACACACAAAGCCCTAAGGCCACTACTTATGCACCTGAGACAGTCATTCAGGAACGCAGACTCAGGTGCATTGCATTTCAGCAATCCCAGCGGAAGCAGAATCAGTTCCTCGGTCATCTTTGGAGGAGGGGATGCTTCTTTTGCGCTGTGTCCCACAAACCATAATTTCAGCATTTTCTTCCACTTCTCTGTTTTGTTAGTACTGTATTGTGTAAATCAAATAGTAGTAGGGACATACATTTCATTTCATTATTTCATTTCATTTTTCATTTCATAACTTACATTGCAAGTAAGACATGTTGAAATGCTGGGTTGCCAACTTTTTAAGGGCCCCGTTCCCTTCTTGGTAGGGGCAGCCTGGTGTGTGGGGGGGAGGCTATGTTACTAAGTGGAGCTTTCCTCATTACTTTTGCCTCCTTGCTAGGAAAAGTTGTTAAATTTCTGCTCATTAGACTGCAGTTAAATGGTCAGGAACAGGGCTGGTATGAATGTTGGCAACCCTAACAGAAACCTTCAGATGTTCCTATACTATGCATAACAAAGCTCTTGCTTGTTTGTTTATGAGGGGATAATCATTTATACAAGAACAATAGTAAGTTGCATTTAGAGAGAAAAGACAACCCAGATTTACCCCCAAAAAGAATCTTGGACCTGTAAGCAGAACAAACAAACCCTGGGAGAGTACAGTTTATGGTCTCTTTAGGGAAAATGAGGTACAGCTTGTGGATACCAGGGCTGAAGGCAAACTCTCTACCATCAGCCTCTTCGCCAGTCCAAATTCACATCTCTTTTGGATATAAAAGACTAGCTCATTAAATGCCAAGCATGACACTGCTGGAACAGACCAAAACTGTCCAGCATATGACCCCAGGGACTGGTTTCCTTGGATTATAAACAGCCTATTCATGGTGCTACAATGCACACCTCCCCCTCTCAGAAACACTTCATAGTCCTCTCATTCCATACAGAGCTCCCTTCTGTGCTACAGAGACTGACTCTCTCTCCAAAATCAGTCTTGCTCCTCCTCCTCATGAAGTACAAGCCCTCTTATGCATATGCCCATATCACTGGCTTTCCAGGTCTCCATTTTCTTTTTTTACTGACCCTATATTTGTACAGTAAAGTACAGTAAAAAGGTATGTTGCAAATAAGTAGATAAAGTTTTTTCTCATCACCTTGTATCTCCTTGTTTTTTAAAAAATCACCGGCAGACTTTCTGCTTGTCAGGTGTTTGAGGCAGAAGAACATGACTGTCAAAAATAGTTGCTGATCATGTTAAGACTAAAATAAAATTTAAAAATTGGTGCCTTGAAGCATTCTAATATAAGGAACAGAACCATTAAGATGTATGCAGCGTAACATAAAAAGAGATCATTAATTGATTTGAGTTTGGGAAGAATTCACTTTCAATTTGTGAATAATTAACTACATAAAACAGAATAGAGGGACACGAAGGTCATGAGTAGAAATGCATTGAACAAAATGCCCTTGCTGGTCAGTAGGTATGCTGCTAAGCAACAACCAAAGGCTCTGATTCAGCAAAGCATTTAACTCAAATCCAGCAAACTTAGCAAGCCATACTGTGAAGCACCTCTCCTCTCTTTTAAAAAGCAGGTGTGGAGCAGGAGGTGAGGGGCTTGAAGTGGGCTGTGGGGAGACAGGTGGGTGAGGTGTAAAGAGGTGTTGGGGAAGGATAGTAGACAATATCGGCAAACAGGGCAAACAGGGATGGCAGCTCCTTGTATGTTTGATACCCTTTTAACTGGCCAGCTGAGGTGAGTCTGGCTGCTGAAAAATAGTCCTGGGAATTGCAGCTTGGCAAGAGTGCTGCAAATAAAGTTAGAATTCTCTAACCTCTATTTACATAGACAGAATTATGGTTAGGGAGAATCTTGTTGTCTTAAACCAGCTGAGCAAGTAGCCCTACCCTTTTCCTCTGCAGAATATCAATTCTCCTCATAGAGGCAGCAATAAAATCAAAATTATCTGCAGAGAGGGATCCTATGCAGGCCTATTTGGAAGTGTATTCTGTTGAGCTCAGTGAGACTTGCAGTACAATCCTATGCATGCCTACCTAGAAGTAAACCCTTGATTTTAATGAGACCTACTTCCAGGTATGCGAGTATATTACAACCTAAATTCCTAGTAAGTGCACTTAGGATTGGAGTATAAAGACAGGGCTAGATTGACTTAAGGTCAATTCAAACTATAAAGTATCTAACAAAGACAGCAATTCTACACCCACTTACATGGAAGCAAACTGCACTGAACTCAGTGGCACTTGCTTCCAGGGAGACATATATAGGATTGCACTGTTCATTCCAATTACATTTTAGTAGTTGTGTGATACTCTTGGAAGTCCCTTTTCTGTGACAATACTGAGATATCTTATCCACCCAAAATTAATAAGAGGTGGCAATAGCCTTACTGCTGCCCTTCAGCGATTCTGAGATGTGGGATCAGACCTACACAGTAAAACAAACTAACTAACCCTCCTTATAAGTTTATTATGGGTCTTATCTTCAGTGATAGCCAAGGTCAAATCCACTAGGGATTTGCTTCTTGACTAGCTCCAGGCCTCATTTATTTTATCCTTGTTGCTAATTTCAGCTGCTATGTTGACTTTCCAAACAGCAGAGTGGGGATAAGGACATTTTCCAAGCTTCAGACTCCCCCATTTCCTGGGTCAACAAGAATAAAACTTTCCACAGGAACTCTGATTTCACAACATATTGTCATGGCTATCAGATCAAAAAGAGAAGAAGGCCTACAGCTTTAATTATTTCACAGAAGAGCTTTTCTCACCCCTTGCTGAAATCCCCTTTTCAACAGAAACCCTCTCCTCTTTTGCATCTCACCTAGGGCTTTCAAAGGTGGAATTGACGGGGGGGGGGGAGAACAATTTTGCGGGTTTCCTTTAAAAATGCTTTTGGGGTATCCTGGTTTTTACTTTTTGAAATATGGCAACCCTGTCTCACCACACTTGCATTCTGTTTATAGAATGGGGGGGAATATGTTGCAATTCAGTAGTGTCAATGTGACTGTTTTGTACTCACGGGTCTTTACAGTGTAACCTATAAACTAATAGCAAACTGATTTTATAGTCAAAATGGCAACATTCACACACACAAACAGGTTTGGGGAAAACCCAAGGTTTATAGCAGTACAAGAAAAATATTTAGAGGGAAAGCCCTACAGGGATGAGGGGTAAACACACACACGGGGGGGGGGGGGGATGTTCACTGAGGACTGAGCATGGCCAGTAGGCACAACATGCTGACTTACAGTTAAAGAGAGAGAATAGAACAGAGTATCCTAGAAAAGGTTAGCTGGCACACCACATTGCAACATTTTGTTGCAGGTTCCACTTGCTGACCACTCATTTGGGATAATGCAAAACTATCTCTCTCTACACTTAGTACCACCAACAGTTGAACACACATTTGCACAGCCTGCCACACACCTAAATAATATGCACTACACTCTTGTGTATGCATGCCTGCACATCCAAGTGCACCTTGTTTCTGCAAAGGAGGGAGTGAAGGGAAGGGAAGGCCCCGGCACATTTCACAGCATTCTGGCTTTCTAAAGCAAATAAATGTACAAGTAGCCGTGAAACATGTTTTTAAAACTATGATCTAAGGAAAAACAAACACTGCCTAATTTAACTATACCTGCGGTTTCCTCAAGGTCTTGGTCATCCCATGAGAGAGCTTTCTCCTTTTCTTTTCAAAGAGGGAAGTTAGCTCATGCTCAGAAGCATAAGGTCCATTCAGAAATGTCCACAAGCAGTGGACAGGACCTAAAGGAAACACAAGTCTAGGGGAATTGACAACTGCTCTAATAGACCATACTCCCATTTAATTCCATTTTCATCCCAGCAAATAGATTAGAAAGTAGTAATTGATGCAAATTGTTCTCTTGCTGATACAAAAGGGAGGTGCTTGGATATTTGGTTAAATGAATAAAAAGACAAGGTTCTGTGCAGTTTCTGACCACCTGAGGCATAGACACAGACGACACTGTTCATTTCCTGAGCAGCACAAACTGCAGGGCCTGTATAAACTTTTAGGTAATAATTGAGCAAGTGGAAGATAAAATGAGGACTTTGCGAAATATATGATTCAGCAGACCTCAGTAGGGCACAAAATCATGTGTTCTTGCTTATGAGCAAGAAAAAGAGGCAAGAGAGAAGTCTGCAGATATCAGACAAAGACTGATTCTTTTCATTATCTCCTTGCCTGCCATTTCAGGACCACAAACAGTGGACAGGACCTCGGATAAATGCTGGAGGCAGTGCTTTTTTGGTTTTGAAAAGAGGAATAAGGCTGCAATGCTGCACACACTTACAAGGGAGTAAGTCCCACTGTACTCACATATTGCTTTTGTCCCACTGTTGCCTCTGGTCAAGCAGTTGTTGAAACAATATGAAATGCTGCAAAACCTGTTTGTCAGACATAACAATGGGATGAGTGCATATGCCCTACTCAATGGCATACTCTATCTTCAACTCTGAAAAGCAAGCAAAACAAATCACTTGTCTCCCACTAAAGAGCTTCTCTTGGGATTCCAGAGACCACTTCTGAGCAAGGCCTGTCTTTACCCAGAATCCTCCTACCTCAATATTTCACAACAAAAACTCTTCCTCCTTGTTCCAGGAGTCTAGAACACCACCAGGTACTCACCTGCTCCAAAGGATACATGCTAGTATTGCCAGCTTTTCTCTAGAGAGTCAGACCTGCCATGAATTCCACATCTACTTATGCTAGTCAAGGATGTTGACTTTCAGCATCCCAAAACCACAACACGGAACAATTTCCAGGTGTGCTGTAAATAGTGCATGTTTGGCTTTCTTTTCAGAGCAGAGACAGATATGGGGGCTATTTTAATTTTCTGTAGAATTTTATATTGGGTCGAGATTTTGGCCTATTCATCTGTTTTCAGTAATGACACCTACCCTGGAGACAGGACAATTAAGAAACCTAAATAAATGCACAACACGTGGGATACAAACACTTCCTCACAACTACCGGTCTGCTCAGAATTTATTCGGGTAGCCGGCCTCTCATCTCTGAATAGTCACTACCTGTATCCATATAACCTCAGGCAACCTCAGGGCCATGGGTTCGAGCCCCACTTTGGGCAAAAGATTCCTGCATTGCAGGGGGTTGGACTAAGATGACCCAAGTCTACGATTCTGATACAAAAAGCAAGAAACACCTCCCTTCTATTCTTTGACCACCTTTCAGAGCAACCTACTCCCAACTGCTCACACACACCTGTACAAGTCAAACTTTCTGATGTCTTCCTATGAAGTTAGGCGCCGAGGCTGCTTCCCTCCCCACATTTTCACGGCAGCAGTAGCAGCCCGACACGTGGCTCATTTACTCAGAAGTCGCCGGGGATGCATTCAAGGTAGGCATGCTCAAATATCATTGCGCCGAGAGCAACCAACTGCCAAGATCCCTCTGACAAATAGGCGCTTTTAGGGGGCACCTGGCGCTCCAGACATACCTCCTTCCTAAGGCTCAAGGCCCCTCTTCCACTCAGTCCAATGCGAAGAGGGGGACGTCGACTAGCCCCGTGTGGCCAAAGGACAGGCTGCTCTGGAAGAGACCACTATTCCTCCCACCTGCACATATACGCGCTGGCAACCTCCCTCAGCTGCAGGTACTTTCCCCTTCCCTCCCCACGCGCCCGGAGGTGTCAGTCACCGGCCCCGCCCCCGCCCTGCCCCCCAGGGGCCCCTCGCGGATTGGGTGGCCGCCTCTCCCTGCCTCCTCCCTCCCCTGCTCGCACGAGGCTCCCGGCGACAGGCCCGCCCCAGCCCCACATGAAAGGAAGCCGCGCGCATTTGCTCCCGCGGAGAGACTCACCCTGTCCGCGTCAATCCGGCCGGCCGACTGTTGTCATAGCGGTGGGTCGTGCAGCCCTGGCCGCGCGCCACGGGTGTCCTCCATAGGCAGCGCGGGGTGCGCTGACGTCAGCGCGGAGACACGCCTCTCCCGCTCGCCGTCTCTTCAGGAGCCGCGTATTGGACCAGCCCCCGCCCCCCTGGGCCGCGCCAGATGAAAGGGATTGTTCTCCTCGCCACGCTTTTCGCCCTTAGCCCTCCTGGAACCCTATATATAGGCTGCGGCAGCCCTATCGGGGATTTACCTCGGGGGGGAGGGGGAGAGAGAGACGCGTCAGAAATGGAGTGGCGGCGTGCCGGTGTGACAAAATGCCACTTCAGATGATCGCTAACAACAACAACAGACCGGAGCAGCAACACAACGGAACAGCAAAGTGCTGGTTTTGAACCACTGTTCGTGACGCCCTCGATCCAATACAGGGTTTCTCAAACTTGGGTCTCCAGCTGTTTTTGGACTACATCATCCCTAGCTAGCAGAACAAGTGGTCAGGGATGATGGGAATTGTAGTCCCCCCCCCCCCAAAAAAAAGTTGGAGACCCAAATTTGGGAAACCCTGATCCAATACATTTTGCTCTCTGAGGCAGACATAAGAAGCTGCTTTTTACTGCGCCATACCATCGGGTCCATCTAGCTCAGTATTATCTACACTGACTGGCAGCTGCTGTCCAGGATTTCAGACCAGGATCTCTCTCAGCCCTACCAGGAGATGGTGGAGATTGAGCCTGAAGCCTTCAGGTCAAAAGGCAAATGCTCTAACTCTCCCCTAAGTAATTTTGGACTCATTAGGCAAAAAAGAAAGGAGGCCATTTCCCCCTCCTTAGTAAAAATACAATAATAAATAACACTTTGCTTCCCTGCCAAATCCGCCACCTGAGGCAGCTGCCTCACTCCGCCTGTAGTCCTGCTTTTCTGGTGTGCTACTTTCTTGTTTTCAGGGATTTTGCTCAAACTGGAGGGCAGGGAGAAGTATTCAAAAGTGGAGTCCCATACCTGTTGCCAGAAGTCGTACAGAGCATTTTACCACCTCCACGTTTGATGTCCTGCCATGTAGTTCTGCTGCATGTGTTGAAGACCCAGTACTATCTAGAGATCATACTTCTGTCACCCCACCCAGGAAAAGCAAGTGAGGATTTGCTATTTTGATAACTGTGTGTGCCAATTTCCTACACGCATGTGCCAAAGTGACTCACAACACAAAAAACAATGATACAATAACTGCAGTACATATAGCTGTTACAAAAAAGCCTCCCTTTAATTCACTTGAAAGGCAATCTGGCAGGCCACCAACTGCTGGGAAAGGAGGGGAAAGAGCATCCAGCTGTGCAAAGGGAGATAGGAGCACAATTTTTAGTGAGCCCAATATATTTCAGATCCAGTTTATCCTCAGGGGTGCTCTCAAATCAGGATTGTCAATATGGTACAGTATTGAAATACTGTTACTACTTGCTAACCTGGCACTCTGCATTTTTCATGTTAATTGAATCTTTTTCATGAACAGTCTGGAAAAACTTGGACCACGATTCACAGACTCATGGAACTGTACAATTAGACGGGATCATGAGGGTCATCTAGTCCAACCCCCTGCAATATAGGATTCTTTTGCCCAGTTTGGGGCTTGAACCCATGGCGCTGAGATTAAGAGCCTCATGCTCTACCAACTGAACTATCCTTGTGATTCATCTGCTTTTACATAAACTGGTTTCTGCTTAGAACACAGGTTGGAATTCTCCCAGGTTGGAAGTAACTATACAGGAAAATACACAGGAAAGCAGATAAGGAGAGACAAACCAAAGAGAGCCAGATAAAAGTGACCAGTGGGCCCTGATTTGTTGTAGGTTTGCCTGTAACATGCCCACATTTTCTCTATCTTTCTTTGGGCAGGCTCCAGAATGTGCAGTGATCAGAGCCCAGTATACACATGTCTGTTTATTGGCATGGTGTGTGTAATGTGTAGCCAGCCTCTTGAGCTTGCAGTTTTTGTTGAGCAGAAAAGCTGAGTATGTTTTGAATTGCTAAGAAAATGCTAGTGGTTATGATGGGCAGAGTGTGTGGCAGGTAATCTAAGAGTTAACCAGCCAGAGAACTATTGTTATTGGTGGCTATAAATATATGTGGGTGAATGAATGATAGATAGATAGATAGATAGATAGATAGATAGATAGATCAGATGAAACAAGCTGCATCAGACAAAGGCTGTCAAGTCCAGTATCCTGTTCCCATATTGGACAAGCAGAAGCCTATTGGAAAACCACATCCAGACATGAACACAAAAGCATTATCCCTATTGTATATAGTATACTTCGGAGATCTCTGGGAAAGTGCACCGCAACCCTTAATGGAACCCTTTTCAGTGAGAGCCAGGTCACCCAATGTCAAGGTGAAGGGTATGTTTTGCTCTCACCACAATAGTATCAAATACAGCACTTTGCCTAGCAAGCATTCACTTATATAAGTGGGGCTAGGCAAAAATATTTTGCTGCCTAAGGCAAAGAACAAAATGGTAATGCACCCATTCCACATACAAAAACCTGACAGGACTGCCAGCTGAATCTTCTTTCAACATTGGTGGTGGGACAACATCTTCCACCATACACAGCTTAGGAGGTACAGGACTAACTTGCTTAGGAAACTCAGGAATGGAGGTGGGAGTGCACCTACCTCCAGACATCTTCCACTTGAGGCAGCTGTCTCATTCTGCCTATTGGTAGGTCTGGCTCTGTGTGTATAAAAGGGGATACCAGCAAGTGGGGGCTAAACCTTATGCCTGCTCCTATATTCACATCTCCACCTCTCATATTCACATTCCTGATTCTTAACCTGTGTAACCCCATCCTGTGTTCAGTTTCACACTAAACTGTGATAGTGTGTTGAAGAGAGGGTTACATCTGCATTTCTACCTACCTCACTGCAGCTAATGACCTTGTTATTGTATATAATATGAGACCTGTGTCTTTTAAATAATTCACCAAAAAGAGGGCCACACTTTATTGCAGATGGGAGAAAAGGCCAAACCATTTGACTAGTCAATTGTGGAGGCTGCAAGGTTTTTATAGTTAGGAAACCTGAATAAAATGTACAATTTTACATCTGTTGAAGTAGTAGTGTGCGTAATGCATAAATGAATCCAGTGGGTTTTAAAACAAAAGCAAAAAACCTGTAATCAATAAATAAGTAAATAACCTCCAGAACTATTTGAATACCGGTGGAGGGGGCAGGTAACGAAAGGATAAATTCTCAGCTGATCCAGAAGTTGGGTTGTCCTACTCCCTTTAACAAAAAGAACAGTTGATGTTATGTGGGGGCAAGACTTATAAAAGGGATTAATCCAGCTGATCTAGAATGTATACTGATGTCAGTATGGTTTGGATTTTACTACTCCACTTTGAGGACTGAATGCGATGTTCACAATCCATGTTTCCAGACCTAGTGTTGCAGTGAGGGTTAGATTTCAGGGCTGTAGTCCAGGGACCCGGGTGGGTGGGTGGAATTGCCACTCAGGGCATGGCAGGTTATGGTGGCAGTGGCAAACGTCCCCCATGTTAGCAGCTAAGCCAGCATGCTGGGGCTCACCTGGACAGGTGATCACTGCTGCAGTATTCATTTTTTTCTTATTTTAATTTTTTTATATAGTTGAGAGCTGTGATCCATCCTTAAGCACTCCCCCTCTCCAGCTCCAATACCAGAAGGAAGCCCAACTCATGGCTATGTATACATTGGTACCTTGAAAAGCAGTGAGGTAGCTTCCCTCCTCACTGCAACTGACTTTCTTAAATTGCTGTGTACACTGAAGAGGTTTCTTCATCCCGGATAACATTGGCTGGTTTCGTTCCCCACACCGCATTGTTGCATATATGCAATGCACACCCCTCTGCTTAACCGTAGCTTTCTTTTTTTCTCATCAAATGGAAGCTGGTTTAAGGGGAAGTGCATCAAACAGGAGTATTCCTTAAAAAGCTGCAGGATTCAGATGCATTGTGACTAACATCATGTGTGCTCAGCTTCAAGCACCAGCAGTGGGAGCGCAGTGCAGTCAGAGTAAACCATAATGTGTACGACACAGCCTAAGAGAAAAGTGTCTGTAGCAATAGGAGAGGCACTGCCTGGGAGGATCCAATTTCCCTCGCCCACATGCTTCTTGATGTTAAAATCAGAATTCACTCTCCCTTTATATGTGTGTGTGGTCAGAACAGACACATCTATAAACAGATGCCCTCATCATATCCACTTTGGTTCTCAGAGGAGCTCACTAAGTTATCAGTAGCAACATGGATGGGCAAAAAACCTCTCCTTACTGGCTCTGGTGCTGAGAACCTGACATATTCTGACTGAAAGCCACAGCTGCTGAGCTGGGCTATCTGTCTCACCAAGTCACATTCTCCCAATACATCACTGCAGAAAAGCCACTGAACCCAGAAGCAGGCAGACAGGGAGCCGGGCCAGCCCATGCACTCTGGCAGCCACTCTGCATGTGCCTACATTGCTATGCTCCTATGATGCATGCTGGCCTCTATGGTTGCATTAGGGCATGTGCTGGAGCAGTGAGCAAGTGGCAGGGAAGTCTTGGAGGACAGAACTTTGTCGCCAAGAATACTCTGCACCCCCTTAGGTAGTCTGATTCTCTCATGGGTGGTAGAGAACACTGTCCTGTTGCTAGTGCAGAAATAAGATTCAGCTACCAGTCCTGAACCAATAGGCTTCTGTACATGCCATGGGTTGATGTGGGGGCAGCCCTGGGCTTCACCTTAAGGTAGCAAAGTGCATTGGTCTTGCTACTGTGAGCCAGACATGCAACAATAGCATATGCTCTGCAGTCCCCTGCACTATCATGGGTGAAAATTGCACATGTGCCTGTTTTGCAATCATAACATATATTTGGGACATATATTTGTTATCTGAAGAAGTGGGCATGCACACGAAAGCTCATAGCAATAACAAACTTAGTTGGTCTCTAAGGTGCTACTGGAAGGAATTTATATATTTGGGAGTGACTGTAGCTGCTTCACACATCTCCCTTTCACATAGGAGATACCGGTACATATATCCACTATTAAGTGTGAAGAGTTCATGCATGTTTATTTCACTTCATGAGCACATAGCAGGACTGTGGTTGCAATGAAAAGGCATACATGTGTTCCTCCCTACATGATAGTAGAGAAGTACTGCTGGCACATCCTATTTCCTACATGAAAATCATCGATTCAGTGTGTGAAGCATCCTTACAGCTTGCAAAATCCTGTAACTGAAGCAAAACTGCTACTGAGCTCATTCAAGAGGGTATGTGTATGTGCGCATATTTTCCATGATGTGTGGGTGTTTTTTCATATTGAAAAAGAAGTTATGCATGAAGCAGCCCCAGAATGAACACCAAGTATTGAAAGCAAGAAGAGTCTTATGGTGCCTTAAAGACTGAAAGATTTATTATGGAAAAGTATTTAGGGACCAAATAAATGTTATGTCATCATAAATCTGTTTGTCTTTAACATGAAACAAGATACTATGTTGACTTTTCTCCAATAGACTTGGCTAACCCCTCTGGAAGTTGTTGCCAAGTTTTGAAATTTTACCAGCAGCCAGCAGAGGGGGCTTTAGGCCCATGTATATGTATCACTGCAATTTGACATGCCCTTTACCTAGTCTGTCTTCTGCATTATGCATAATCAGGCAAAGTGCAGAAGGGTGCAGGCATGTATTTGAGGCTTGAAAGGTCTAAAACAGGTAAGTTTGAGAGGTGTTACTAGCAAGATTTACATCATAGTTCTTCAGCTGAGATCTGGTGCACAGCAGAGGAACTCCATGCAGATCCAACAATGATGGTGGAAAAAATGCTGGGGATGGATCGATGGCTCATTGGATGCATAGTGGGTGCCCAAAAAAAGAACCACCTGTTTTGTGCAAAGTACTCTATGTGCTGTATGTAAAAAGAAATACCTGCGGTATCAGAAAGCCTACTTGTTATTCATTTGTCTGTAGCTTTTATTTCTTTTTATGCTGTATTGTAATATTGACGCCTGCTTCTTGGGAGAAAAGCAATGACAAACCTAGACAGCATCTTAAAAAGTAGAGACATCACCTTGCCAACAAAGGTCTGTATAGTAAAAGCTATGGTTTTCCCAGTAGTGATGTATGGAAGTGAGAACTGGACCATAAAGAAGGCTGATCGCTGAAGAATGGATGCTTTTGAATTATGGTGCTGGAGGAGACTCTTGAGAGTCCCATGGACTGCAAGAAGATCAAACCTCTCCATTCTTAAGGAAATCAGCCCTGAGCGCTCACTGGAAGGACAGATCCTGAAGCTGAGGCTCCAATACTTTGGCCACCTCATGAGAACAGAAGACTTCCTGGAAAAGACCCTGATGTTGGGAAAGATTGAGGGCACAAGGAGAAGGGGAAGACAGAGGACGAGATGGTTGGATAGTGTTCTCGAAGCTACCAGCATGAGTTTGACCAAACTGCGGGAGGCAGTGGAAGACAGAGGTGCCTGGCGTGCTCTGGTCCATGGGGTCACGAAGAGTTGGACATGACTAAACGACTAAACAACAGCAGCAGCAAAATATTGTACACCACCACAATTGTTTTCAGATGGTGGACAATTAATAAAATTATTTAAATAGAATATGCAGATAATCCATTACATGGATAGAAGTCCCATTGAAATGAGTTGACCTTTCTTTGAGT